AGCAAGCGTGTTCGGATTCTTCTCACGTGAGGAAGCTATCCAGCCAGCTTACGAAACGTTGGTGGTTCTACTCAGTTGTCCGTCTGTGCCTGAAATAATGCACAAGGGGGCACGGCACATAAGATCTTCTCACGTCAAAAAAGCTAAGCTGAAAAGTCGCAATATTACCTATACTGTATTGGTTGGCCTTAAAACCTACAAAAGAAATAACAACAAAAACTCAAAAATTAACAACAAAAGAATTAAAGAAAAAAGTAATTGAATGCATATGCATATTATTTTTGACTTGAATTGGAAAAGTAAGAATGCTACAAACTTGTAGATATAATCAAATTTTACATTTCTCGCTATAACAAATGTTCCATTTGATGTGTATGCCATTAGCTGAATTAAGCGTTAAATTAAAGTACACGATAGTAAAAGACCTTCAAAGACTAATGGGTAAAGTACTCATTAATAAATCATACAAAATCATACTGGGTGGCGGTTTTGTAACAAATTTATATAGGTATCTAAGAAAAAAAATTAAGATTAGTTTCTTTATTCATGTATATATGAGTAGATATGCTACATCAATCAAACAGTTTATAAAACAAATTTTCGTTTAAGTGTACATAATTTAATATTTGGGCAGATATCAAATTTATTAAAATTATTAACACAATAATGCGTGAGTTTAATTTGTTTTAAGTATTATCTTTATAAATCAGACATTAAAAATATCTCTTATATTGTTTTTTAACAATCCAATCTTATCAATATCATGCGTTCAGAATATTTTGTAGTCTCATTTTGGCATAAAAGAAGTAATAGAGCTGTATCGTATTTACGCTGGTTTTGAACAAAATTTTATTTTAATTATAAAAGCGAGTGATAGTCTTAATTCCAGGTCTATTCAATAGTCTTGATAACATTAAAACGGCGTAGATTTTAAGGTCTAATGGTAGACTGCAAAGTGTAATTTAAGACCGTCATTTTTTTACTTTGTCGTGTGAGCTTAAATAAACGTGAGCAATTTCATCAAACGTACCCAAAGAAATGGTAAATATAGAAACCTTTAAAGCCGCCTATCATGGCAAAATGAAAACTGTTGCTTGGTCGGTTTGACTGAGCCTGTCCAAAGTGGAAAGTTGTAATTTACAACGTTGCTCAACTATTCTTTGCAGTACTAGACCTGACCCAAAGAATTTATTTTTCAATGAATATTGTGTCGTATAGTACCTTAGTCATTTGTTCAGTTATTTAAATAAACGACATACAGCGAATCGTAAAGACCATTGTCATAATTATCTAGAAGAGTTAACATGTGTTCCGTCTGTGCATTTTGCAAATAGTACATAATAAACGATAGAATAATACGCAGACATTTGCAATACTGTATCGGACAATTATCGTTTTAAAATTAAAATGGCTACAATTCAGAAATATCCGTTCAAATCGTTCCAAAATCGATTAATTAAAAGCCAGGTAAAGTAATATGTTCGTCTCAAAAATTAAATTTACAGTTAGAATCTTACAGTGACGAGTCTCTGTTATTTTGGGAAGCCTGACCAAGAAAAGAATTCACACCAAAAGATTCCGTATTGAGTATTTATGAATTATTTCTCAAGCGAAACACTAATTGTTTAGTGTAGTTTGCCCTTAGAATGTTGCATAAGGAAAGCATGATATCTTTTCTACATTAACTCAATCGCTTTTCTATTATTACTTTTTATTCGACACTGACATGTCCATTAGGCGAGATGGTTTCGTTTGCATTAAATTATTGTCGTATTCTTATCAGTTCAATCAACAAAGTAAAATACAAACCATTACTTATTGATTACTAATTAATTTAGTATACATACCAAACGAATGGAGATGCGATACGATCTGATCAAAAGAGATGATTGCATTTGTCTTCACGCCACACGCAATTATGTGATTTTTTTCTACCAGAGTAGGACACATTTCTTGGACGAATGATTTGCTATTTTGATGTTCGGCAAACCAAAAACAAAAGAAACTTTAGATTCCTAATTGGTTCTATTTTTACCATTATGATAAATTGAACACCTCGTATATAAGTTAAAGCAGATATTGGAGAACAAAGTAATTGAGCCGCGTCATGACAAAATCAACATAATGGGTATGCGACCAGCTTAGATCCAGACAAGCCTGCGCATCCGCGCAGTCTGATGAGGATCCATGCTGTTTGCTATCAGTTTATTTACTTGTTATAAGGTCTGTAAACGCACTATGTTGGTTTTGTCATGGCACGGCTCGTATATTTTGCGTATTACAAACAGAGACATTTTTTCAGATAAAAGTGAAATGAAAACTCATTGGATCTATTTTGCTAGCCAAATGAAAATAAAGACTTAAAATTGACTGCACTATTTTGAATACTAGAAATAACAAGTAAAAGATAAAAGCAACAAAACTATTTTACAATCGCATCATGGCCGTTTGTACGACATAAATTACACACAAACGTAGAGAGTATAAGAGCGTCCTGAAAGGCAAAATTGAATATAATAGCATACTCGGTTTGATTGTGCCTGTTCATTGGCGGTCGCGGAATTTGCAAGCTACTGTGAACGCACCCTCGCCCAGCACCGGTTTAAGAAACATTAAAAGACATGTAATGAGTGAAATTTTCAATTAAGAAACATTCTCAGATGTATTCACACAAAAACAGCATTTATGCAAGTACTAATATTATAAAATTAAATAGAACAACTCCAGTTATTATTCAATAAAATCGACCACACTCTGTTATCATTTAATAGAACAGAACAAATTTTGTTTATATTCATTAGAATATAACACACTTTGTTTTCATTCAATAATATAGAACATACTTTGCAATTGTCCAATGAAATAGAAAATATGTCACTATTCAATAAAATAAAACATAATTTGTTTTTCAATAAAAAAGAACATATTATGTTACTATTCAATAAAATGAAGAGCATACTTTGTAATTAATCAATAAAATAGAACATAATCAGAATGTACATATTTATTAGTACAGTTTTAGTGCGCGTGTCAAGGGTCTTTTAGTGCTGCCTACTATCAAACAATTTCACCTTTGTAATTTCAACAGTGTCAAATAATTGAACAAAATCAATAATTACAAAATATCCGAATGACACTGTTCTAAATTTTAATCAATTATTCAGTATAGTTTTCTTCTCGTTACGGGGTACATATCAATAAATCGACAAGAAAAAAAGCTATCTAAACGGATCTCAAAGTGACCATAAATCAAACCCGAAGCGAATAGTATGTTTGACCAATGAACCATATACATGTTTGATGTCTTTTGTATTGTTATCTAAAAGGTGTTTGAAAACATTCGATTTCAGTTTGTCTATAAATATAAGAATAATGAATATATATCACTAATTATAAATGCAAATGTGACCGAGGAATTCTTCACTAGGGTAGTTATGACAAACATGTGTTTGTAATGTATTGATGATTATTATAGAACATATTATGTTCCTATTTCAGGATAAAGGGTTAATTTCATTATTATAAATATATTTTCTCAAGAAACTAGAACACGGGTTATACTTGTTAAGGACCTTTCACATTAGTGAGAAAGTTTTGTTTTTCTAGCTAGTTCAATTCACTAGAAAAAGTATAAGTATATTAGAAAAAAAATCATGATATGAATTTAATTAGAAAGATAAAAAAAGATGTTATTCGAAACATGGCGAATGGATTTAATGATATCTTACAGTAGCATGCAGTAGATAGGTATATACCCAATATACCAGACATATGTCATTTATTTATCACTTTATGAGTTTTTAGATATCATTTCGTGCAGTGAGTCTTTTTTAACTTTTAATTAAACAACAAAAAAATACTTCTTTTATTGTTAACATCACTTCTTCTATTTATCGTAACATTATTTTGAAGCTGTCGTAGGTATAATAGTATTAGTCGATGTTGATTTAAAAACAAAATTATGTTTAAAGTTTTCACCAAATAAACGTAATTGTAACATATGTCAATGTATTATATTGTATTGATATTTTGCAATATTACAAATAGAAAATGAAGCACAATAAATAATGTTGATATAAGACTTTGGTATTGCGACATTTTTTTTAACTGTACCGAGCACAAATCTCACCAATAGAACACTTTCTCTTGATTCATAATTGTACTTGATAATTTGTATTTAGAAAGCTAAACAATTCTAGTTGTTTTTAAATGGCTATGTTTGTAGAAAGCTGTGTTTGCCTAAATAAAAGCTATAACAATTCTATGTTTTCCTTTCAATTTAATCTTATTAAAATAGATGTTTAAAATTTGGATCATGTCACATCCGTATATACAAACAAATGGAACAAAGAAGATATTTATGGGGTTTATTTGTATTATTATTTATCATTTGAAACATAATGAAAAATCAATTTGCTTATTATTCAGTTTTGCTTATATAAAAATACAAATTTAAAGTACAAAAAAATCACAGAAAGTCAATACATGGGTTATTTGTGTGAAGAATCTAAATCAACACTGTTTGTTTATTTAAAAAGCCTTTTGAATTCTGAATGAATCGCAATGTATTAAATTTTTGTAAAGAACAACACCTGGCCAATACATTGGTCCGATAAAGGCAAGCTACATTTGCTCTGGGAAAGGTACTACATGTACTTAAGCATTGAAATAACCTAAATGGTGTTAATACAAAAGGTAAAGGTCTTTTTTATTATTGTGTCACTCCTACTGAAAAGGTCAGCACTTTCTGACTTATGAGACACTTTTTGCGTGCATACAATGCACCTCCTATCTGCTACCACTATGTCAGGCGCCAGGCGGATAGAAATAGGTAACCATTCATTTTAATTACGAAGCGGTCATTTCGGAACGAGTCCTCAAGAACAATTCTTCCTTCAATTAACGCTCCACGTGGGGCTCGAACCTTTAAGGCGGAGGCCTTAACCTTATAGGCTAACAGTACTAGTTAATATTCTTATTTATATTTATTTATATTTCAGCTGCTTCGAAAGTTACAAAGCTTTCTCAAACATGGGGCGGTGCAGGTGGTGACGTAAAGATAACCCTTAGCGGTCAAGGTGAGTGTTCGAATGTATATCAGATTTGAAATGAATCGTATTGTAATTTGCTTTTCTCTTTAACTTACAATGAATGCTCCTGTTTGGAATCAAACACTTATGTTTAAAGATAAGATTACAAATCGTATGTCACTGTTAAGCCGTATCTTTATTGTGGTTTGTTGTGAACCTGACTGAAGGAAGCTTTGAAAACTAAATGAACGAACGAACAAACGAAAGAACGAACGAACGAACAAACGAATGAATAAATGAATGAATGTTGCTTTTGTGAATGAATATTAATTTGTTGTACTAGCAGTGAGTAGGAAAAGATTGGTACATTGATAAAGTTAAGTTTATTCCCGACCAGCTCTATGCGATTAATGTTCTGTTCAAAAGAGTGCAACAGCTTTATTTTTTGCTTTTGTAAATAAATGTAAGCGTAAAAAGAGCATACTTGATTTAAATACTTTAATTTGTTATTTTATTCGTCATTCGACATTCTATCTTTTGATACATGGGAAAACAATTATATTTGTATGTGATTTTGCAGGGTTTTCTGCGAATCAATTTAGTTATGGTGCCGGACAGGAAAACTTGGGAAATAAAGTGACCCTACTTGCGGAAAAGGAGACTCACGTCTGCAAAATTCATCCAAATGACTGCACGCAAACCCAAATCGTTTGCTATACGCCAAAGTAAGTGTGCTATAAAATCTTCTAAATACTATGTTGGAACACCATGAATTTAACTTTTTGTATTAGGCACTTACAAACCTAAATGAGAACATAAATAAAACATATAACTGGATTCAAGTCAGTTGTGATTTAAAAACAGTATGAAAGGTCATTGATAAACTAACAGGGGCACTATAATAATAATAATAATAATAATAATAATATCCTTATTTAAAGAAGGTTACACATTAAGAACATACAATAACAATCATATATATCTTATTTCCAAAGTGGCCTTCTGAAAAAGAAAACAACAACAACAGCAGGACATGCATAGGTAGAAAAATGAATGTATAATATGTAATTTTTAGAATAATACAACTCATATACTTTCGACAGGCACTCAACAATTTTTGTTTAAACATATATGTATATAGCATCATTTGTTCGTTCGTTCATTCGTTCGTTCATATATTTATTCATTCATTCATTCACTCACTCATTCATTCATATGAACATCAAGATATGCTTTGTATTTTTCTTTAAAACATTTAAGGTTATTAACATTACGAATATTTAAAGGTATATTGTTCCAAATGTTCATGCCATAATAAGAAAATGTGTCTTTAATATAATTTGTTTTAGGTCTTGTCCATAATACAATATCTTTCCGTGACCTAGATCTTAAGTTATATATTTTGTTGTCGGATAAAGTTATCAGTTCTGTCATATACGTCGGTGCCCTGTTATTTAAAGTTTTAAGTTTGCACTGGCAAAGCACCAGTCAATATATCGAAATGAAACAAAAGAGCATGGAAATTTCCGTTTTAAATATTTCAAAATAATGTGCATATTTTTGAAAACAACAACAAAAAAAACAAGAGCAAAACAACCTTTATTTATTTATTTTTAAACGTGATAAATTATAAACGTAATATATATTACATGTACTTAATTCTCAACAGATATGCTAAACCATTCCATAAAAGCTCGTTATCTCTGATGTTGATGTTATAAGGGTTGGTATGAATATGTTTATGTACGAAGGAAAAAACTATCCTGCTTATCCTCCCACAAGCGCCATGAAAAAAATTATTTTCCTGGTTTACAGCACTATTATAAAACGATGACAATGTAAAAAGCAGAATAGCATTTTTACCTTTTTTTACCTATATGAGCCGCGTCACGACAAAACCAACATAATGGGTTTGCGACCAGCATGGATCCAGACCAGCCTGCGCATCCGCGCAATCTGATCAGGATCCATGCTGTTCGCTTGCAAACACTATTACAAGTAGAGAAACTGATAGCGAACAGCATGGATCCTGATCAGACTGCGTAGGCTTGTCTGGATCCATGCTGGTCGCAAACCCATTATGTTGGTTTTGTCGTGACGCGGCTCAATTATATTTCAGGGGATTAACATACAACACTGCTTATTCACTGTACGTGACTGTTGACGGGAATGTTGTGACAGACATATGTAGTTGGTGTACATTTACGGTAAGAAATTCTGACCTAAACACCTGAATATAATAACAAAAACAACAATGAAATTGTGCTAATTTTCCTTGTCATTATATCATACTACATTATATTATAGTATACTCTAAGGCGAAACATCTATATACCCTGCGCCCTTGTTTTGTAAATGTATAATATGCATGTAAACACATCATTTTCTACACGAGCCTATAGCTCTCATTTACCGTTTTGTATATAGATACTTTATAAGTAAAGGTGCTGGGGTGTATTTAAGACGTAGACCTGTACTAACGATATGCTTATGATACAGACATTTTATATATTATTATAGTATCATTATTAATCAACAATGAAAAAAATGTTCTGTGGTTTAGTTGCCCTGATTTAAATTTGGATTAGTTCATTTATATTTAAAACAGTTTAAATAATAAAGGCTGAAAATAAACAATTAAAGTATAAGATCCGTTCGAACTCTCCGAAAATGGATGTCCTGAATATGCACTAGTGACATGTTCAAATCATTATGGTTGCTTGATAACAAATATCAAACAAATCTTATATAATAACTTAATAGACAGAATTACATATTTTACAACTAGTCAATATCTTATGTCATAAATAAACAAATCTTTCCATTAACTTCCATATTACGTTATTATATGTTTTTCTTTCAAAGCCAAGGCGATGGGCAACCCCGGAGATTACTTCAATCACGCCTTTTAGTGGAGAAGTTGGTAAGTTACGATTTGGACTACAAATGAGCCGCGTCACGACAAAACCAACATATTGGGTTTGCGACCAGCATGGATCCAGACCAGCCTGCGCATCCGCGCAGTCTGATCAGGATCCATGCTGTTCGCTTACAAACCCTATAACAAGTAGTGAAACTGATAGCGAACAGCATGGATCCTGATCAGACTGCGCGGATGCGCAGGCTGGTCTGGATCTATGCTGGTCGCAAACCCATTATGTTGGTTTTGTCGTGACGCGGCTCAAATGGTTAATACAACGTAAAAGAAAAATTTTTGGCTAACCAGGAGTATTCTTATCCGACTGACTTACGCTACTCACTGCGAATCATTTGCTCCTTAATCTATTTAGTAACAGAAAAACAGTGAACTTTTGAACTTCACCGACAGAAAAACATGTTCTATTTCTAGCCATCATTTACTATGTTGGTGACACTGGCCAAACCCTAACCTGACATAAGGTACAGAAACACAACAAGGGTCATATGGATGTTTTATAGTTTTCTTGGACACACATAAAAACCTTTCTTGACCTCTTGCAGCACACAGGCACTGACAAATTATGCCGAAAGGTCACAAGCTTACATTTGTTCTCGGAAGCAATACATGTCATTTGCTCACTAGGATAACTTATGACTATGATGCCTCAGCGACCTATTTTTGCAACATGAAACGTATTTTGTACATTTGACCGATACATTTTGCAAATCTTTCAATTTTATAGTCACGTTTGGCAATATTAATAATTTATCTGGAAATACACAAATGTTTACATTAAATACTAACTCCTTCGTCACCCAACACAGACTTTCGTCCTTGACTAGTTAAGGCATCTACTTAAATGAATATTAGTATAACATATAAAAACAAACACTTTCCATAACGGTTTATCATATCAAAGGAGGTGAACGTTACTTGAACTTTATTAGAATTTGTAACTTTCGAGGGTGCTGACTTACCCGTCACTTATAATTTTTTCCTATTATCAATGAATGCTTTTACATCTTTGTATTTAATTGTTTGACATTTAGAAATGATTTATGAAATGATAATGTTTACACCACAATGACACGATTATGAATCGTCTGATTTTTCTCTTTCAGGCAAGATTTTACTTGATATGCACGGACAGATATTTACCTCTGTTTATGGAAGCAACCAGGTCGCCACTAACAACATACTAAGGTATTAAATGCTAATGTTTAATCAAAATATAATGTATTTATATAAAAACATGTCACATTGATACTCATCAAACATTAGATAGAAAATGTCAAAAGTTAAAACAAAATTACATTTTGTCTTGCCTTGGTGCCCTCCCTTCAACAATATTACCGGTGGCCTGGCCTGACACTATAAATCTTTTATAGATATGTATATATGTATCATATTGAACACGTGTATATATATAAAACGATAGCTTTACCTTGAAACAACCATATTACTAAGAACTGTTCACATTATAATTATTCTAAAATGATGTTCAAATTAAGAAGCTTATTCCAGGGCTACGCTATCAAAATGTTTACTAACTAATAAAGGAAAATGTGATTGATATTGTGACTGTGCGTATACCACACTTGCAAAAACTTATATATGTATATAATAATGCAAATAAAACAATTTTCAAATATCGAAGAATATGTAAAAATGTGTACCGCAAATATTTGTGCACATTATATTTAATCAATAAATTACATGCACTCATTTCTTATTGGAAAATTTGACTTAGAATTTACAGAAAATAAATTTCTAATTACCTTCCTTTATTTACATGAAATGTTAAATTGGGAAATACCTTTATAAATAATGCTTATTGGAACTTAAAATATTGACAAATTTTAATTTGAGCATCATATTTTTTAAATAAAGCCATGGAAAAATTGTGTTACAGGATCTTTAAAGCAACCGGGAAGCTTAGCACGTAGAGTCGCTGAACGGTATTCCGAAGATTTCAACAGACTGCACATGTATGTTACACTGTGAAATTTGGCGCCAAACATGGGACATACATTATATCCGCAGAAAAACCCATTCACATGAACAATTTGAAACATTTACTGACTACAATACAAATAGATTTTTTTTCTATTTTTAGATTGTATGGGGCAAAGGGAGAAGGATGCGACCCCTACAAAGCTAAAGATGAGTTGTAAGTATAAATAATGTCTGTAAGAACATTGCAATTCTTTCAAGAAAGCAACTAATTTTGTAACGCCATAAACGGTGGACTTATCTGAATCATTTCGTTTCACCATAAAACAACGTAAATATTTTATCGAAATTATCTAAACTAAAATGTAATCTGTAGTGATTGCACAGATTTTAAGTAATAACGATATTTGAATTCACTGTCGACAAATAATTCACTGTCAACCAATGCTTAAGAAAATGAGGGTCTTATCATAATTTTTTGTACCTCCAAGGTCAAGGTTATAGGAAATTATCAGTTAAAGTGTATTCTATATTTTAGTTACAAACTTGAAATGGACTCGGAGCCTACAGGTACAAACAAAGGCACAATACAGTGTAAAGTCGAGAAAAGTTTTGTTGGAGGTTTTGAACCAAGAATAATAATAACTGCTCCGTACGGAGGGTGAGTCATAATATTTTATATATTCAATTCTTTCAGAGCCATATCACATATATTAACAAGGTTGAATTGTTTACAGCTATATATTAAACAGAGGAACGGATGTAGACTTATGTACATTTCTTGGTGTAAATTTGGAAAACAAAATGAAAATATTCCCGAGAGATTGCCGCACTAGGGCCGTTATTTCATGGCAATCTTAAGGCGTCCAATATTGCTAAGATTTGTGCAGTGACATTGCAAGTAGACTTATAGGGATCGTAATGAAAGCAGAGTGATGGGATGGCTTTCACTTTGAGATCAAACTTGGGCTACCGTATAGGGTCGCCATTATAACGCCTCAATGTCTTATATAAAGCTACAGCAGACTGTATCGCCAAAATAGAATCAAAGGTCTATTGTCGCAAATCTAAGGCCAATTGTCGCAAATCTGAGGTCAATTGTCGCAAATCTAAGGTCAATGGTCGCAAATCTAAGATTAATTGAAACTAATCTATGGTCAATTGTCGCAAAGTTAAATGAAGATTTTCACCGCATTCTAATGTAAAACCGTGTCTCTACCACGCATTAACGTCTTCAACATGCGCTCAGAGCTGTAAGAGCAATAGACAATGCTATACCTAAGGACATCACAACTAAATAAATTATTAATATATGAATTTTATTCATGGACGAATGTGGTCTAAACAGGCTATGTAGTTTTTGTTTTCGTATTGATCATCATTCTGCCGCACCTATCCTACTATCATATAATATACAGACATTCAAAATAAGTATATTATGCAAAGATGGTTATTTATATAATTTGTAATGGAAAATAAGAAAATATGACACATAATATATTATCTGGTTTTGTATTATTTTAGGAGTGTATTTAGTGGCAACTTCTACAGAGTTTCAAGAAAAGGGGTTCGTTATGTGGTCCAGTCTTACACAGGTAGAAAACAAATAATTGAGCCGCGTCATGACAAAACCCACATAATGGGTTTGCGACCAGCGTGGTTCAGACCAGCCTGCGCATCCGTTCAGTCTGATCAGGATCCATGCTGTTCGCTTACAAACCCTATAACAAGTAGAGAAACTGATAGCGTACAGCATGGATCCTGATCAGACTGCGCGGATGCGCAGGCTGGTCTGGATCCATGCTGGTCGCAAACCCACTGTGTTGGTATTGTCGTGACACGGCTCATATTAGTTTTGGGTTTACATGTGATTAACCAAACCTTTGCATAAGGCTTGGTTCTCGACAAGGCGCCGATAACATTATCGTATTTTAGGTATCAATCTGTTTAATTATTGAGAAAATTGGAAAACTGACTGCAATTTTCCCGACATGTTAAGAGTGACACGTTCCATTTATTGTCGTACAACCAACATTTTTTAACTTTTTTACCCTGAACGGATATGATTCGATATGCAATTAATACAGGTCATCTTCAATATTGTGTATTTTAGTACGAATGAAAACAGAATTTTATCTCAAGTCTACATAAGTTTATCAATATCAGACATAAACATATTTACGAATGATCTATTAATGGCGTTTTCGTTATTTTTCTGACCCATGTTCAGAAAGAAAAGATCAGGATCAGGATCAAATGATCCTGATTTCCAATTCTTTGTTTTATAAAACTAAAACTTATCGAATTTTGCTAGAATTAAATTGTACATATTTGAAATGAAAAAAATTGCTGATCTACAAAGAAACCAACATATTTTGGGATAAAATTAAAGAATAATATACAATGCAATAATGGATATATACAATTGACAAGATTTGAACAGTTTTACCTGTACACCGCCTGCCTTTAGCCAATCAAAGCAGATAATTCAGTATCACATGATAACAAAAATGGACGTCAAAAACTTCAATGAGGGATGCAAAAATGGGCTCGCCCAATTGCCATGTTTTGCCGGGTTACCTAGTCGTACAACTGAAAAATACCATTATCAATGTACTAACTCAGTACCAGTCTCTTGCAAAATAATCACAGCAAATTGCAATATTTTTTGCTACATATCAGTTCTGATAGAGTCTAAAAATGAGTATATTTTGTTTTCTTTCAAAAACTTTCACTTAAAGAAAATAACTTTATAAATGCTTTCTTCCGGGCGAGTTTAATACTATGCGTATTGTTATTGCATCATTATCGCATATAGCAGGTCAGTTATAGTCACTTTCAGAAAAAAACTTCGCAAAGCAGTCGAAGGTGTCTATAACGTAAATTCCATTTATAGCATGTTCACAGTAGCAAGTAACTGTTGTTAATTACGCAAGAAGCTAATTCTTTTTGCCGATTGATGCACGTACTTATTAAGTAGCGCATGAAGCCTAACTTATTGTACTACGAGTCAAGTTACGGTGATATTTTTCTCATGGGCAATACTGAGTATCTCCTACATTCTGACCCAGCAGAATCTAACTGAGCGCGTCAAATTATTTTGACAAGAACGGAATGGTAGAGTAAATCAAGTATTTTTGTTGGCTTTATATAATGAACACATGCAATAAAGTATTAGGCAAGAAAGGGAATATTATTTCTATATTCATGGCTGAACGGCGATTCCAAGTATTTTTGGAAATGCTTATACTTGTTAATTGCAATGATTTATCGAATGTGACCATTTTACAGGTATAAGCGGAATATCGCCATCCACCGGAAGTGAAGAAGGTGGAACGATACTAAGAATTAGCGGTGGTGAATACGACGCAAATTATACATATACGGACGCTCGGGTTTATGTAGGAGGTAATTTGTTATGTTTTCTGGAATAAGCAACGAAGCGTGTAAATTATTAAGAAAAGATGTTTTTTTAGTTCCTAGGGCATCACATTTATAAAAAAAGCTAGTCTTAAGCAGTACTCAGGAATATATTGTATGTCTCCTTATTATCTTGAAGCTTGTTTGATATATTGGGAAATGTGCGAACACTTCCGAAGATTCACATGCTGATGGTGAATGCATTTCCTTAAAGAAATTTAATGCAGTTCTTCACTTTCTTCTGTTTTAAGATGCGGTTTGTCCCATAATTAAACTGGAGCGAAGTCAATATATAGATTGTGAAGTACCTGCTAAACGAGACGTAGCTTGGTATGCTGGTATGTATTGTTGTTGTTGTTATTTTTGTTGCTGCTCTTATTGTTCAAATCAATTAACATTAATATCCATATTTACATTGCTGAGAGAATCATAAACATGATCAAAAAAGGCATCGAAGGTAGGCAACTGCAGGAATTCTAAAATGTATTTATGTTTGTAGTAACTGCCCTTGTCTAGTGTTTTTCAATACTTTGTTGGAATTTATGTAAAAGATACGTACTTACTGTTGCTACTAAATTAGTATGTATGAATATAACAAGCAAGTGTCTTAACTGACCAGGTGGTGTTGGGTAACGTAGGTAGTGGGCTAGGGAGTTGGGTATGGGGTAGGGTAAGGTAGGGTAGGTAGTGTGCTAGGGAGTTGGGTATGGGGTAAGGTAGGTAGTGGGCTAGGGAGTTGGGTATGTGGTAGAGTAAGGTAATCCGTTTATAATCATCCGGTGATGTGTTTGACGGCTCTTAGTCAACATTTTAGTTTATCAACATATACAATAAATATCGATTAAGGGTAGTTACACAGTAGCACGTTTATATGAGCCGTGTCACGACAAAACCAACATAGTGCGTTTGCGACCAGCATGGATCCAGACCAGCTTGCGCATCCGCGCAGTCTGATCAGGATCCATGCTGTTCGTTATCAATTTCTCCAGTTGTAATAGGGTTTGTAAGCGAACAGCATGGATCCTGATCAGACTGCGCGGATGCGCAGGCTGGTCTGGATCCATGCTGGTCGCAAACCCACTTTGTTGATTTTGTCGTGACGCGGCTCATATACACATCACCGGATGATTATAAACGGATTACCTTACTCTACCACATACCCAACTCCCTAGCCCACTACCTACCTTAACCTTCCAGCACTAAGGGGAATGACTTTCACTTTTTACTCACGTGGTCCAAATAAAATGTCCCAACGCATATAAGCAGGAAGGTTGTTAATGTTTAAGGCAGTTATACCAGTGATATTAAAAATTTAACATTTCATTTTAAAGGAAATCGCGGAGCTCTTGTCGAAACGTTTGATAGCTCCTTCAGTACGTATGAGGAGGCACGTGACACGACAGTGACCGCTAGCGGGGTGGAATGGCACGACGAGACAAAATATTGTGCTCCACTCACTAATAAATGGACCAGAATGAGGTTTATATTTGATTGCCCAGGCGCCGGAAACTGGGATTTCAACATCTGGGGAGACGAAGGGGCAAAAATTTATATCGATGACGTGCGTACTTCAATTATTTACTACTTTTTTATATCGTATGTTTAAAAAAACAACACAAAAAAAAACAAAGCCATTGTATTCATTAAAACAGTAAAGAAATAAAAAAAATTTTGAAACAGAGCTAGTACTTTTCTTTAAGCAAGGTACTTAGTACTTGGCGATCAAACGTATTTCGTTAACGTTCAAAGTCTCTCAATATTTTCCATAAATAAAGTGAAATGGCATGTCATATTTACACTTTACTTATTTACACAATGTATCAAAATGGCATTATAAAACTATCACATTTACTATTTAACTAAAAGGCTATGTGAAATATATATATGTGTGTGATAAATTATGTTTAATTTACATTTAAAGGACGCCGGTGTGGAAACAACTGGCAGTACTTGGAAATATGCTGGCAGAAAAACTCTTGAACTAGACCAAAAGTTTGTACAATATCTCTTATGTTTACTTTAAAACGCAGTCTTTTTACTGTCATTTCTGTCTTTGGAAGTGCATGGTATTCTCTGGCCTCCGTGTTTGACGTCATAAAGCCTTCGTGACTTGCGTAAAGGTTTTTTTTCTGGCTTCCGAGTATTTGACGTCATAAACAACTCGTGATATGCGTATATAAATGTTCATTGTGTTATTAGCAATGCTCCAGTCGTGCTAAATTAAATGTATAAGATTAAAAAAATGGAAAATAGATATATTCACTCTAATACAGAGCACGTTATCTATTTATATACCTTATCTATTCAAATACTTCATTTTATTTGGCAATAGAGTGAAAATGGTCGTTGTCGGTCAACCTGGTACGGTTGATACATCTTGCGTGCAAATAAGGGCATTTTTCCGCAACTCTACTGCCTTGCCAAACGAAACAAGTAACAGTCTACCAGAAATCCAGAAACTTGTTATAAATTCCACAGTCCAGTACGAAAACTTTGTAAGTTATTGTTATTACATATAATTTGAACAACTATTATTTTAGAAAAATGTAGACAGAAATTTGAGGAATGTCAATATCTTTTATTAAAATGATATTATAATTATATAACAATAATTAGATGAGCCGCGTCACGACAAAACCAACATAATGGGTTTGCGACAAGCATGGATCCAGACCAGCCTGCGCATCCGTGCAGTCTGATCTGGATCCATGCTGTTCGCTTACAGACCCTATAGCAAGGAAACAAGCTGATAGCGATCAGCATGGATCCTGATCAGACTGCACGGATGCGCAGGCTGGTCTGGATCCATGCTGGTCGCAAACCCATTATGTTGGTTTTGTCGTGACGCTGCTCAAATACCTCAAGATATATAGCCTTTTTACACTTTGAATTTCGTTACATTTTTCTTGCATTTATTGATTCAGATTTGTCAACGAATTGTTAACGATTTATTTTCATTTTTTTCCATCTAAACTGTTCTAGACACTGAAATTTACGGACCTTTCGCAAACAACACCGGTAAACACAAAACAGAAGGTTTGCATTGATGGTGGCAATGAAATCGTTAGACTTGGATTATACGGCGCATACACGGGTAAGTCCTCGTACCATTTAAATTTAACATGCTTTTTTTCGGTCAAATAAAGCATTAGTTAAACATACCAGCGGGGAGTTTCTTGGTATGAAATGAAATACTTGACTTTACACAAGTACAAATGGAGATACATGTATCATTAGTCTCTGCAATCACTAACCGACATACATTTTTTATCAATTACCTACAACAATGCTGTATCGACTTGACATGATATGTAGTTATTTTTTTCAGTACTTGTTGATTTAAGCGGCGATGTTACTGCAATAAAAACAGCTTTAGATAATCTCCCTTTCAAAACAGCAACTGAAAATTTTGTTGTCGCCAGAGATGGGGCCAGTTGTGTTGACGTCACATTTGAATCCACAAGAGGTATGAACATGTGTATTTTGTTAAACATTGCTTAGAATTGTAGAGCGTAATAGATTTATCAATATTTATTCCTCTGGTAAAAACAATTACGGAATAAATGGATTTTCTGATGATATGACTGCCATGGTTTTTTCTTCTTATAACAGTTGTGAAAATCACGGAAAAGCACCACCGTCCGTGTCTGGTAAAATTTTCTACTCCGTATTTATGTGATACATAAGTACTTTAATTGTTAGGGGAAAATAACATGTATGTGTCATATTTGAATAAAACATGTAAACATTTGCGTCGCTTTTGGATTTTTATTAATTTTATTAAATGAAAACTATAAAATATATTCACTATTTTTTGCTTTACATAAAACAAAGGCATGCAGCGTGGAAGACTTAGACTTTTCTTTTGCATAATTATGATTAATGTATTTTTGATTTTATTTTTAAGGCAACATCCCACTCCTGGGAACAGATCAATCATCGGGTTATACCGTGCAGTATCTTACACAAGGCAAATCAAACAACTTGGATTTCGCCTTCCAGTTTGTGGACACACCCGGCCCACTGCTAAGCTATGACCCGTTACAGAAAGCTGAATTTGCACCAAAGGTATTTGAAAGAATAAATGAGACATACGAAATATTGACAGTATTTGGTAAAGCTCATATTTGGTAAAACTAAGCTAAACAAAAAAGGCAGTACTCAAGCATTGTTTTCTGATTGACGTACCAATGTTATCTTTCAAACAAATGTAGGTTATGCGAACCAGAAAATTAACAATTACCACGTCGTAGACAACTGCAGTAATTCTAAAATTTATTTATGCAAGTAGTTACTGCCCTTGTCTAGTGTTTTAAATTAACATATTAAACTATGTTGCAATTGACATAAAATATACGTACTTATTGTTGCTGCTAAATTCATCTTAAATCCTAGATTTTATAAACTGACATTGTGAAAGAAACATGGTGCAAATAGAGAAGGCAATAACCTTATAAATTTAACAAAATTAACGGATTTCCTTTAACAACAGTTACTCTTTCTTTATGTTAATTTCATATTGTAGGAGTAATTGTTAAAGGGACTCTACTGCACTTGTTCCATTTTTAAAATCATTATTAAACACATGTTTGACATTTCTAAAGAATCAGAAATCTATGGACTTCTGAGGCAAACTAAGCCTTTAATACTTCATGCATATTGAAAATATTAATAATAATTTGATAGATTCAAGAGGCTTTGGAGGAAATGCTCGGAGTACGATGTCCACCAATGTTTACAGCCAATGCTAAGTATGCGGAGGAATATACCGCACAATCAAGTAAGCCTGGCGAAACACCGACAGCGGAAATTACTCCGTTCTGTGGCAGATTTAGTTGTGAAAACTGCAAGACGTTATATTCAGCTGCTACTGCAGACAAGAAGTTTACTTCTTTGACGGAATCTAAATGGGTATCTTAAACTTTACTTTTTTTGTCTTGGTAATCATGTATTTAGTTCTGATACTTAGCGCTAATATCCTCTTCCACAAGATTATCAATTATTTGACCATTCACATAAAACATCGGATATCATTGGATCAGTTTATATCACCTTAAGCTACACGGTTTCAGTTTGCTTTTGACTTAAAGCCACATGAACAAGTTCGAAAAAAATGACGTATTCATATATTTCAAAATTGTCTTGTAGTTATGCCTTGCATCAAGAGGTCTTGACAACGAAGATATTCGCCTCAAGTTTAGTAATAAACCAGACAAGACTCCAGTGTTATCAAGCAAATTCGTTTTTCAACCAGAAAACATTAAAGAGTAAGTACTATATTTTGGTTTGATTCGGGTTGTACCAGCAAAGTCTTTATATCATCTCATTACGGTGGCATACTATATATTTACTTATGTTTCATGTTTACGTTTCATTATCGCCCTTCTTGTTGATTTAGTTCAGTATCTATGGACTCTTGAATACATGGACTCTATTCTTTTAACTGTATTTACGAATGTAGACAATGTTTATAAATTTAACATGATTATAGCAGTGTGCAATAAAGTCTTGATTTGATATCACAACTTTGCATAATACGTGCTTGAAGAGTTAAAGGCGTGTACTTATTTTTATTGTATCTTTATTGTCGTAAAATTGATCAAAATTACGTTCTTCTCACAAATTAGTCATTGTCTGCAAAATACAATGGAAATGGTCCCAGATCCCGCGATTATTTGGCCGAAATAAGATGCTCTTTAGAACTTATAACCGCTCCCCAAAATAACATCTTTATCAACAAAGTGAATTAATTTAATGTAAACTTGTTTTGCTTTAAAGGGATGGTGAATGGAAATACAAGTGTATTGATGTGCAGGATGCATTCAGCAATAAAAACTGGGGATTAGACAATACATTAGGTTTTGTGCTTGTCGATGCCTCCGTGGACAACATAGATAAAACAAATGATTTCTATGTAGATGAAGTGTTTATTGGACAGACTTCCCCATTAGCAACATTAGGTAATTTGGAATTATAAATGATTTTTAAATTACTTTTTACCGAATTTACATAGCATGGATGTTCTGCATATACTATTTGCAGCTCTCAGAACCCATTAAGGTTTGGTTTACTCTGTGCTATTTTGTATTGATATTTTGAAACATATCTTCTTCCGGAAACAAGTGTATTACACATTACTAAACAAACGAAGAAAATAATCCGGCTTCTTGTTGAAACATCTGTTATAGAAAATTTAAACTATTGTTGAAGTCACATTTTGAAATTGAAAAAAGAATAAGACATGAACAGTAACATGTACTATTCAATATATTTCAGGAAACACTCCTTTTAATAAACTCAGAATGCCTATTGCATATCCAAACGTGAATAAGAAAACAACAACAGACTGGGTATCGGTTGATTACAACAGCACTGAAGATAATTACGCTGTTTCGATAGCACCATTCGACTGTGGACACGACTTTAACCTGCTAACCCTTTCAGAAAGCAACGTATGTAAATTATGAATGTGTGTATACGTTTGTACTAACGGCAAAGCGGGGACATGTGTGCGCTTAAGATGCCGCTGGTCTCTGTTCAATTATATTCAATAAATGTTCGTGCAGTTACAAGCTCGATAAATACAGAAAAGAGTATAAAGCTCTATATCTGTTGCAAAAACAATATAACTTAACAGCTCATAAATTTATATGTTATGTCATAATATACAGCGAAATACCCTTTATCGGTCATAAATATCACGCTGACTTACGCAGTAGAGGGCAATTTGTATATATTTTGACCCTCTTTGGTAGTTTACGTTGATTGTAAGTGTCGTTTGCAATGTGTAAATTACTTTGTATGTTTTCTTCTTAATATTTTACTATAAACACATTTTCATTTTTTTATGACAATTATCATGAATCTGGAGGCATGCCGCTTCAACATACATGGTACAGAACTATTACTCTTGTAGTTTACAAAAAAATAAATTAAATATCACAGTATAAAAATTGACAAAAATTACATATTTTAATTAGACATATTTAATATTTTATCTCACGAAAATAACACGTTTGTGGCATATCCTGCTTAACACAGGTTGTGATTACATCAAATACAGCAGCTACATCAACCTTGACTGACAAGACTGGTAAAATGGTGACAACACGCACCAGTCAAACACAGAAACCAATCAGTGGCAAGTTTAAGATCACCTATAACGGAGTCACTAGTGCTGGTAAATTAAATAACTTTGATTTTTGTAAGCCATGAGTATATCCATAATTCCTTAATTTCAATTTTGGTATGAACTTATGCAAGGGAAACAACTACGTTTAGAAATAAATAAAATGTAAAATGACTGGGCACCTGTTCTGGAATACCTGACCGGTTTAGTTTAGCATTTATATAACATCTCCAGAAAACATTCTCCATACCTGACTGTACTGATCCGAGGGCAAATAAGTTTATTGTGATTTTTTTTCCAAATTCAAATTAGGGCAAATCCTTTAAACGAAATTTTTAAGGGTAAGGGTTAACATATGTTGACATATTTAAATGGACAATAATATCTTGGAAACTTGGATAATAGTTATCATATTGAATAGAGGTTACTTTCTTCTGAACTGTTTAGATATCGAGGCATTCAATTTAACGGAAGAAGCACTCAAAGATGTATTAGAGACATCCGTAGAAGATTTAGGAACTCTAGACATTGAAAGATCTGAAGATTCCACGTGTGCTAATATGGAGTTTGAAATCACGCTGACAGACAGACCAGGGGACAGACCAATTATGACGGTAAGTATTCAATCGTTGTGATTGTTTTAGTACATTTGCAATTTGTTCATAATAATGAATGTATAGTGGGTGATAACGAAACTTTTCTAAAAGGAAATTAGAATGCTTTATTCATTTCATTCGTCATCAAAACTTCTACGCGTAATTGCATACGGATTTTGTTATTACACTTTTGGAATATGAAAAATATTTCAATTTCTGAATTCTTTTTCTGAGGTTAGCATAATATGGTATGCTCAAATACGCAACCGATGTTAATTATGTGCGTTTGTATATTGTTATCATCATATCCTCATTGATGTTCTGTTGAAATTATGTCTTATAACAAGGTATCGAATGATATGAATTTAGTAACTAATCACTGAGTACTCACTTAATTTGACTCTATAATTTATATTAATTTATCAGAACAACATAGAGTTTAAAATCCGAATTTAAGAACGTTTTAAAACTCCTATCATTATGTCAACTGCTTCATCTTTTATTTGCATAATTTGTTTTAATTACTAGGTGACATATGACTTAAGTCAACCAGACGATGCAAAAGCCTATATACTTCCGGTCAGAGACGGGTACTACTATCATGAACTTATACGTGACGGAGATATTCTTACGTATCACACTAACCCGCAGGTAATAATGAACAAACTTTATGAACGCATTATATACGTAGAAAATTAGCGTTTGCTATGTATACATGACTGTTTTATCCTGAATTGTCATTCTCAAATGTCATATCACCAAATAATTTCAAGCTTAATATGCGTAAAAAAATTGCCGTCTGTTAAATGTGTCGTCTGCTGAGTATTTTTTTTTTCAATAACAAATAAAAGATGAGCGATAATCAGATTGGTTCCAAAGAAGACGCTGACTGATTTTTGGCCATTTCTGATATATTAGATATAGTTAGATTAAATTGAACAATGCTTTCACAATCATACCAAAAGTATTCTTTTTAAAACTGCGTTATCTGAATGTTATCTGTATATGTATTTCCTCTTTATTTAGGTTAGAGTTTACATCAACGATGTGGCAACGAAATGTAAAATGCCTAACAACGAGTGCGCGTTCAGTTGGAGCGCTGATGCAACGCCAAAGGTGACCTCGTTAGATAAAACCACGGGTACATTGTACAACCTTATTTTAATAAAACATTACAAACTTACATATTATATATGACAAATGCATAAGTTGTTTCATGAAATAAACGTATCTGATTTTTTAAGATCTCAACATGATTAATGTATGATTATTTTCATTGAAACTTTCTTAAATAATTATATTCACTTCTAACAAAATATGTGTATACTTTGTAGGAAGTGTCGGTGATACCCTAACAATAACAGGCATTAACTTCGATGCAAATAACACAAACAACCAGGTGACAATAGGGGGAGTAATATGTGTTGTGACGTCATCAAGCTCTGGACAACTAATATGTACGGTTGGAAACGGAGAGCTTGGAACTCATGCGGTTGTTGTTGACGTACAAGGGAAAGGGAAATCATCCGGTGAGACGACTTTCACTCTAGAGGCAGCGTTTTCTGGAATAACCCCGCAAACAAGCACCCTTGGAGGTATATCTACTATTACGTTGTACAGTCTTCTTTACGCAGTTCTTTCGTTCGGTTTAGTTATCTTCATTTGAAATGAATTAATTACTCTGAAATAAAAACCTTTTTTAGTTTTTCTTTTCAGTACTTTAAGTTTAAGCTTTACATCGTCTAAACTATTTCCATTTAACATTCTTCAAATGGGCTTGTCCTGCTTTTAGTAAAAGGCTTGTGTTAATAGTTATAAAGAGTTCGAAAAACTACAATAATATTATAATACCAAAAAAATTAAGGCAGGTCAGCAAACAAGTTGTACAATGTCAGGAAAGATGGTTCTTTTCTAATGACATACTTAGGTTTTTGCTGTATATATTCCTCGTTTAAAAAGGCCAATATATATATACTCAAAAATACATACATTACCTTGAATGTTTGGAATATATAAAACAAATGCTACCACATAAATTTGATTACTTGTATCGTCTGTACTCACGGAAGACTAATTTAATCGCGTGTACATCCTTGACATTTATAATCACAGAAAACCTTTCACAAAATAATTTGAAAATAATTTGAATTTGGTATTTTCTTAATATTCCATGAATAATTACTTAATTCTCAAATAATTTTTACTGAAAGGTAAATTGTTGGCATATTTCAGGTAATATAAACGCAACATTAACTGGGAAAGGATTCTCTAAAGATATGGTTGTGAAATTTGGGTCGGTGGATTGTGTAAATATGTGGTATGAAGATTCAACAACCATATACTGCCAAGTCCCAGCATATAGTGATCTTGTAAGTAATCAAATTATCGTACAAAACACTGCTTTAGATTTATATAAACATTAATGTTTTAACCTTCAAACTCAGGAAATGTTTCAGTAACAATGCCTTTTTCTAGATGATTAAAATGTCTGGTTATTCTAATATGTTTGGTAAAATAAGCATACCGATTTATAATTTGTGCATACCTTCAAACTCAAAAATGTGTGTTTTATTTTCTTTTTAATTTTAATTTGCTTAATCCCACACGACAGTTCAATATAGAGAGCATAGGATAAGTATCCCGTGGGCTGCTGGTTCGATTAAGTTTTCTCACCACTGATTCAGAAATCATGTGGAATTAGTAGTCGGTCACTTGCGGAGATATTGAAACAGCAAGGAAACTCATTTCCTGCTAGTTCATCAAACAAATAAAAGAATCTAAGATTAATATCAAAACATGTTTATTTCTATGAATAAAAAGTATGTTACAAAATTAAACACATAAATCTTTCCTTTTTCAAGACTGTGAGCAGCCAACAACAAGTGTCTGTGAAGATATTTTCAGGAAGTGTGGAGATATCTGTACCCCAAACATTTACATATACTGTTCAGAGCGGAATCGGAATAACACAAGTTTCTACTACTAGTGATCTTACAGTTCATGGTAAGTATATGTGCAGTTCATTATATAACAAGTATGTGGAAAATTATTGTTGGCATTGAATTTATTTAAAGCTGGTTGTAGAGGAGAGTACAATATGAAAAATAAGAAAATACCCTGGCAATATAAATGAAAAACTAACGTGCATATGATCACATCTTCCAGCAAAATCCGATCAGATTTCAAATATTGTCACAATTGCCGTGCTATCGGACCGCAAAATGGTTAATCATTTATCAAAACGTTTTGAAAATCATGTTTTGTCGTAAACATAGTGAAAATTTTAAAATAATAAAATAGATCTGCTTTAATATATCATAGATAAGAAATGATGGCAATACTCTGTTCTGTTTTTAAATATGCGTATTTTTTAATTTCTTTAGAATTCGACAATAAGGTTGCATTACAAAAAAAAACCATGACATATCGTTCAAAACGTCTGTTCTTGTTTTATCTAGATACACCCAGATCATCACGTTTAAGACACATTAAATTTTCTAGATCATTCTTTAACTCGGGAACCATACAATACTTTCCTTGGAATGACACGAACGTTCCATTATAACGGCCGTATGAACACATCAACGAATGTTTTCTATTTCAAATTTTCAGCATTTAACTGTTTAAATGATGACTACTGTTACAGCCGGTGCCGGGAGTGGGAGCAAGGACGATAACTTGCATATCGTTTCCATCCATAAACCGAACTCAATCAAACCAAACCTACTACAGTTTTAGTTTTATTTGCTATTTTCTCTATTTTTTATAGGCCAACAGACAATAACAATTGAAGGCACTGCTATGGGGACTAATGGTAAAGTGATGCTTGGAAAAACAGCCCTTGAAATACTGTCTCGGGTCGACACATTAATTACGGCTAAAACCCCACGAGGAATTCCAGCTGGGTCAGGACAGCCCCTTCTTGTTTTCTATGGAACTGATGGCGCCATATTACAGTCGTGAGTTTTTAAAATATGTAATTGATTCTTGTGAATAGCCTAATATTTTAAACGCTTGAAAAAGATTTAAACAATAATTAAAAACTGTCTTTTTTTTTATCTAGTAATCTGTAGCATTGAGACACATCATTTGGAACAAAAATTAAAAGAATCTTTCAAAAACTTTACCACCGATACTCTTTACCAAACTTTAGTTCATAAATACATAAGAAGTTTAAAATATTTTACCTATAACATTTTATATTACGTATTTTCCCAACATCATCTATAGTATAATAACTGATTTTTTTTATAATTTCCGAGACAACGATTCAGGTTATTATAAACCCATGGACAAAAATGGGAAATAGTGACCTTCAGAGCTGCTTTTTACTTATTAACGTAATAGTAATTAAGGATTAAACTGTTTGAGGCCAAAGTATGTTTGTTTAAGTATACAATACAAGATTTGCTTGATCTTTATATATTTGATTACTCAGAAAAAGTATACCAAGTTTGGATGTTAACTTAGAGCTGACTGCGGTTTCTCCGACAAAAGGGTCACTCGTTGGAGGAACAGAAGTAACTCTTACCGGAACAGGATTCGGAGATGTTAAAGATGACGTGAAGGTATATATACATGATTTTACGCTTTATCCATAACGTTACTTACCTTGCTCACAAATAAAACAGATAGTACGTATTTATCACTCTGTATACAGGCAAAATGGTCAACTGCTTTATCTCATTAAAATACATAATATAGTACAATTAATGCAAATTGCATTTTGATGGAAAAGCAGAGTTGATATTATTTGTTGGATCTATTTTCATCACAGTTGATACACGCTGGTTAAATGTCTGGTATGTCTTCAATAACAGGAGTTAGATATTGATTTTAAGCATCTTTTTTAAATGATTTTTATCCCATTCATCCGTTCCTTTTGAACTAGTGAATATTTTATCATTGTTATAGAAGAGGATTAGAAATAAAATTTAAAGCAAGAGTATTTGTTTCGAAGTTGTTGTCGACTAATTATCAGAAGTAAATTTGGATTTCTTTTTAAAAAAAACCGAATTATTTACGCTATTTTATGCTTTCCTTTGAGTATGTTTTGTATATTGATTGAATCGTTTATGATTTGAACGGCACTGTTTTTTTCAGGTTACTATTGGAAGTGATGATGATAAAAATGAGTGTTTAGTTACTAAAGTAGACAACCAACAAATACTTTGTGATATTGAGGACATGACAACAACATACCTTATCAACAATGAAGAATGCGGTATATAATTTATATCAATTCAATTTGAATCTGACATAAAATTCAACTTTTTGTTTGAGTTCCTTAATTTTTTATCGTTTATAATGTTAGGGGTGTATGGTTTTCTTGTTTTAGTTCTAGCAGATAAAACGTAAAGAACTAACCAGAGACTTTTTTGAAAATAAAGAAAGTTAAGTCTACAGTGTCTATGCTTGTACTTGACTTCACCCTTTGCCACTGGTATAGAGTCAAACTAACTTTATCTTGATATCACAATTATTGATAATTAACAGTAAAATAAATGAAAGCTAGACTATTCAATTCAATTATTCAAAGGAATACAATATTTATTTCAGGACTCGAACCAATATCAATCTTAATACAAAATATGAAAAACAATATGAACAAGAATTTTGATGCAGTTGTCATTAGATGTTATCAAAGATGATTTATTTTTATTTTTGATCCACTTGTCTTCTTGATGTTGGGTTTAAGAACATACCGTCGTCCGACACTGCGTTGGCCATATGGCGACTTTCTCTGTTTGTTAATTGAAGAAGGCCGCCGTTGGCACTCCATAAGTTATTTAAGGCACGAGTCAGCACCTGTGTCATTGACGTTTCATATGATTGTTTGATTCCTTGCTTTAAAGAATTCCTGAACAGAATTCGGACCCTCACCGATAAACACATGTCGTTGACTTCTTGCCATTTAACCATTTCGGTCTACCTGTAACAGGTGTTTAAATTTAAACAGTTGTTTTTGTCACTAAAAATAACTGATGCTTTTTCATTATATGTTATTTCAATTGTTAAAAGGGATCAAATTTTTACTTTCAGAAAAGGCACCATTTTGCTTTAACAAGAAACATTTGGAAATAAGGAAGGGGGATTCAGTTATATTTAGCTGGAAAACGCCTACCACTTCAGTCAGTACCGCCTTCAACATGTTTGAAACTGACAGCTTAGAGTCTAAGTTACCTAAGGAAGGAGGCTTCACTACCGGGTCTGTTCAAACGAAAGAAGGTAATAGTTCAACAGATGCAAGAATTTGAACGATATCTAACTTTCTGAAATTATAAATTTTGCACACTTCATTTGACATTTAATTTAACTTTTGACAAATTTTTTAGTTAGAATTCATGTTTAAATTGAAAGTGTTTAAATGCTGAAGATGTACACCTGCTGGAATAGAATAAAGTTTATACGTGTTTTATTTCTCAGGGAAAGTGAAGCATACATTTGTAGATCTTGGACCACGATACATACTTGCATGCGATGGAAATTGTGCAAACTTTTTCCGAATGATAATTCAAGTAAGTTCAGTACACATAATGTTTATAAATAATAACATGTACCTTATTAATATTACTGACATTAATGTGAAATTTCTTTCAATTACTCCCTTCATTTTGTATTATTTAATTGCATATTTTATAGTATTTATACCATTTTATGTGAAAATAATGTTTAAAATGCTTGTTCCAAATATCGAACTTGTTGAATCAATTGTTTTAGAGTTGTTTAAGTCACTTACATTAAAGAAATATAAACCAGTTGTCACTTATGTGGGACAGCTTTCTTGTTGGTTTTATGAAGCTCAGTTTCTTCAGACATGCATAGTCAACTCATGTTTATACCATTGGTACAGATTATGCCTAACAACAACCATCTTACTCCTACAAAATGTTTTAAATTAAACAGGGTGTACCAATTTTTAGTTCGGTACATTCAAGGTACCCTGCTATTGTGACCGGATTGTGTCGGGGACAGCGTTCTTTGAACGTCGCCTTGCTTTGTTGATCTTTCTTCGCATTTCTCATTTGTTTATATGATTCAAATAAATCAAAAACTGCTTCGTCGTTTAACTTATTAAGCATTCCAATCAACAGGAATATTCCAAGATAATCGTAACAGTTTGATTAACAGCAAATCATTGTTAGGCCGCGCATATAATTCATTCTGTTTTTCCTTTGAAAGTGACCAGTGATCATTTAAGAGGAATTAATATTAATTATTAACGTGCTAAACATCTTAAACAAGCTTGTCCTTTTTTCAATCTCGAAAAAAAAATTAGAGAACGTTTCAATGAATTTGCTTTCAAAAAGATACATGAAGAGTGCATAATAGGGCTGAATCAAAGCTGTCAAAAGGCAAAGGGTGAACGGTTCAATTTCATTTTAGAGTCTGCAAAAATAAAGTCGGTATATTGGGCAGTTTTTGTTCGAGGACATAGTCAAGATATAATATTCTTTAGTGTAGATGTTCAATTGTGATGCTAATGCAAATACTAAAATAACAAGTTACACACACATATTAAATTAAGGATGAAAATTGACGACACATTTTGTACTTTTTGATCATTCTTGTAGATTATGAGGAAGTTTGATGGAACATAGAAATTCTAAAGCGTTTGTTTGAAAGTTATATCCAGACCCAAATTTGTTCTATTGACATCATTATCTGCATGTTTCCATACTTTGCTTTCATTTTGTACCAGGTAATGCCAATGGAATCAGCAACAAAGACAATTCAGGTTACCGTTGTTGGACAAGTTGCTCCTACTGGCACTTCTAAAACAATTACCAAAAGTAAATAGATTAAATATATTTTCGTGTTCAATTAAGAATGAAAACTTTTTCAGATAATACACAAAGAAACAAACCGATATTTGCATATTTGTAAATTCAACTCATTCATGGTGATATCGTGCAATTTTGTTAAAGAAACTACTTTTGACTCAAACTTAAGGTATTTTATGCGACAAGATTTGTCATATTTCCTCACTGACGTCTTTTTAAGCAGTCTATACTAATTTTTCTCTCATTCAAATCTTTACATGTGCTGATTAAATAATTGATGATATGCAAATCATTTTACTTTATTTCTTCATATGTTTACCGTTTAAGGAGCAAGTGAACCAGTGGATGAGTCCGGTTGCAGCCTTGCCCTTCCTATCATAGAAAATTGCGATAGCGAAGCTAATGTCAATACTGAGGAAATTAACTTCCAATTTTCGTGTACTAGAACACCAACAATTAGTTCAATATCATTTAACCAAGCCGACCCTAATATCCAAAAGTCCATACTTCAAACAACAGCGTTGACTGTCAATGGTGATGGTTTTAGCAGCCATGATTGTGCAAACGTTGCGAAAATTGGAGACTGTCCTTGTACAGTTACTGGTTCTACTCAAACGTCATTTACTTGTACACCTGATAGCAGTTGTAATTATGAAACAAATGTGTACCAATCATTTTCCGTGAATGTCAAACCACTAGGAGATGCCATCTTTAACACTGAAGCAAGAATGGAGAAAGTCGTCGTATTTATTCCCTCCGTAATAAGTATTTCACCTCAATCAGGTTCTACGCAAGGAGGGACAGAAGTCACCATTACCGGAAATATATTTACTTCTGACATAGATCAAGTTGCCGTATCGTTTGGCGGAACAAGTGCAGATTGCAAATACCCAGACCATCACCAGATTATATGTACAACGCCGTATAAAACTCTTTCTGGTTTAGTCACATTCTCTGTAAACATTGAAGGGATTGAGGCTAAATGCGAGACTGACTCAAGTTGTAAATACAATTATGACCCTGATGTTACCTCAACAGTGACAGCAGTAGATCCTACTTCAATTTCAGCTTCAAGTACTTTAACATTTACTGGGACACATTTAGGTAACGAACCAAACCATTTAAGTATCACCGTTGCTGGCGAAGATTGTTACAATATTGCTATTGTATCTGATGACACGCAAGTTAGTTGTACATTAGATGCACTCCCCGCAGGAATTTCTATACCAGTTTTGCATGTTGCGGGAAAGGGTAATGCTGAAACAAGTGTAACTATCGAAGCCACCCCATCAGCAGCGATATCACCAGTTTCCGGAAGCATACACGGATATACGGCAGTCGTATTTAACGGGTTTGGTTTTGTTCCCGATCTTACTATTACGGTGAATGATCAAGACTTTTGTGAGACATTGACTTATGTTAGTTCCAAGAAAGTTGAATGTCTTACTAAAGCTAATGGGCAAGCAGGGACGGTGTCTGTACTATTAAAAAGTAATGACGTTGAATACAACACGATCGATTTTGAATACTCCGACTCCGACACTCCTGGACTGGTTTCCATTACCCCGGAGACAGGCACTGTTGGAATGGCTGTAGTTTTGTCTGGAAGTGGATTAGGAACTGACCCAACTCAGATCAAAGTACATATAGGCAACGCAGAATGCACAGATGTTACATTTGTGACAACGGATATAAGATGTAATACAGGCCCTCAGTCTAGTGGAGAATATGACGCCTCAGTAACAGTCTTAGGAAAAGGGCGTTCAAACCCTGTCACATTTAAATATACTATAACAATAACCTCATTCACTCCCGAAAGCGGTAAAAATATTTTTTATCTTTATTCTTGTAAATTCACATGAGTTCTGTAATTGTTTGGTTTGATGTGTTATTATTCTGTGACCATGCTGTTCAAGCTACACTTGTAAACACTAGTCCCGATTTTGAACTGTTTTTGATAATGGTTAATTATCAAAAACATTTTATCAGTATAAATTATTCCTTTAATATAAAGTTACAATATGTTTCATTCGCAATAAACTAAAATCACAATGTTCAAATGTTTGTATTGCTATTAGCTTTTGTCATGCACTTTTATCTTTGTTAAATATGAAAAATTGAAACGATTAAAGGATACTTTGGTTTTATGTGAGTAACAAACATTTATAAAATGAACTCGGTGGTTATTAGTCTTTCATTTTAAACAAGGTAAAAACTCCCTCTTTCTGAATGTTTAAAATCTATTTTAGAAGAAATTTTTGATATAACGAATCCCAATGATGACATGGTTCTGTTTTATTACATATACAAAGTGGTGTACATATACAAAGCTGCACGCCTCCAGATGAGCAAAAATATTTCAAGACATTCAATCTTTAGAAAATGTATTAAGATCTTAAGTAAAAAGATTCAATATTTAATTAATTATTCACATGGTATGTGCAATTTATGACTGATTTTGCAGTATCAATCACTATAATTCTACTGCGTTACTAGCAAGAGGTATTTATATATATTTTGACCTCTTTTCGATAATTTACGTGGATTGTAAGTACCGTTTGCAATGTGTGAATTATTTTCTTTGGATTTTTTACAGTATTTTACTTTCAAATACATTTTCAAAATTTTCGTGTACATTAGCATGAATCTGGAAGCATGCGGCTTTAACAAACGAATATATTAATAGATAAAACAAAAAGAAATTAAATGATGGAACCATAAAACTGTAAAAGTCAGTTTTAACAAATATGGCAACTATTATGTTTTTAATGGATTCACGCTCTTTTACAGTTTGCTAAGTAATCGGACGATTGCTGACGACCATACCTTTATAAAAAAATTTCTTGAATGACTTATTTTTCAATTTGTTAACAAAAACCGCGGGTCTTTAAAATTGACATTATGAGACATTTTCTCGTCATGTAAAATGATTTGCAAAGAGTTGTTACTTATAAATGATTGCTTAATATTGTACTGCAAAGTCAGAAATTTTCAAAATTTATTTTATGACAAAACATAAACGCTTATACGAGTATAACCTTTGATGTTTCTCATTATTGAAATATATTTTGTATGATTATCATTCAAAACTTTATAATTTATCATTAGAAAATTATATGTTATTGCAGGGGATATTAACGGAGGCCAAGAAGTTACTTTCTCTGGAAATGGCTTAAGTGCATCAATGGTGGTCAATATTTGCGGCCAGAAATGTAACTTCCAAAGTCTAACATCAACAACAGAATATAAGTGTCTGACTCCACAAGGCACTGGTAATGCATCAAGAATATATTAAGATAATTTTTGAGTTAACTTTTTGATAATTTTGACAAGATGTAAACAATAAAATTTCATAATAATGTAAGATGTCTGATTTAAAACACAGTTTGTTTAAAAAAGACATTTTTTTTAAACTAAAATGTTATAACCATATTGCAAATTGTTTCTTTTAACGCCTGAAAGAACTTTAATATTGTAAACGTCAATTCACATAAAAAACTGTACATGTATTCACTATTAACATGTCAAGGAATATTGTAATTCAAAGACTCAAACGTCATATCCTTTATACTATTATTATTTTTTTTATATATTAACAGAGGGAGACAGCTGTTCTGTAGAAATTCAAGAGGGCAATAATGACGTAATTACAGCTACAAAAACATTTAGTTATAATAAAGGCATGTCTCCAGCCGTCGAAAAGATTGAACCACGTAGCGGTGGTACAAAAGGGGGAACACAGCTTACTATAACTGGAGACAGATTCAGGTAAACGATAAGTTTGAACTCGTGAAATGTTAATGCCTTTCTATATTAATTTAAGACCTGTATATTTGTTTTTGTTCTCATTGCCTTAACTTATGTAGCATTTATGCAATTACTACAGTATTTGTTTTCTACAATATTTTCAAATAAGTACCTCATTCAAATGTATTTGCGGAATATATGACTGTCGTTTGTTACGACATTTGTATAAATATAGAACTAACATAATAAATCAAAGCTTAGCTTAATCATTTATTAGTTTATTTTCCTAATATATGAGCCTAAGGAAACGGATTTATTTTTGTTATCTGCCAAAACATAGAATACTTATAATGATAAATGACAAATAAGTGAAAAATTTAGCAACTCTTACCGCAGATTAAATGAAAGCTTAATGTGATTGTTATACTACGGAAATTGCAAGGAGGTAAATTATTGCAACTAAATGTTTCTGGGCATGACTGGGGACATGTCCGGGGTCCATACTCTACAGCAAAAGCTATATATTTTTTATTTTAACGGGTGGATGGACCCTCATTAGACATAGACTTCAGTAGAAGCAATTAAAGTGCACATTTTTTTGTGTGAAAATACATAATGTATCAGGGCACGTACTATAATAATTTAGATTGCCTGGTTACCTTGAGTAATTCATATCAAATTATTATATGTGTTGTTTCTGTTTTCTTTCAAATGATAAAAGCGACACGATGTCAGAGGTTTCTGTTACCATTGATGGAGTGTCATGTGTGCTGACGTCATCATCAACCACCCAAATTGTGTGCACCACTGGTGAACATGAAGAAACAAAACTGTCTACGGTTGCCGTAACTGTCAATGGTGTTCGGGCAACTGCTGTAAGATCATTTGAAAGTTAATTTGTAAAATTCTACTGATTTAATTTATTGTCATCAGATAAAGACGATCTTTAAAAGAGAATAAAGTTAAGTACTAAGCTAACGCCGTGCTGAGATTCATATTCCTATAACTTGAACTGTTTTATCAAGTTTAGATCATTTGAATACGTGTTTGGTAATCAAAAGCACAGTTGAACAATATATTTATTTTGTGCTTCATGATTTGAACCATTTGGTATGGCGAGGTCACGATATACAACTGTTCACCTTTTGGGAAGATTCTTTAAGCATCCTGGTGGCTGAACGGATAGATCATTGGAACGGTATTCCGGTGGTCTTGATTGTAGTACTGAGTCAGGCTGCAATTTTGAACCCGGAACAATATGGTTCTACAAACTGTTATAGACTGTACAAAACTTTATCAATTCAAACTTGGAATTTAGCAAAATATATTTTATGCTAATGTTTTTAAATGTAACACTTTTGAAATACCATAAATAGATAAATCATTAAAACATTGTGATTAAAAACCAAAAGGTCGATCAACGGACCCTGCAATTCAATTACGCGGATAAGTGGGGTTCCACTTCTACTTGGGGTGGGAACCCGGTACCAGCAGCTGGTGAATATGTCGTGATCCCTGCGGGAACAACTGTCTTACTGGATGAAGATACGGCAGTCCTCGAGATGCTCTTAATACAAGGTAAAGTTATCAGAATAAATGAAGGGAAAACCATTATCGAATAAAAAACGACAATTATTTACTAATTAACAAAAAACATGAATAAAACATCCGCCGCTTTCCCTGAGCTCTACCCAAATATTAAATACAGACAAACAAGCGGTATAACAAGTTAAAAAATACTAACTGCATTTAATCAAATACTAATATTTGCAATGTTTTACACACTTGTTTGCCATTCTTGATATAATTCTTGATTAAATTGATAGGAGAACAAATTATACTTACAATGCTTTATCTGCACACATTGTCAACGTGACATGGTGATTTGTATTACATAGTGTACCATTTTAACGAATGTCCTCTATGGCATTTTACTCGGTATTGTAAAAAAGCAACAATGCATCATAAAGGAAAGCTACACTTTAATAATACTTTTTGTTAAAAGCATTCATGTGACGCCTATAGTGTTTTTCACATTTTTATACATATGCAAAGACAATATTTACTTTCAACTTTTTTTTATAGTATTCTGGATATGTTCATTTCTTTTATTTAAAATGTTATTTTGTAGGCCATGTAATTTTTGACGAGAAAGATGTTACTCTTAAAGCTAAGAGAGTACTAATTATTAATGGCGGAAGTCTAATGGTAAGTTGTTTATCTTTTAAATGAATACCATCATTTAAATATATATGGAAGTAGCATTTCGAGGGTCAGTACTCGTTTACTAGGACAAGGAATTAGCGTCTATACGCGAAAGCTGCATACCATTTTTAGTAAGTGCTATCTGGCAGGATACATAGACTACATCTTTTGTATGTTTTTACATGGATCTTTATTACATGTAAATTGAAAATAAATCCGAGGCTTTAACTATCATTGAAATATTAATGTATCCAACAGCTAATTCTGTTAATATTTAGAATATCCTGACTTATATTATAATCATAATTATATTGTTCAATTTAATGTACGTTGCATTTGTTTCGTATAAGATCGGTACAGAGGAAGCACCGTTCAAGCACAAGGGAACTATTGAGCTTTATGGAGATTATCATGATCACGAGCTTCCAATTTACGGTACAAAGGTTGTTGCTGTCAGAAATGGAACACTTGGCCTATTTGGTTAGTCACTACACTTGTTGAATTTTCTTTTAGCTGAATTTATCATGAGTATGTATGTCAGTTTATCAATTTTTAAGATGTTTCGGGTTTTGTTATCACCATTGTCGTAAGGACATTTTACTTGTGTCTAGTAAGTATTTTTATTGACTTATGTTTGCATTATACGTTTTTAAACAATCACAATGGAAATGATATAACATCATCAAGAATAATTCAAATATTTCATCGTTAGCACTTACGGTAAAAAAAATATACTTGTAGCCATATTATTATCTACTTTAGTCGAAATGATCATTATACATTCATTTTAGTGTTATATTTATTTCATTTGCCATGATGTTATTAAACGTTATACAAGTTGTAAAATTTTCATTCCAATGTTTTGTGTTACTTCTTTTTCTTTTTAATGTACCTCAAATACTTATTCTGTCAATCAATGTTTTTGTTTGCTTTCTTTCACAGGTCGTCCGATTGAAAATACTTGGACATTGCTCAGTCAAACAGCAGAAGTAGGGACAAAGACAATATCTGTACAAGTTAGTAGTGGCATTTTGCCTGGCGGAATGTTACCATTTCATGTTTTATATTGGTCTGGTACTTCTGTTCTTGTGGATAGATTGCCTATTATTACCTATTAGGGGGCTAGCGATCATGAGAGATATTGCACATTTCATTTTCACTCATAAACAGAATTCATCAAACGAGTTATATAATCTTTACTTTCAAAGTTGTTAAAGAATATGATTACATGCAGGAATCTGTTACCATGGAAACCAAAAGTAATTATAGGCAAAAATTTCAAACATCTACTTTTAAGGACCTTAAAGGCCTAGATCTTAGATATTTTTTCGCATTGTCTGTTTGACGTTTACCAAATTTGTTCAAAATATAACCCTGGGATCATAATATTCCCCCCGGGGGTCATTGATTTTCATTATGTATTACAGTAAAAACTTTAAAAGTATTCTTGTCTAATGGTACAAGGCTAAAAAACTTTTATATTTGGTAAATAGTATTATCTATAGGACCTCTTTTAAAAGTGTTAAAATTTTGCCCCTAGGGCCATAATTGGCCCGTCCCCGGGGTCATAGGTTTTTTCTTATATGTATACAGTACAGCCTTAAAATCAATCTTCTTCAAGAGTTGACAAAAGTTGTAGGTAAGATACTTTGCAGGAAACATAGTTTAGTGGACATTCACTTAGATTCAAATAATAGAACTTAAAACATCTTCTTATCTAAATGTTCACGGCTTAGAGTTTTGATATTTGGTATATATTACTATCTAGAGCTCCTCTACCAATATTTTTCAAATTTCTCCCCTGTTGTCAAAATTGGCTCGGCCCAGTTGCCATAGGTATGCCTCGTACGTATATAGTAAATTTTTAAAAAATATCCTCTTATTAGAATTGACAAAGGCTTAAGGTTAGATATTTGGCATGAAACATTGTGTAGTAGAACTATACAAAGATTGTATAAGTATCAGCCCTTTGGTCAAAATTGGCACGCCCCGGGGGTCTTTGGTTTGCATAATGTACATAAAGTAAAAATTAAGAATTCTTCTTTCTTGTGTGAAGGAAACAACATTTATCGGAATATCTTTTATACATGTTAGCGTTATTTCAACAAAAAAGATTTATTCACTTTGACTAGAGACATCATAATTCACACCATTTATAAAATGATGATTTTAAATCGTAAATGTTTTTTTTATCTTTTTGGTAGAGTTTGCTTTTAGATAAATATTAGATTCATGAAAATTTGTTTTTCATTAAAGCCTTAAATTTATTTGAGATTATTCTAACGTATTGTTTTCTATTTTTTGAATTGCTCACAGTTTTATGTATGTTGAATTATCATACTCACTTTTGTTCGTGTAATCTGTGTTTTGAATACTTCCATATTTAGGGGCCTATAAATGGATGGCAGGTAGGTGATGAAGTGGTTATTGCAACTACAGATGGTCACAACTCGCAAGTGCAAACTGAGACTGGAATAATTGAAGATGTATCTGGAAATACAATTACACTTGAGAATCCTTTAGAATACAAGCATTTAGGGAATACTGAAAGTTACACGTATGTATTAATTTTTATGAATTTATCTCGATGTTTCTAAATTCTTTTTCGTAGCAACTCCTTAAAAGCAGTATTTTTGTGAAAGAAAATCTTAGCAAAAATACTTCAATTTATCCAAACAAGAATCCTCAAAGAAAGCCCAACACGACACAATTGAAAAGGTTGCAGGTACGGTTTGATTGAGCTTGTTCATGGACGATACTGTAAAGTGCAAACTACCGTCCTCGCCCCCAGCACCGGCTGAAGCAGAATTCAACATTTTTGTGTCGCCTTGAAAAGGTGACATATAGGGGTTACTTTCGTCGGTGGCGTCTGCGTCGTTGTCGGCGTCCCCTAAAGCTTGTCCGGAGTATAACTCAGTCACTATAAGTCTGATTGACTTCAAACTTGGTATGCATGCTTCTTTCAATAACCCGAAGTGCAGTGCACAAGGACCGGTACTCTGCAGTTCTTATTTTTGAGTTATTGCCCTTTGTTAATTTTCATACTTTAATTTTGTCCGGGCCATTTCTCTTCAACTAAAAAAGCTATGGACTTGAAACTTCATAGGATGATAGATCTCATTATTAAGAAGTGCAGTGCACAAGGACCGGTACTCTGCACTTCCTAATTTTTGAGTTATTGCCCTTTGTTAATTTTCATACTTTATTTTTGTCCGGGCCATTTCTCCTAATGTATAAAAGCCATGGACTTGAAACTTCATAGGATGATAGGCCTCATTAAGAAGAAGTGCTGTGCACAAGAACTGGAACTCTGCATTTCTTATTTTTTGAGTTATTGCCCTTTGTTTATTTTCATACTTTAATTTTGTCCGGGCCATTTCTCCTTAAGTATAAAAGCTATGGACTTGAAACTTCATAGGATGATAGATCTCATTATTAAGAAGTGCAGTGCACAAGAATCGGTACTCTGCATTTCTTTATTTTTGAGTTATGGCCCTTTGTTAATTTTCATACTTAATTTTTGTCCAGGCCATTTCTCCGAAAGTATAAAAGTTATGGACTTGAAACTTCATATGATGATAGATCTCATTAAAAAGAAGTGCAGTGCATAAGAACTGATACTCTGAATTTCTTATTTTTGAGTTATTGCCCTTTGTTGATTTTCTTACTTTATTTTTGTCCTGGTCATTTCTCCTCAAGTATGAAAGCTATTTACTTGAAACATCATAGAATGATAGATCTTATTGATAAGAAGTGCAGTGTACAGAAACTGCTGCTCTGCACTTATTATTTTTTTAGTTATTGCCCTTTGTTATTTTTCATATTTCATTTTTGTCCTGGCCATTTCCCCTAAACTACATTGTTCACAAGGCGACACATCCGACTCGCGGAGTTCTAGTACATTATAATTGTGAAATTTTGAATTTAGAAACATCCGCAGATGTGTAAATACGGTGGTTATCATGGAACTTTCAAAGTTTCTTGAAGTTATTTATATTTAATGACAGAAAAACACTTCTTTTATTCCTTATATCAAAATGTCAAAAAGCTTTGAAATTTTAATGGTTTAATCTGGTAAAGATATTTTCTTTCATGACAATTTATTTAAATTCATCGCTTTTTCCAACATATAACAAGCATGTGGCATTTTCTACAACCATTATATCATTAATGATTTGTTTCTGAGGTATAGAATGCCTTAAAAGTCAAATTCTCCTTATAATGTGTTAGTGCTACAAAAATCAGAAAAGATCAGAGCAGGTGGCCAATCGGTACATCTAGACAATTTTTCATAAAAAATCAAGGTGTCTTTTTTGAATATTGACCTGCCATTGATAAATGTTTGAATGTCAACAATTTTTTACGATTAACGTATTAGGTTTTAATGACTGTACCTGATGAAGACTTTGAGTCGAAACGTTGTACATTTTTCAAATAAGATAATAAGATTTTTAAATTGAAACTAGGGTTGATTTCTATATTCAAACATACATCAAATTCTCCTGAAATTCTTAAGGAACATTTTTTTAACTCAAAGAAGAACATGGAGATTTTATCCATATTTACAAGAACAGTACCAAAGATGATTACAATGAAGATTCAGCTGTCTTTGAAATTCAATTTACGTCTAGAATGAGGTTATCTGGTAATGCATCTATAGTTACTGCTGTTTTAGCTTTGTCATAAATGTAAAAGTATGATTGTATATATCAATAAAAAATTGATAATCTTATAATATAATGATCAAGAACCTTTGTTGCGATTCCATGATATCTTAAAACCAAAAATCTGGAAACGAAGTGATCCCTTGGAAGCATTTATCACAACAAAATTATTCGAAAATTGCAGACTCGGTTTGATTGAGTCTGTACGTAAGGGATAATGTATAAGTGCAAAATCCCTCACGCCCTCTAGCACCGGCTAGAGGGATATTCAATTCTCATCACTTAAAAGTACTGGAATTTAACTCCGTGAAATTATTTTTGATTCCAAACCACGTAAGAGTAAAAGGAAATATAAAAGAAGTGTATGTTCTACACTAAAACATCTTTAATTAGTCAATCATTATGGTAACTGTTTACAAATAGGAATTTTAATTCTGGAATCAGGGTGATAAACCTTTCATATTAAGTACATTTACATCATCTGAATAAAAATTTTATTGGGACATAGCCATACTTATCAAACTTCATGATAAAAAACCCTGCCTTTATTCTTCTTCTTTTTCGCGATCCTAGCTCTACGCCGACACCATTTCGTGACGACACTGCACAAAATGTAATTCCGGCACCTTTTTCATCCCGCAGTGAATTGTTTGCCTCTGCAACGCAGACCTGGGAGTAAAAAATTTTCCTTTACCACATGATCATGTTATGCATAAATGGCCATTTCTATTATGCTTGTAAAATTGTTGTTCAAAAAGTACGATGTCTGCGTTGTAGAGGCAAAAAATGAAATTAAAATGGTTTCTGGTCACTAACAAGAGATAGGAATGAAATATTGTTATCTAACTTAAGTTAATAAAAAGCCAGCTAATATGAAAATCCCGGTTGGGTTGCTTCTAGACTTCGTCAAGGTCATTGTATCTTACACTATAAAATATTAGCTTTCGTACAATACTAAAACGTAGAAACTTATATTGTAATCAAGCGTTGAATATAATAGCAGGCTTTTATGAAGGCCACGGTTATGATTGTTTAAGGACCCCCTTGGGTCCAGGTTGCTGATTCTACAAAAATGGTTTCCGGATGAAAATTATAATAATCAGTAAACTATTATAATTAGAAAGTTTATTCAGAGACTTTACTGAGGATTTCTTTGGGACTTCCGTCAGGTCCGGTCAATATATCATTGTTACTTATAATAGAGCAATGGTTAATGGACCGTAGCTAAGTGGTAATGACACTTGGCATTTACTAAGAATTTCAAGAGAACTAGCTTGAGTATGCTGCGGGGCCCTTTATGTTTAAGGTCAATGTCACTGTTACTGAAATAGAAAATGGTTTCTTGAAGATTACTAAAATAATCAATTAATTAATTAATTATAATAGTTATTGGTACACGGTACTTCAGCCCACATATTATTTCAAAAGTAGAGGTTGCTAGTTGGGGTATGAATCACCTTAAGTTATTGCTCTTGTTTACTTTTTAAGGCATAGAGACGGTTCTACAGCTAAAGTTGAGTATAGGGCAGAGGTTGGCTTACTTTCAAGAAATGTAAAGGTCATTGGAAAACCTTTAGCTGGGTTTGATACAGCGATAGAAGCATGTCCCGATGGCTTTGATACAGGTAGATATTGTCTGATATTCAACATTTGACTTGTACCTTCATATGAATTTGCAGATGGACATCATTTGAGATCAATGGAAAGAAAAGCAAAGAGGTCAATTTGCAGAATGGAAAGTTTAAGTTTAAATACATTATAGATATAAACATCATTTATCTCCAAATATGTGTATCCATGATCATTATGAAACAACAATCAATGAAAAAGAAGCGGTAATTTCTTATGACATTCGTTATTTTGTTATCTTATACCATTTTCAAGTGCTATACTTTAACCATTTTCAAGTGCTCTGCTTTATTTCTCAATTTATATCGTTTCAGGCGAATTTAAAACACAGACATGCTTTCAAGGACGGTTTGGAGACGATGTTGGAAGTGATCAATTCGGAGGCACAGTAATGATGCATCCAGAATATCCTGCTAATAGTACAGATACTAAGGAGCAAATAGTCAAAGGCCAGTTCTCATATGTTGAATTTGAACACGTTGGCCAAGCATTCCGCCTTGGTCGTTATCCAATTCATTTTCATTTAATGGGCGTAGTATCTGGATCCTATGTTAGAGGCTGTAGCATACACAATACATTTAACAGGGCAGTAAATATTCATCACTCCCACAATATTCTCGTGGAATATAATGTTGTGCATAAAGTTATGGGCGGAGCTCTTTTCCTTGAAGACGGTATTGAAACTGGAAACATATTGCAGTACAACCTTGTTTTGTTTGTCATATCAAGTACTAGTCTTCTTAACGACGATATTACACCTGCATCCTTCTGGATAACAAATCCAAACAACACTGTACGACATAATCATGCAGCTGGGGGAACACATTTTGGTTACTGGTTCCGAATGCATGAACATCCAGATGGGCCATCCTTTACTCCTGATATTTGTCCGAGAAGGGTGGTCATCGGAATTTTCTTTAATAACACTGCTCATTCCTTCAGCTGGTTTGGTCTTTGGGTGTTTGAAGAATATTATCCGGCAGTCGAGGGTTTATGTAAATCTGAAAAAGGCCCAGCGGCAGCTATTATTGAACAATGTACATTTTGGAATAACAAAAAGGGAATGGAGCTGGTTACGGTCGGTGCCATTCATACAGTGAATCTGATTGCAGCTCAAAATTTTGAAGCCAACTATGAAATTAAATTGGTAAGAAATGCTGCCCCTGTTGGTGCATTGTTAGATAAGGCTCTACTTATCGGACAGGCAAACTCTGTAGAAAATCAGAATGATGATGGCATCACTGATAAGGGAATAGTTTTCCCATTTGCGGATGACTTTGGCATAAAGGACACAAAGTTCATTAATTATAACGATGCGAAAAGTGTGTGTATCATGGGTACAAGTATCGATGGAACATGCAGTGACAAATGCGGTGCATACAAAATTGAAACCTCACAATTACTTTTTGAAAATGCTCCTAATCGCCTTTGGTTTAGGTGGTTACATGAAACAGTTATCAAAGATCTTGATGGGTCGTTATGTAACACTCCTTATCCGCAGATAATTGTTCCGACAATGAATACTTTGCCGGGAGATAAATGTAGAACAGATTGCTCTGCGTATGCAGTAGGGTCAACTGTACCTCCAAGTAATTGCGATACTAACATAAAATTCACAAGGTTTGGGTTTGACCAATTAGTGCCATCTTCTGTTTGGGGGAAGAAGGTTAATTTTGTCACCACATTTAGCGGAGCGCAGGTTTCCGTTGAATCTTACTTCAGAGATCACCGTGTGGAAAATAAGAATGGGTGGATGGCGTTGTTGCAAGTTAACGAGACGCACAGCATAGAGTTTACAGTTACCGAGGCTATGATAAATATTTCGTTTGTTGGCAGGATCCATGATATGGACGTAAGTATTTTTTTAAGTGTTGGAAGATCTAAACGGACATTCATATTCTATTGTGTATGTCGTTTCAGATCTATTTTCTTGTTAAGGAGTTTTTCTTTAACTGATGGAAACTACATCTTAAGACACGTGTTGCATGTACGCTTAATAAGGGCGAACCAATTACAAAAAGGAAAATAAATGCAACTGGTTACAATTAATGCTATTCATACATTTATCAAAATGTTTAAGCCAAATATGAAATTTAGTAATTAAGAAATGCTGGCCCTCTTATTGCGTTGCTAGATATTTCAGTCTGCTTTATACTGATGCAATGTAGTGATTGGCGTATGTGTACAAAACATCTGAATAATATTCCTTTTTCGGAACACCTCCGTATTTACAGATTAACTACATTTATCTAATAAATGGGCTAAATCTAGCATTATCCAAGTTAAATCAGATATTTACATTACTTCATATATAAAAATATATTTATCTATATTCTATATATGCTTCACTATAGCCTTATGATTGCCTCATGCTTAAAGTCAAGTTGGTGGATGTGCCTGATAAAGTGTCAGTAGACAATGGAGTGACCAACAGACCTCAAACAGAAAGCCCCCTTGATTGTTCCAATCCAGATATGCAGACAGGGGACTGGTATTATGAAGACAAAGAAACATTTGGATACGCAGTTATTGCATGTATGTACTAAGGTCTTTATTAAAAAAATAGAATTTGATTAGTTGTTTAAATATTCCCTTTTCTGATTGAGCCTTCCTATCATTTTTGAAGCAAATGCTGTGGCATATGGTCCAAAGATGAAGTTAACAATGCAATACATCATGTATCACACAAACCATATATTGTTTAAAGTATAGTTGTAACTGGCATAGCTGATCTTCTCACAAACAAACTTTTTATTCATGACAGCTAAATAAAAAATTCTTGATGTTATGATCCATTGCAATAATGAAAGAAAATTATAAACTGAAAGCAGAATAAGTTAGTTATTAAATAATAACCAAAATCAGCTTTGTGAATGATAAATCGATGCATTTATGGACATCATTAATGAATTACTAGTTAACAAATACTTTACCGCTTGTGTTACACGTTAGTATGATTATGTTTTTAATAGGTACTTAGGCGCTTCGTTCTTTGAGTAGATTTTGGCTCACCAGAATACGGCGTATTCTTATAACTTTCCTCGTGCAAAACGATTTCGTTCTTCGTTTTTAAAAACGAACCAAATAATTGGACATTTTCTACTGGTTTACCAATGGTTAAGGTTTTCTATATTATTTATAATTGTCTATAAACTTTAGGGTTTTTCAGTTCTAATTTGTTGTTTTATATCTAAAACTAGGAACAAACTGAGCTTGGTTATTTAGAATAAAGCTTTCATAGTTTCCCTTCATATAAATGCCTTAAATTATTTTCTAAAGGTCAAATATCTCCCTTTCAATATGGACGTCAACATAACTTCATATATATCAAAAGTGAATATAGCTCCTATGTCACGATACCAACGTTTGGCGCCCTTGTATTAATCTATTATGAATACAGATTTCATATGCAGTTATAAAACATGCATTGCATATAAATCTGCTCATGGATGATTTAATTAGTTTATAGTTTTTACAAAGTTTGTAAACATTGACCTGAACACTGCATAAATTTAAAGCAATGATGCAATAAATAAAAAATAAAAAAATTATCTGATTTCAGTTGTCAACAGAGGAAACGCTAATGTAGATATCAATGTCAATCTGAAGGTTGTTAAATGCTTTTTTGAAAATTGCATAACTCCCACACCGGCATACCTTCTTCCGCCACCAACCGAGAGACCAAGCGAATTTCAGCTTTGGGCAGATGCCACTATATGGAAAGTGGATTTGGACATTAATCTCCGAAATGCTTCTAAAGACGCAGATGGGACAAACGTTGGACCTCCAGAAGAAGATCAGGATGTTATAATAGAAAAAGGTTTTTTCACATTAAACAGAAATTCTGGCCACCATGTGTGCTAGTGGTACATTTCGCACATAAAAACGTCTAAAGTCCTTGGCGACATTCGAACCCACAATTGTTAAATGACCACATAAAGTGACTATTTTTATGCCTTAGAGTTTATCGTTTGAAATTTTAAGAAAATTGGCAATAATTATGCAAAGAATATTTGATTATTTCTAATTGATGATTTATATCTATGAATTCATGTATGAATCCTCAAAGGTTTTATCTTTTTATGATTTTCAGATATGTGGGTTGTTATATCAAAATATAATACACCTAGACTGGGCGTAGTTACAGTACTTGGTGGCCTCGAGATCGACTATGAGTTTGAATACAACTACATTTTTAGTGCTAAAATTATAATTGTCAAAGGTGGACGATTTCATGTTGGTTGGCTAAACAATCCTATTCAACTTGGAACAGTGAACATAGTGCTATTGGGAACCCGACAAAGTCCGCCATATGTGGATATCGATGGTGTGCCTCTAAGCAATAAAGCTATAGGTAATAACATCACTGTACACTAGAATGTGTACATTTTTGAAAAAATAGCATATTTAAGCCAAGAAAATGTATACATTTATGTATACATTATCTTTTTGTAATGTGTTGACAGGCATACACCTTTGCCTTTCTTGATGTATATTTTTGGCTAGAATTGATATAGTAGGAAGAAAGTGCTAGGGAAAATATTTCTGCGTTTTCGTAACTTCATGTTAATCTTAGCATTTTTGTATTTAAAACCCGAAGCGTCATGTAATGAAGATCCATTTCCTGTCTATGAAGGTTCAGTTTTTGTAACCCTATACTTTTAACCTAGCTGTTTATGGTAGAAATTCAGTGAAACAAAATTTTCTTTAATTCTAAATGAATAACCGTTTCGAACACAGTTTTATAAATTTCATTTGCAAGTTGAACACTATTCTAATGGTACACATACCTTCACTGACATTTGAAATTTATTGTTTTATTTTTATTATTATTATTTAAGTTGTTAATATGATTAGACTTCTGAAATATTAAATAATCCGTTTAGTTCTACTTTTACGAAATATAAACAAAAATATACAATTTTGTACAAAATATATTTTTCATGCCTAAAACGGTGAATATGAAGAAATATTTTTCTTAATTATCTAGGTGTTTATGGTGGTCTAGAAATGATTGGAAAAGATGTTGTTAAATCATGGATGAGACTGGCAGAATCTGTTTCTGCAGGAGCAACGGTTCTTAAAGTTAGAGATGATGCATCTGCATTAGCTAGTTGGAAAGCAAATGACAGGATTTTCATCACTTCAACGTCAACAAATAAGAAAGATCTAGAAGTTGCGACTATAAAAGTTGTGAATGCTGCGTCTTCAACTATTACTCTAGAAAGTGCTGTTACGAAGAGACATAGCGGTAAGAAATAATGCCTGACCTATTATTTATACATATTTATATCTTATATTCATATACCTTACAAGTTTGTATGTAATGAAAATATCATATGTGTCATTTAAAACTTAAGAAAGTACCACAAACGTTAATAACTTCTATTGCTCTGTATATTTAATGAGACGTAATGTGCGTTTTGTGAAATTTGCATTGCGATTGATGACTTTTTGTCAGAACAATAAACGGGAAATTAAATAAAATCTCCTGTAAATAGATTGTGATAATTAAAAGCTAAATAAAGAATGTCCAGACAATTATTGATATGATCTCAATGAATTTTAAATGTTCACAAACAATAGTTTTCTTTTAATTCTTACCGTTTGTTATACATGATTCTTGGTTCTACAGGAGGATATGAGACTGTAGACGGACAGGATATTGATCTGGGAGCTGCAGTTGGTCTACTGTCACGTTTAATTACTGTAGAAGGGGAGGTTATCAATAATGATCCGGATGCATGGGGTGGTCGGATGCTTGTTTCAGTTACATCGCTTGAGAATGATATTGTTTCAGGTAAGAATAGTTCACTTTCGTACTAAAAAGCTAAGTCTCTAAATAAGTAGTGGACCGCTATTCCGTATTTTTGTAGTCAACAAAGTCGCTTTTGTACTTGTTTGTGAAATATTTTACATATCACACAGTACTAACTTAGTATCTGCGTGAAGGCATAATACACCTATTTCCTGTGTTATTTTAATTTGTCATGTCATAATGTACCAATTATATCTTGTTTGCTTCGAACTTTCCATTCGTAACATTCTCAAAAACATAAGTTATAGAGACCCAATGGCGCAACATTTGGTAATTTATAGTTTAGTCAATACCTCAATTACTGGAGTTTTCAATCACTTTTTTCTATCAAGGATATGCTCGACTCCACAACGTGTTATTTCGTAACATGGGTCAGGACGGTTTCAGGGAAGACTATGATCCAAGACATGCTGTTTCCTACGTCAATACAATGTTTAACGCTTCAAATAAACCATCCGAAGTTTACAACTGCGCTTTTGAAGATATCTACAATGCTGCTATTGGTGTAATTGGAACTAAAGATTTAACTGTAAAGGGCAATGTCGTTCTGAAAGCTCTTGGATCTGGTAAGCATACCAATGCTACTTTTTATAGCAGATTAAAAATAGTGTATAAAATTATAAATTGTCCTTAAAACACTGTGTTTAACTGTATAAATATATCATATAGAATCAATAGAGCTTATACAATTCGGCAGTTTTCTAAATATGATAAATCGATATATTAACATATTGTGCTAACATTTTTCTTGTTTATGAAATACAGGATAAAAATCTCTGAAATTTCAGAATACAAAATAAAACTATTCAACGACATTCTTTAAATGTGAACCTAGATAAGTGTTTAAAATACAAAAAGAATAGTTGAGCCTGTTTTACGTATGTTCTTTATACAAATAAATGCAAGATTTAAATAATAAAATGCTTTCATTTTAAGATTAAATATACACGTATATTAATGTGTTATAATCATTTAAATGGTGTATTTCTTTACAAAGCCATTGTAACAACGTCTGAAAATACAACTCTAAAAGAAAACCTGATAGCCAATACCTTTTGTTCTGCTGCATTTGATGGTCGCAAAGAGGAATTCAACTTGGCACTGGAATATGCAATTGAGGCAATCTCTTCAAAGTCGTTACAAATGCACGATAACTATGTATGCGGATCCGAGCGTATAGGTTACCACGTTCCTGGTATCGCATGTGACGCTACGGAGATATTCTATTCCAACAACTTTGCTGTAGGAAATCTCATTGGAGCTGCTATATTGCCTGATGACAAACTCACTCTTGACAAGTGTGTGAAGTTATCAGGCTTTACAGTTTTTAAGAACTTTGATGTCGGATTATATTACCATAATACTCTTAGTCTGGTCGCTTCAGACAACATATATTCAGATGAAAATACAGGTATTTTCCCCATGGTTATCGGACCAAACCCTTTGACTCATGAGATAGGAGGAGAATATGCAGAAGTAAAGGATTCCATCGTTATTGGCACCTCATCTGTAACCAATTGCAATGAAGAAACAGAGCCGTCCGGAGATTATATAGATCTAAGTTCCAAGCACAGGAGCAGCAGAGGTCCGAATTCGGAACGTCTAGGTCTATTGATGGCTGTTTTTACCGGTGGAAAAAATAATTGCCCAATCAAACCATGTTTCAAAATAATGGTTTACAATGCAATTAGTGGACAAATGAGAATTACAGGTATACTAATGATTTTGTTAAAATATATTTTTATCTGCCTTTGCAGAGAAAGCAAATTTCTTTTCATGTTATTGTACCAAATTTCACAGGTAAACCATTGTTAATAAAAGAAGCACAAGTAAAGCAAAAATTATGTTCTTAGATAACCTTGTCAATTTACTTATACTAGTATATAGGATTTTTTACGTGACATGTGTGCCGTTACATCTCAGTTAAATCTCACATTGACATTTTTATGCCAACATATTGTGGAAATCCTTTTTTGTTGGAGTTTAAGCTGCAACAAAAATGTTAATGAAATCTTCTTAACTTACACACAATTTCTAGTTTTTATCTGTTTGCTTCAACATATTCTTATTATTTTTCAGGTGTGACATTCGTGAACTTCAAAGGCGAGAGCAATGGTTGCAAAGCTGCGTTTGCTATCGCTACACTAAAGAAAAATGACGATGCTAACCATCCAGTCCTGATGTCATCTATTACAAAACAAGATGTTGACACACCATACTCTGTACTTATACACAGACCCAATGTAGAGTATGCAAAATGTTATATATATTTTGTTTCGACTTTCACATTTTCATGCATGCATATTCCAGGCACGAGTTGGCAAATTTTTTTTCGTAAAAAAGCTTCCTCTCATAAAGAACCGAAAGTTCCTATAGTAATTCTTACCCAAAGCGGTTGGATGCTACTTTATCATAGGCAGTGTCCTTATCCACTCGGCAACGTTGGCCGCACCAAACCTGACTCGTATGGGTAATCTACTGACATTCTCTTTTGTTTTCATACTGATACGGTTACATATTTTTAGCGCCATTTAGATGTAAAGTAGACATATTAATTATTTCAGTTGCAAAATGTCTAAAAATGTTTTTGTTGGGTTTTCATTTGCGTTTCAACTGAATATTCAATAATATAAAACAACTACATCAGCTGATTTACGGATTTTTTTGGATTTGTTTGTTTGTTTGGGTTTTTTATTATTTTTTTTTTTTTAGTATTTTGTTTTTATTTACTTATAGAGACTAGTATTTTTTTCTCTCGTTATCTACTACATACATACTCTGTAGATAAGAATAATTATTAATGATTTATCATTTTATTCATTCTTGCTTTCGTATCAAAATTATCGTAAACAAATTGCAAATCAAGTGTATGTAGATGTGCATGCATTAATGAGATAATACTAGTTGTGTTATTGGAAAACATTTCTTCTGTTTCCTTATACAATGTTGAGAATGTTTTTTGAATGGTATTTATAATTATCTATAAAATGTCCCCGAATAATGCAATTACTCTTGATTAAGAAAATCTGTTGACCAAGGAAGATTGGAAATTAGAATATTCAACTTAAACACTTCAGGTATTTTTATTACTACCTAGCTATGATGCTATATTTAATCTTCTTCTATACCAATGTATTTCATACGTAAACATTTTAGTAAGATTAACTCTGCCGATTGCGTGGACATGGATTGTGATGCACTGAAGAAGGTTCTGTTGAAGGATTTGGACGGAAGTTTCTTAGGTCAAATTGGATCTGTGATTTCTGAATCTGAGTTTCAATGGGATGGAGAAGATAGGAGGAGAGGTGTGAATAATTCATAAATGAGCCTTGTCACGACAAAAGCAACATAGTGCGTTTGCGACCTGTATGGATCCGCGCAGTCTGATCAGGATCCATGCTGTTCGATTACAAACCCTATTACAAGAAGAGAAACTGATGGCGAACAGCATCGATCCTGATAAGACTGCGCAGATGCGCAGGCTGGCCTGGAACCATGCTGGTCGCAAACGCACTATGTTGGTTTTGTCATGGCACGGCTTAAATGTATTTGTAAGCGTGTCTTTCTGGTTATTATACCAATAGAAACACATTTGTTTTGTGCTATCTAGATGAGTGGTTCCTGTATAGTTTACACAACTTCCCTTTTATTTGCAAGTCGTAGGAAATTAAAATATCACAACTAATTATGTGTTACTAAATGTTTCATTCATGTAAAACAAATGGCATGCTAGTTCTAATAGTTCTAATCTAAAACAGGTCTTTATGACCAGCTTTACTTTGCCTGTTTCCTGGCGAAACTAATAAGAGATTTTTCACAACATTACAAGAAACACCAGTTTAGTCATTTATTTAAGCAAACGCATCAATCTATGTTTTTCGCTTTTGGTTTCCCGGTTTTAGCAAAAGTCGTAGTTAGACTTATTGTATAAGATCGAAAGAAGAAACATATATAGCGAATGAAAACAAACATTTGTCTTATGTTTTATCTGAAAAAAAGAGATTTTTTAAGCATATTTTTTTATTTAACCTGTTTACATGTTTGTAAAGTGATAAAATGATAAAGTTACCTAAAGTATTATGTTTATTTATTCCAAATGACTTTAGGCTTAGGTGACTATAGAATTCCAAATGCCGCTCTGATTGACGAGAATGGCGTAAAGGTTGAAGTTGATGACTTGGCACCGGCCGGACGAGGTAGTTTAATATTCCTAGAAACTATACTATAATGGACACTTTTTCTATTATTGTTATCTTTCTACAGCTGGTGTTTATTATAAAACAACATAAGGTAGTAAACAAAACAACATGCTCAGAAACATACATTTGAAAGGTCTCATCTGATTGTCAATTCATCAGGAAATATGTTTCATAATTTTATGATGACTAAACGATAGTTAAATTTGCCCTGATCTCTGCACCGTTTGCATCATGGTGAAAATGTGTCCTTTTGATTTTACTTTTTCCGCCTTTATTTTACAAAATCCACTTTATACTTGTTTATCAGATTAAGGTAATTTGTTTTTATTACACTATTTATATAATAATATTCAGCAATTAGTAAGTAACTCAACATATATGTTTTAATAATGATTATCCAATAAAAGTAATCTGTTTTTATTACACTATCTATACAATTACACTCGGCAATCATCAGCTCTATCACCACCTACTCCTATCAAATAAGAATTGCATGAATAGTTAGACTATAACTAAATCTGAAATCTTATATGCGTGTCAATTTAAAGTTGTTTACTTCTATATGTTAAATGGAATATTTTAGGGATTGTGCGCACTGATAGTTGTAAGCTGATAACGGTATCAAATAATGCAGCAGCGCATTATTGGTGCCCGAACCTGAACTACGAGATGATGTTGATAGAAAGCTTTGATGCGGACACGGAAACCAGACGTTTAGGACCAACTGCCTTCTTTAGTGGGAACTATGTTGACTTGATGAATGGCCCACAAGATCACGGCTGGTGCAATGGCTACACGTGTCTGAAGAGAATATCCACATTTATTGCAATGATTCTTGATCAAACTCCTGTTGGTAGGTTAATTTATACAAATTTAGATGACTTAAACATCTTTTCTAGTTTCTTGTCTGGATAAATGCCGTACTACGGTTTAGAAAATTGTTTTATTCGTTAATAAACCATATTGTTTTATTCTTGTATAGATGGATTAGGCGGTTTTAAACAAGTCCATGTTTTGAAGAAAAAAAAATGTCCATAAAACTTACGATTTTCTTTCCTTGAAAATGAAAAGCATTTTTATTTATGATCAGTATATACAAATTTGACTGTTATGTAATTGTAACCTCGGAGCAAAGCTCTTATTATAAACTTTCATTTCAGATATCTATTTTAGTAGTACCCAACCGGATCACATTCGCTTTGCCCTAATCCGAGCTGATCCTAGTAGGTGTGCAGTGGTAGGCCTGTACTATCTCAATCCGAATCGCATTGATGTGTACAAGAATACAGTTAGTAACAATGATTTAAGTAAGACTGATTACATTCTTCCTAAAAATGGAGAATACGACACTAATGGCAATTTTAAGCTGAAAAATGAGCAAGGAGTTAACTATAAACCAACTTGTTCTGATTTACATGGCGCTAACTACATAGACAGAGAAGCACATGTTATCTATTTTGTTGTGAAAGGTGGTACGAATACTATCCATCTTAAACGAGCAGATGTCATTGTAGTGGCGATGGGCTTTCCGGCGATTAAGATGGAGGACTTTTTCAAGGATGATCTTATAGTTAATAATATAGCAGCCTTATTGGGTATTCCTATTGAAAAAATACGTGTTCTTGATGTTGTATCTGAAAGCAGTGTAGTAAGGCGGCGACGATCAACTGAAGAAGGAGGAATCACTGTAACGTTTGAAATAGGAGACGAGCCCACTGACAGTAAGCTTATGTTTTAATAAATATGTTTTATCGTTACAACATATTTTAGAATATTATTGAAATTTAGTTCAATGTAATTGGTAGTTTTGCTGACCCTGCTTTCTCTTTTTAAACACTAGCAAGAAATACCTTAATAAGTTTACCATGAAAATGTTCTTTTCTTTATACATGCATTTCGTATATTATTTTTATAATTTATAAACCCGGTCAAAAACTAAGTAGGGTTGCAGTGACTGGTAGTGGAAATTAAATCCAACAATTTCCGACCGGTTTTCAAGTGTTACCTCTATAAGTGAGTACGATTATAAAGTGTGAGAAATGATTAACTCGAAATGCAAAGGCATTTTACTAAAGACATCAGTATAATTTTGGTGTCTGTATTGGATGTGACTTTACAAGTGATCTTCCAAATTAAAAGTTTAATCCAACTAAGGTAGGGTCAGCAAGTTGTAAGGAAATACTGGTGAATTACACTCACTTATTTGGAAATAAAGTTGAAGGATGATAAAAAATGGATGTGTTTTCATTATGAAAACTGTTTCAGAACAACTTCAGCGCATCATTATCATCATCATCATCATCTTCATCATCATCATCATTATTATTATCACCATTTAAAAAGTAATTTCTTTTTTTCTAAATAGATGTAGACTCGCAAGGTTGAGTATAAATGTGTTGTTTCTAAATATTTTGCACTGCAATATATGAGCATGAACGACACAATTATGCATGAATATAAGTGTTGTATTTAAAATAAATGTTGTATTTAAAATAAAGTACCACTCAATTTATATCAAACACGCCAGAAACGATTATTTTTAAAGGCACTTACCTATGCATTTAGCTTATATACGGCCGATAGTTTTATTCGTCCATGTCTGAGACTTGTACACTTAAGTACTAATTGCTTAAAGTATATTAAACACACCAGGACCGGTAAAATTTTGATGGAACTTACCTATGCATCTAGCTAACATCTGGTCGGTTGTTTTAGTCTTCCATGTCTGAAACTTTGCACATATGACTTCCTGTGGTTTCTATGGACCATTTCAGTTAATGACATGAAAAGCTGTCATTTGCTTTGTGCATAAAAACACATATGCAACTCGACTTTATTGTATCCATTTGAAATTGTATTTTTGAAAATTAAATACTTGTAAACCCCCCCAAAAAGGCGATAGAAGCTATAATGGTATTTTGTTGATAAATCTGATAAATAATTCACTTATTATATAAAACCTTGTAGTATCAAATAAATTAAGATTTTACCATTAAAATTTTTGGTATACTTAAATTGTGTTATTACAAAACATGTGACACATCTTAGAGTTAACACAATATTTCGAATTGGTACTAAGAATAGGTATCTATTAGTATCTTATTAATAATACAATGTACATTAAATTGTGTTTACTTAAAACCTGAAAGGTTGCAGGGTTGCATTTGCTTAGTTGTTCCTTTAACATAGGATCTAGTGACATATTTTCTTTGAATAGAGTTTAACTTGCATGATTTCTTTACAAGACTTGCATGAGTTCTTATACAAAAGAGTAACTAGCATAATTATAGCAATGTGTTGTTTACAGTTGTCGATGATGCTGGTTGTACACTAAAATGTGATCATTGTTGTTTTCTATGGAAAGCCATTACGTACTGTCCTCTCAAATGATTATTTATTTCTTTTATTTTGTACATGCATTATGTTTATCATAATAAAAACTTAATTTTACATTGTTATGCTTATACGTTATTATATTGTACGCACAATAATTTTATTGTTGTTTTCTATAACAAAAAGAAAGGTCGTGAAGACGTCCTTTTGTTTGCAATTACTTTAAGGTTTCATTGACTGTGTTTGATAGTACAACCATATTCATGTTTTATTTTTTTCAAAGTTTCAAGCAAGCTGATTCATTTAAATTACTTTATGCATTTGCAAATGAATTTCCCATTTATTAGAAATTATAATTAAGTGTTAATAGCTAAGTGCAAATGTTGAAGTTAAACAGGCTTATAGTGTGACGAAATGTAAACTTCCTATATTGACCTTTTCCCACCAAATTTTACTTACGTATAACCTTTAATCTGTTGGAATTGTGAAATATACTTACCCTGCTTTAATTGTCTAACATGTCAGTTTTGTTGTGAAAGTTACGCAAGGTTATAAACAGTATAGACCTTTGTCAGACTGTACGTATTTGCAAACTGGCTAAGCTGTATACTTGCAAAGACTGATCTCTTACGGTATCAGCATGTTAAGGGTTAAATAAATGTCTTCTTACCTTAAAATGCATTTCTTTTTTATACTTTATTCCAAGCTAAATATTTTCTTTAAACGGTACGTTTTGACAGTGCAATCTATTTTTTTTCTAATATTTTATCTCCTTTTTAGCTCGACTTTTCTATGAAAAGGGGAGCTATCCTACTCGCCCCGGCGTCGGCGTCGGCGTCGGCGTCACACCTTGGTTAAGTTTTTCGTACCACCCCACTTTATTTCAGAAGTATTACAAGTTTGGCTTTGAAACTTACCATACTTGTTCACCATCATAACCTCCATCTACAGACAAGAGTACATAACTCTGTCAAGGTTTTTGACAGAATTATGGCCCTTTTTTGACTTAGAAAGTGTATTGAGCTTGGTTAAGTTTTTTGTACCACCTCACTTTATTTCAAAACCATTGGAGGTATTGCTTTGAAACTGACCATACTTGTTTACCATCACGACCTTCATCAACAGACAAGAGGACATAACTCTGTCAAGGTTTTTGACAGAATTATGCCCCTTTTTGACTTAGAAAATACATTGAATATGGGTAAAATCCACTTATTGCCTTAACCCTTTGAGATATTGCTTGAAACTTTTTAATGCTATTTCACATCATTACCCCCATCTGTACGCAAGAGAAGGTAACTCTGTCAAGGATTTGTTTTAAAAATTAAGGCCTTTTATCGACTTAGAATCTTGGTTAAGTTTTTAGTACCAGTCCACTTTTTGACTGAACTGTTTGAGATATTAATTTGAAAGTTGGAATACTTGTTTACAATCATGATTCCCAAACATGTCCAGGAGAAGGTAATTCTGTCAAAGATTTTATTTGAATTATGGCCCTTAACTGTCAATGTTTTGTATTATAGGCAAGCACTAAAAAACTTAAAAAATCTAAAAAAATTCATTCCTATCCACTTGTTCACTTTACCATAAATTATGTCATATAAACATTGCTGTAATATTCAAGGGTATCAAACAACTAGTTCACTTTAAAAATACAGAGATTCTTGTATTGCCTTTTACTGCAAAAACTTTTTTTATTGGCAAGCAATAAAAAAGTCGAGCGCGCTGTCTTACGGACAGCTCTTGTTACTTTTCGATCTCTATTGATTAATTTAAAGTTACAAATATATAAATGATTAAGTGGTTGAAAATTCATTAAAATGTTTAGAATTGTGTTTTCATTTTTGCAATGGGTAATAAATATGGGTTGTTATGACTTTTCTTTCTTTAAATAGCTGTAGAGGACGATACAGAAGATGTTTCTGATCATGCTGCGACGCTTATGAACGCCTGCCAGACCGCTTCCATTGGAGATTCTCTTAGTATGTATTTAGTCTTAATTTCTATTTAAGATAAGTGTTTCATATTATATAACAAGTTTAAAAGATGATATTTTTATAAAGGCGTGTAAATTCTTTGCTTTCAACCTTTTGCAATAGAATTAATAACATTCATTATAGACTTATTTTTTTATTAAAAAATATACTTTATACTATTCATCATGGATTCTTCATTATATAATTATATAAACGAATAGTGATGACGGCGAATTGATTAGTTTTGTCGAAATGCTTATCTGAAGGCATCAATTACTAGGCTTAATACATATTACCCTTAGGGTGATATATAATTTTTTCCCAGGAGCCTAAATGCTGTCGCAATAAGATTTGCTGTAAATACTTCCTAAAGTAGTTGATTTCATTCTTGGTGTTCGGTATGCTCAACTACATTTTATCATGTTTTTTTTCCAGATGTACAAACGGAGTGTGACGAGATTGTTTATGGTGACATAACATACAAACCCACACCACCTGCAGAACTGAGGTTCTATGAGGAAATCAGTCCACAACACGAGGGAGTGCCGTTTTCTGTACAGCCTAAGATAAGAGCATTTGACAAAGATGTGCGTGTCTTTCTGCTTAAAGTGTTTTATATGTGTGGGGGTTGCCGACTTTTTATCTTATTTCAGTTTATCATACAAATCTATTTAAAGAAATGTCAAACCTATCACTTGTCAAGACCAAAAGATATTAAAATTTCGGGTAAAATTAAATGGAAGAGTGCAGCTACTAAACCATCGGATGTTTCAACTGTGCATCTTAACTGAAACAGAACAGATGTAAATTGGCAAATTCTTCTCCAATACATTTCTTTTGTTAAATTATGTTTCCTATACATAATGTACATGGTAAAATATTTGATAGCTTTCTAGAATAACAAATCGATAAAAGATATTTTAATGTTATCATTATTCAATTGCAGGGGAATTTCGTTGAACACTTGGGAATAGAAGACAGTCCGTGGGAGATAACTGCAACTCTCAGATCATGCTCCCCGGCGTGTGGTCATGCTAACGCCGTCCTAACCGGAACACTTACCGTACCGTCATCAAACGGATATTTCAATTTCACTGATCTTCAAATATCACATAAAGGGGATGGTTATATAATTGATTTTGCAATATCTTCTCCAGCGAGTAAGTAATAAGATTATCATATGAAGAACTGTGTTACTACTTAGATATTAAGAATTATTTTATGTGGCATTTTTCTGTTATCATGTAATATTTTAAGTTTATACTCAAAATGTAAGTACACGTTGAATAGAATGATTTTGCATACTTAATTTCCCGTTTAAAACTATTGCGCTGAGAAGTTTCAAACATTAAGCCTCTTCATTAAACTAATCGTGTTAATTACTTGTATGAACATTTGAAGTTCGATTCTTAGTTCAGCAAAATTACGTATTTCAGACACCAATTTAACTGTGGAAAGTGTGCCCTTCTCCGTTGATGGACTTCCTATGACAGCTGGTGTATATTCCATGACAAGTGGTGATATACCGCAGGATTCCGTCTTCGCTTTAACCTTGGACCTTCGAGATAGTTCCACCAACATTGCTATCCCTGACATCACATGGAGGGTATGATTTGTATATGTGTTTAAATTGTACTTTAATGTCCTAATATGATACATAACATGCTACTGATTCTGAAATCTGACGTTGTGGTTCTTTTTAACTTTAAATTAAGCTTTGATTAATCAATGTCAGGTAAAAATGTAAATATCAAAGAAAATGATACACAACTGCAGCGTTCTTAGTTATGAATTAAAATTACATAAACATTTCAATATCATTTATGAAAAGTCAAATTGAAATTGAAATTCACAACATTTTAAAACATGTTATCCAAATCATCCACTACATTTCTGAATTTTACAAATATTTCATCAGACGTTTGCATAACAATTATAAACCTTTTTTTACACCTATAGGACCATACTGCTTTTGATGCAACCTGTAATCTTGTAGTAGAATCTCAAACGGGCCAACTCTCAGGGACACTGAGTAAAACATTTGACAGTGCAACAGGAAGAGCAACATTTGATGATCTTGTTTTCTCGGGATATGGTCTGATCCATGTATCCTGCCATATTGTGTCATGTAAGCTAATCATTTGTGGCCGCTTTGAATAATCAATTTCTATTAAAGTTTTTCTTGTAAAAGAGTGTAGCTTTTTTCAGAATTAAGCTTCGTTTCCTGCAGTTTTCTGTTTTGTTGCTATATACATGTATGTACAACCTGTTCCAAAAAGATCTGAATCATAAAAACATAAAGAACATTGCAAAATAGACTGTTTGTTGAAATGTTGTACTTCATGCCTTTAGCTACATTTACTGAGACAGCATAAATACTATTTCTTTTATTTATTTTTTCTTAATATTTAATCATCTTTATCATTCAGATTGCTATGTAATACCTTATAATAAACAAATTCGTTATGTTAACTTTCATTATAAATGTTTACCTTTATTAAACATAAATAGCTAGTTCAATATACATATTGCTCTTTTGTATTAATATATATATTGCCACTTGATTTCCACAGCTCCTATTCCTGTAGAGTATGACTTCTACTCATTCCACCAAGTGTTTGTCCTCGGTGCTGATCAGGCTGGTATAGAATACGAAGCCTCTGAGAATATTGTGGTTAAATATAATCTTGACTATGACAAAACCCTTCCAACTACGGTCGCAGCTACTCAGCTCTTGCAAGCAACTGTTGAGGTCTTCACTATGACATATACAGGCATTGTTATCAGAACAGCATCAATAAGCAAAGGTAGTATTTGAGTTTAAGATATTTTTAATTGAATTATATTATAGCTGGTTTTTTTTGTGATATTTATACATGCACCAGCTCAGTCAATATGTCATAAAGGAAATAGTAGAAGTCTACCTGTTGAAAAGAATTATAATATTTTTTGTACATTTATAGTAAGAATCGATGGCATTGTGTAGGTTTAAGTTAAATTCACACTTAAGACAATATGTGTAAGACAACGACATGAATAAACAATAAGATCGTACATTTTTTAAAATTTTATCAACGTACCTGTATTCTAGTATTTCTAGTAAAAATATATTTATAACTTGATAATTAAAAGCTGATAGTCTTTTAAACCACCACTTCCTGGTCTAACCAGTTCTTGAGTCGTGACAAGAGGAAACATTGACGTTGCCCAAGTAGGGATGGGACCAGAGATATCAAGGTAAAGCGGCGGTAACCACTAGATTTCTGTTTCCTTGAAAAACTATTTTATTTTTAATTATTGTTACAGGTAGTATTATCATATCGTTCACAATCGAGGGAAAAGCTGTAAATATAACTACTACAAAAGAAGAACTATGTGCCGAGTTATCATCTGGATTTGAAGTCACTGTTGCTGGATCGACCTTAACTTTAGATGGTTACATGAAAGTAGACGGTGTAGACTATTACGCCACTTGTGGGAAAAAGGTAAAACATGAGCCGTGTCATGACAAAACCAACATATTGCGTTTGCGACCAGCATGGATCCAGACCAGCCTGCGCATTCGCGCAGTCTGATCAGGATCCATGCTGTTCGCTATCAGTTTCTCTATTTGTAATAGGGTTGGCTGGTCTGGATTCATGCTGGTCGCAAACCCATTATGTTGGTTTTGTCATGACACGGCTCAGGTCATGTATCTTTAACTGTAAACAGACTAGAAAGCGCATCTTGCATGAACGTAATGAGATAAATATGCACGACATATATTCTAGAGAGACATTTATTTGTCTTACATATGAGGTGTTAAATAATCATAAATAATTTCAACCAAAATAAATTATTAAAAAAAAATATTTGGACTTAATCTGTATTAAATGAGCTCAAAACTTATGTATGTATAATTTAAAGGTCTCCAGGTAACTCAAAATATTGTTTGCCATGTCTAACTTCATCAAAAGCTATTGAGTCAAAAGCAACTTTCCAAAACACATAGAAAAAAAACTTGTTAACACCTTTGAATTTGCAGTTCTAACGAGATTTCAATTCAAAGTAAAACCAAGTTTGCAAGTTTTAGAAACATATCTAAATCAAATAAGAATATGGATGGTATTTGGGGTAGCAACATTACCAGATACATAGATCAAAGAAACTCCTGATCATTTGCCAAAGATTATTCTTACAGTATGTAAAGAATTATATAAAAGGTAGTTATAACATTCTTTCAAGTGAACAATAAAATTAATGTTATTTTCACATATATTCAGAATACTTCATTACAATATAAATATTTATCCAATTCCAGGACGATGATGATGACGGCTTACACCCAGCTTATATCGCTCTAATAGTTGTACTGTGTCTGATTGTTATTGGTATTGTTGTGTTTGTGCTTGTTTGGAGGTTCAAGATCAGACCAAAATCAAAGACACATGGTAATTTCTTTGAACGTCATTTCAGTTATTTGTTGCTATACTTGATTCATGAAGCGAAATTATGCTTGCAAAATATTTACATTAAAATTAACTTTTACTTAATGCATCTAAACGTTGAGCTTAAATCCATATTTCATATCTCCTAAACAAGACACTATGTATAATATGCATTTTATATATAAAGAAAAGGGACTATAGAATAGCTCAAATTTACGATGGCCTGGGTAATGATTATTAAAGGTTTTTTTAAGTTGCTTTGGAGCGTAAAAAGTATATTTTAAATATGAACTTTAAAAGATTTGGAAATTTGGTTGATATCACTTGATAATCAATTGACTGTTTTGAACTTTAAATATATTAGCCAGTCTGTTCTATTGACTTTTTTGTTATAATGAACACTCCCTCACTGTCAGGGAAATAAATGGTTAGCTTCGGTCCCTTTTTTATATTAATAAGTTGGACATCTTTTTACATAACGGTATTTGACGGGCTCTGTTGTAGGAATTCGACGTTTTACAGTCAACGAATACCCGGGTAATGTTTATTGGAGTGTAGCTTTTAAGAAATTAGCCTCTTCAGCGTGTTCTGTCACTAGTTCCTGAAACGGAATTCTATCTATATCACAATTCTAATTCAATCTTTACCTACATACGTTGTTATACATGATGTTGAGTTGTTCTGTATTGCAAACTATTCAGCATTAATATATGAATTGAATAACAACAAAAGTCCATATTTAATTATTGATGTAAAATCAACTACATGTACATCAATTAAAATCATGAAATACGTGTTAATAATGTTTAGGAATATTAGGTTTTTTTTAATCTTGCTAACCAAGATAAAAACTGTCATAGAAATTTATGTTTACGTTTCTTACTCATACTATTTTGATACTTTTGTCTAAATCCTACTTCTTCTATGTTTAAGTTATCCAAATTTTGGTAAAGTGCAGTATAATCATAATGAATCAATTTTCCCATTACGAGTTATGAAAAACATTAGCGTCTTTTAACTGAAGCATTGATTTCTATAATATCATAACATTCAATATAATTATGCACAGTAGCAAACTATAAATCATTTTTTACAGAAGAGAATCGCGAAATGTGAAATATTTCATTACTTTTGTTGAAGTATTTAAAATATTTTAAACTCATCTGAAGATTCATACTTAATCCGTCCAATTGATCAGTTTAAGTATGTTACATCAAAATTTTAAATCAACTAACAATTCTGCAAACAAGAGCTTTGTAGTTAGTTTGTGCAAATGTCACAACTGTGTCACCGATATGTAACAAAAAGTTGTCGGTTACATAAGTGTTGGTTCTCAGTTTTGAAAAAAAAATAATTTGCTTTTAACTCATTGTCTGTTGCCTCAACAATAACTAACACTTTATTTAAATTGACTTTCATGAGTCAAAGATATATTAATTTTCATGTTGTAGTTTAGTTTCACTAATGCTTTAAGTAACTAACATTCATCATTGTCAGATAATTTTTGACGGAGTAAATCGTCCTCAGTTGTCAGTTTTCTTTCTTTATTTAAGTAATTCATAAGTTAGCAATGTCCTTGAAATTATTATTTCAATAGTGCTTAAATGGCTATATTAAATATCTTATTTATCCAAACTAAAACAAGTAATTGAAAATGATCACTGTTATGCTCTCTTCATTTTGCATATTATGTAAACTGCAGTTAGCATTAAGTGCTTAGTAATTTTTGAAGTTAAGGGACAATTATTTAACATTTGTTGAACCAACTTCTGACATTGTATGCCTTATAAATAATTTGATAAATTCATAGATTTTTCTTTCGAAATTTAAGTTTTACATTTATTATAAGCCTTCAGGATACGGACTATTTATTCTTAAAAAATAATTTTATTTGCTATAGTTTTATATAATTTCCGTATGATTTCGTAACATAAAAACTTGTTTGTTCTAACATTGCACTTTCTATCTATATATTTTACACGGTAGCTTTTATATTCGAGTGTAATGTATTTTAAGTATCGTACTAACTTATTTAGTTTGTTTACATTTGTAGGTATCAATGATACTAGTAGTGAAACTGCTAACAGAGGAGGATTCTACTATATAGGTTAACCATCGCACCTGTTAAATTGTCACCTTTCAATGTCGTATCAATTACCTTGTCAATGCATGCTAGTCTAGATCCTTGACCTTACAAATTTCCTTTTGACTCCAAACTATTAATGTGGAACAGGATTTTATCCTAGAAAATTGAGCTTGAAGCAGAATATGTTTTATTATTTCCCCTTAAGTTTTTCATAAATTCGTGCCAAGACATGTAGATAACAGGACTCGTTTGCTAAATTGCGCCATTTCACGGATAAACATATTACATAATTTCTGATTATGATAATCTTTAATGATCGAAAATGACTGAAATATATAATAATTGTTATAATTTGGCATTTTTGCTGTCCGCTATATTAAACAGATTCTATATCAACATACTAAAATCAATTCATAAAGAATATAAATAGATGATAGTTATTCTCTTTACTTGTGGTATAAATAATAAAATTCTATTATTCTCTGTAACATGCCGAGTAAAACCTACCTGCTAGTTTTACTTTGATATCATTTATTCCAAAATAAATACGTTCTTATACTGTACTTTATTGTAATTTGGTTATACTTCTCGAGCATTCATAAAAACTCCACATTTACATGAGTATTTAGATATGTATCTTCTTCAGGATAACCGTTTTATCAAATGGTGATGCTTATGCCTGTCTTTTTAAACGCTTTGCTATATATTGGACAGTAAATTGTTTCTTTTTTTACCTGCATGCATGCCTTTATTGTACAAGTATAGGATTAAAGAATGAAGACCTGTATTTCCTACGGCTAGAGATAGAGAACTATTAAAACAATGAGGTTGAGTGTCTCCTTTCAGTCTGATAAGTCCAGTTTTCAATCCATAGACATCATTTTCAATCTGATGCACTATTATTACTTTGCTTTACTTTAAATCTTATTATAACTTTCAATATATGATGAGGAAACTATATTCTTTGCTTAGTCCAAAAAAGCTGTAAAATTAAATATTTGATGGCATTGTCGTACAATTAAAGCTAACGCAAGTTGATGATACATTTATCTGAGTATTTTGATAAGAATAGTATTTTCTATGCAACGATAAGCACAACTAACTTTTGATATAACAATGAAATACAGGCGCATGGTTCTTGTAGACGTACAAAGAACTTTCTCTCTTGTTTCAACTAAATCTGATGTCGTTAAATTCTGCAATGTCTTATTACAAATTTGTATAATTATACATCAATTATTATTTTTACTTGGAAAACTGCATTACCAATGCTATTTATCTTAAGTAATTAGTATTTTAATACATTTGAATATTCAACATGCCGCTTTAATATAGTTTATTTTGTTCAAAATAGTATGTAGTTATACCAGCAAGTGCATGTTTATCCATATATTGTGTTTTAATATTTTATTTACTTCATCGAAATAATTTATATAGATTTTGTGAAATCAGCGACATAAACCATATACACGTATACAGCATGATTTAGTGCCCATAAGATTAAAAATAAGATTAATAAGATTAAGATTTTGGAGTAGTTTCATTACTAATTTTGCGCGTTTTTTTTTAATTATAGTGGCATTTTTGTTTATGTTCGATCTATGATTTGTTTGCGAAATATATTTTCAAGTCATATTAGAGTAGATCTACTTAACTAATTAAAATGCAATTATTTTATGCAAGGACACAATTTTTATTTTTTGTTTGACATTTTAGATAACGGAAGAACGGTGTTCTTAGGCGCTCCCAACCAGAAAGTTCAAGACATCCTGTACAAGCAGAAGGCTGACGCTGAGTTCCGATCAAATAGTTCTGCACCTATAACAACGCTGTATGACGAGATCCCAGGGAAATTCAGTATCCGCAGTTCTCCTCTGCCACCAAAGCAGGACGAAGACGGTGCCAGGGGGCTTACACCTACCGATCTATAAAGCCGCTTCTGGGCGCCCGCAATTTTAACATCTGACATAAGAACAAACTATTGAATAAACTAACTAATGCTTATTTTGAGATAAAAGTATGTTTATAAATTGAATTGATGTGTGATAAAATATTTATAAATAGATTGTGCTTCAAATTATTTAAGAAAGAACTTCAAAAGCGGGCAAATTGATGATTTCTTTATCTTTACTTTTAAGAACATAAGAACATAAGAACTTAAGAACATGACTATCAACGAGAATCGTTACATGTATGTTTCCAACATTTTAATTTTTTTAGGACAAATTATTTGTTTATATACTTATAAGTGACAGACTGTAAAGATAACAATCAAAATGATTTTTTATCAAAATATGTTTATACGGAACTAGCTTCCTTCTTTTAATACGTGCATAAACTATTCTTACAGATTGGGAAGAATTGTTTTTTACTTTAAGAAAAAACTTTTTTATTAGCTCTTAAATATCGAAAATATATTATTTGCATTTTTGCCATTATAATGAAAATGGCTTTTTGTCTAGATTAAGGAAAATAATGTTGTTTAAGACAAATCATTTTAGAATCTGTATTGACAACGTTGAAAAATCAATTCTAATCCTAAGAACATGTTTTCCTGTTAATATGTTTGCTTTATTTCTGTCTGTGCCTTATATAAATCGTTTTGTACTGATATATGTACATCTTAGTGAGACTTTAAACAGTGCCATATCACTACTAATGTTATGCATATCATATATTCACGTTTGACAGTTCAAATTCAATCCAATCATCATTTTATTTTTCCGCGTTTTGAAAAGTATTGTAGGTAAACTTAAAAACAAGGACCTTTGTTCACATAGGTATATTCAGGACATGATAAAATAAAAACGGTTATATCAATATAAGTTTTAAAAGATATAATTTAAGTAGGGGTGAATTTTAAAATCGAAAAAAACAATTGAATTCAGTAATTAATTTTAATAAAAGAATGAAAGCGGAGTGATTTCTTCCCCGTAATTCTACATTCACATGTAACTTTAACTTCAGTTTGCATCAAGTATTAAAAATAGGAATTGCAGTATGAAAATTTATGAAAATACTAATAAAAGAAATTTTACGTCAACCGATCTTTCTTTATGCATCTTTGTGAACATAAGCTATTTTTTTTTTGTACATAAAGAACATCAATGAAATTATAACATTTAAAATGAGGAAGTTTTGTATTTTTCACAAATGAAATGTATTTTTGGTTAACATATATTATTACGTGTTAGTTTTCTTTCCTTTCCTTGCCAGCAGCCATTGTTTTTCTAGATTTTTATATCAAAGTTATTTGTATTTTTATCTTTTTATTATAGTATACAAACTTTTTATCATAATATACAAAATATATAAATGCATTTGAATTTTTAATGTCAACCAAAAGTCAAGTTCAAATTACAGATTTCAATACAAAGGTTTTCGTTTCAAATCAAAAGCTTACAAAAATAGCTGTAATAAAAAAGCCGCTACCTTTAGCAACATTAGGGCCTTGATTAGGCTTTCATTTTTAAAACATTAGATTGGATGAAAACTACAATACAGCAGAAAATGTGTTACTGCATTTCATATCTTTCATGTTTAAATAAGACTTTCAATAAGGAAATACGCCTGAATGAAATGAAATCTACTAGTTTTGTACAAAAGAAATGCATGTCTATTATGCGTCCCCTTCTGTAAATACATGTATTGTTTACAAAAAAAGTATTTCAAATTATTTGGTATGATGAACTAATTTTAAAATGATCTATACATTGAAATACTGCTCAAAATCATTATCTTGTTGACAGGCATAAAGTGTCTTGAATATTTTTTTTCTGACTGCTTGGCAGGGAGCTATCGAATAGTTGTATAGTTATATTTGTAGCATATCTGTGATATACAGAATATTCTCCGTCAAAGACTGTGTATTTTTAACAATAAGTGGGATATCTTATTTCATTCAGTCAAAAAGGGGTTTATACTAAATATCAAAAAGGGAATACTAATGTTTATATCCATTACTACCAAAGTCTTTGTCGGAGAATATCTAATTGTTTTGTTTTTATGTTGTTTTATATATTAATCATTTATCGTTAATTTTTAGCACAAGTTTCTAATAATGAATGATAAGGTACTGTACTATATACGAAAGCTCAGTGTTAAAAAACGGCATAATTCTTAGAATGGGCGTCGTCTATAACTCGAATAAAAATTGTAACATTTATTATAGATCAAAATAAGAAAGAAATTATTGTGTTTAGACCTTGTCTGTTCAATTTAAAATAGTTCAACATACTTCGAGCTTAAGAGGAGTGTTAATAAAATTGCAAATTAATGAAACGACATGTAAAATGGTAGCAAAATCATTAAATAGTTATCATCAAATTTATTATTACACGTTTGCATCGATTTGACTTGTTTATTAGTATCTTCGATTTTTTTGCCAATATTTCCGTATTTTCTGTGTGCTAAGACGATATACAAGTATTTAAAACAAATTATAATAAAGAAGTAAAATTTTGATTGATATAGGGCATCCTTGACAAGACTTTAAACATTTTACTGGCATTTCCGTCCAATGATTTTGTTGAAACTGTGACTTTTTTCCGTCCAATGATTTTGTTGAAACTGTGATTTTTTCCGTTCAATGGTTTTGTTGAAACTGTGATCATTTTCCGTCCAGTGAAGATTTGTGATATTGTTTTTTTACATTTGTTACACCATTTATATCATCGTTGTGTTTTGTATCTTTCTTCCGTACTAATGTGTATATTCAAGTATTCTTGTTCAAAATCATAATAACTTTGAATTACTAAAATGGAAATGTCCAAATGCGAAACAAAATCTTTTCTCTTTTTTCATAAATTAATGTTTTCAAGCCAGTGCTAGGGGCCGTGAGTGATGTTGCACTTTTTTCATAATCCCTCATGTACAGTCGCAATCGAAAGACTACCCTTTTTCAGGTTTTTTATTTGAATAATGAAGGAACACAGAAAGATCTAAAATTTGGATATCTTAAAAATTGTAAAAAGATATTAATATGTGACATGAAAATATGACGTTAAATTAAAGTAAAAATGTATTTTAAAGTATATAACTAGCATTCATTTATAAAGCATAGATATCTTATTTTTAGACTATCTCTTTGAACTTATATATCTCTATTCATTGGACGACAAGTATACTTGTATATATTCATAAATATATTCTTAACTTTTTTCATTAATGCTGTGCATTACCTTTTCTTGGTGTGATTTAATAAAATATAGCCTTTTCTGAATTTTGTTTGTGTTTTTCATTTTCGGGAGTGGAGGACGGGGATTTTTAATCACATCTATACTGTGAAGGTCATACGGAATTCTAAGTTGGTAAAAATAAACCTTACACATGTATCTGGTGCTTGTCCGTGCATAATTTCTGGCTCGAACCACCGACCGTCCATAAGCTAACTAGATAGCTTCCTCGCACGAAAGAATCCAAAGTCAAAAGCCAATAGCACTGATCGGCCACTGGTTGTTTGTAAACTTCCTCTTACCGTGAAATATCAGTATAGTGTAGGAATTGGTTTTAGCCAAATGCAACCTATTGCCACATGTATATGTTGCCTATAATATTAGCAAGTGCGTAATAGTAAAATTGTACCTTTGGTTTTAAAAAGAGCTGGTGATCATTGTTGACGCATTATAGAGCATTTTCAACACCTTTGCCTTGAGCAATTGGAAGAGTCTGAAGCAGATATGTTATGCTGTACATCATAATTACAAATGAACATGAAAAAATAAATATAACCATTAGATATATCTAATAAGTTACACGGACCAGAACAGTACACCTTGGCTGTTTAAATATTGTTTGACTGTTTTTTTGTTGTTGTTGTTTTATATATGTATATTTTTAACGAACGCTGTGTGCCAATAGTTTAACCAATTGATGCACAAATGTCTAAAAATGTTAAAACACAGAAAGATATACTATTTTGGATATCTTTAAAAAAAATGATAAAGATAAAGAAGTGTGACATCAGTATATGGCGTTAGATTATAAGAATGGTATGTTTTAAGGTATAAAATAGAAATGATTTCACTTGTAAAGCATAAACAATAATTAACATAATTGATGGAAGGTTCTCGAAATATGATAAGGAAGACAGCGAATGAAATATTACATAACATTTATTTCCTCGTATTATTATACTGTAAAACTGGATAAGGTACTGTAACAACGATATAACAAATATTTATCTTTTATCATTCCTTCAATCAATTAAATAAAAACAAACATTATCAGAATTACAATACCATGTATTCAAATTTAATTTTTATTCAAATATTTTAACGACAAAAGTGTGATTTAGTGACACATTATACTATAATAAGGTGTGGTGTAGCCAATATGAATTTATTACCAATGCCTGAAAGTAGGTGAGTTTTTTCCTACTGCATTTAAAGCATCAGCAATTGAAATTAAAGTTCTATGTTGTTATAATCATGCAATATTGCCAATTAAGCAAGCACTAACAATAACATGGTTTATTAATGAAAGCTTATGATAAGCTTAATGAAAATGATGCTACGGGTTTGCTGAAATGAAATTCTTTGACACGTTAAATGTAGGCAAAATAGAAAATTTATAGCATTTGATTTTTTACAAAACAAAAATAATGAGATAGATGGGACTGCAATGATTTAATAACTCTATGAACTAAACGTTACTGTTTAAATATCAGATCTTTAAATACCAAACAAAACTGATGAATAAAAAGATAAAACTTTTTTTCTGGTTATCACTTGATGCAATCTGATATAATACCCTGCGTAAAGCCAGATTCTGAATGAAATATGCATCTATAAATAAACAGAAGATATGATAATGTATCCATCATATTCTTATTAAAATTCGGCATATTTCTGCATATTATACATTACTTATGACGGCCGAATATGCGTGAAGCACAGCTTACTCCGGCATTACAATTATTAGCATGCATGTACAGTGAATGAATTGGTCGAATTTATTATCATTCACAAATAAATAACGTAAACTTTGACACCATGAAAAGGCAGTTAAAATACACTGTCCGTTCTCGTTTTTCCCACGGTCGTATACTATATAACACTCACTATTGATAATATCAGACAACAGTGTGTTTATTATGCTCGTCAGTAATCTCATTCTCGCCAACTTCACAAGTCTTTTCATCTGTTTCATTTGATGAAACAATATCTGTATCAGATCTTTGAACTTTGTCATATGGGTAAACATAATTTGGATCTTTTAATTCTTGGTTTTCTTGTCCTTCAATCATATGTTGAAGGTCTTTTGGACTAGAATAACTTCTTTTCATTGTCACCGGCACTTTAGTCGCATCATTTGTATCATTAGGTTCGTCGGGTGGGCTTTCTGTGTTATTTGTCTCGCTTATTAAAGCATCAATTTCATTGTAGATATTTTCGGAGGTTTTTATTTCTGAATAAATATGTTCTTGTGAATTTGCGTGAACACGAATAGAAGCATCATACGCGTTTTGTGGTGTTCGAGAGAATTGGCTTTGGCAGTGCTGCTCCTCCGCTTGTTGTCTCCGTCTTTTCTTCCTAATTCTGTAAATTGTGTAAAAGATGGAATATCTCATTACAGATTTTTAGAACTTCAAATAAAATTGAACAAATGAAGGAAAGATCTATATTTTTTTATGCTTTGATATTTTGATATTTACAAAGTTAATGTTTGCTATTGAAAAGATTGATATTGATGTTTGTTACTTTAAATGTACTCAAGGTTGTAGTTTTCTTATCAGTCGTTATAATATTTTTCAAAAGATAAATCATAGGAAAATTACAAAAGCATGAAAGGAAGTATTTTGCTAACATTTTTTTTAATTTTAAGTGAAAGAAATGCGTTTGCAGTATCAAATTTTATATCTTAAAAGACAAAATGAAAGACATCACTTGCGTGTAAAGAAGTCATTATATTAAATAATACTAAATGTCGAGGTCCCTAATGGGAAATGTTAGCATTTAAAAAAGCTAGGGAAGAAAACAAATTAAGTAGTGCAGAAAATTTTCTTTAAGCAAAAATCACACTTTCAGTGGCAGATAACTAAAAATGTAGGATGATGATCCCAATTTTCTTCCTTCCATTTGTTGCAATTTCTTCAACCATGCATATGTTAAGCATTAATTGTTTTCAATAAGAGGCCTTCTTCCTTAATTAGATTTTGTCTTACCTGATTAAAAGAAATACTATCAAAAATATGATGCCAACGACCAAAAGACTACACACTACCGCTATAATAATGCTTTGTGTACCTGAAATAACAAACAATATGATAATTACATAAATATATATATATAGATTTCAACTTTTGACGATGCCTGTAAATTTAAGACAAATTAATTTTGACAGAAGTATGTGAAATCAGAAAAAAGTATTACACAAAGATAACCTGTTATTTATCAGCACAGACAGTGTTACATAACATCGATTAAATTTGAAAACACAGATAATTGTTCTTACATTTTGTCAAGTTCATTTAACAACAAATAATAAACTATACTATTGTATTAATAAGGTAACCTTATTGCAAATAAAATAATTATTTAGAAGTATTGTAATATAAGTACTATAAAGTTATGAAAATGAACTTCAGATTGGCATATAAAATGTTTAAAACACAATTTTCTAAAATAATATATGATAACTAGGGATGATCTTTTGCGCAGTTAACAACTATAAGTTAACAAATGTGTGCCTATGAAAGATGTGTATGATAAAGTTTCACTTTGTAAATCAAAATATAGACGTTTTAACAAGGTAAACTGTTTTTGTGGTTTATTCATCAAATAAAAATTACTACAAATTTTGTCGCATTAAACTTAGAAATTATTATACTGGAACACTCATAAAACAATGAAAAACAGCATCGCAATTTTGATTACAATAAGCACTATGTCTGTTCTAACTAAAATAAGAAGCGGTACCCGGTATGTGTGAAGCTAGAAAATGCACAGCACACATGCTGATATAAAATAAAATTGTTTCTTCCTTGTATGTTTTGTCTTTTTTGGTGGGATTGAAGCGGGGGATTATAAATTTGCTTTACAAACTACATAGGATGAATATATGCAAACAAGTTAAATGCGACTTATTTTATAAAAGATATTTTACCAAGCTTTTGGATATTGATTATTCATAATATACAAGCTTATATAAACCTAAACGTTTATGCTATCATCTAAGTACTACATAATATTGTGAAAGCTATAATGAAGCGTATTTGTGCGCATGCATTTAAATTATTTAAATATAAAATCTTAGCCAGTAACCTGCTTTAAGCATTTGCTATTAGAACAGAGCCAGGTCAGCCTGTATAGCCGTGTAGTCCTTAAGTAAGCTTAATATTGTTTGTATTTAAATTTTGAAACTCATTACATTATTAATTGACTGCTCCAATCTTTAAAGCAGGGTAAGCCCATTATACATAACAACAGGTTAAAGGTTAAGCTCTTAATCTACTGTCTATATATATTTAGCATATTAAGGATCATTTAAAACCAGAAGCTCCAAATATAGATATAGTAAGCTTACAACATGCATGCACCTTGTTCAACCTCAACTGTAATAACGTTTCTTCACGCCAGATTTATCGGGATAAGTTAAAATGCTTGTAAATATTTTATCTATTTTTGTATATTATTAGTCTATAGTTGACCACTTGTGATATATTAAAATTTCTAAAAAAATATGAATTTACAATCGCACTTGTCTATAATCAAACCGATTGATATGTAAGAAAATGTTATGAAGCAAGATGGGTCGTCAACAATTCAAATCATTTGAGTGTAAACTATATTTATGATTATATTAAAAAGAAATTCATATTGTTTATACTATATCACTATCAAGATGTTTTAAATATCTATTTTATCATCCATTGTTACGCACAGAGCCTGTGCCAGATAACAATTGAAATACTTAACAACAATGAACAATACGCCTACATAAAGCCGGCGAGACAATAAACGATCGTGACCACCATCACACACATTGTGTGCTTGTGTTCATATTTGTTTGAAGTTGTTTTTATATCATTATTAAAAGTGGTCCGTGCATAAATGGTTTGATAATTCGCAATGTTATGCGCATTAACTAAGGACCGCGTGATCCTTTTGAATATATTCCATTATGTACTTAAGAAATTAACGGGTTTTCTGGACACACTGGGAAATAAAAAAAATGCGTCTTTCAAAGAAAACGAAAAATAGTATGTCCTTAATTTTTTGCACGCATGTTATTTTGGTAAAAAGAGTGAGGAGGGTTTCCGTCACCCCACGAAAAAAGGGGGTCAGTAAATTTGTGTAGTAACGTATTACTGTTTTCCTCCTGCACGTGAGTCACGTGCGTAATCTCAATGTCTACAGCATCTGTAATACTGATATTATTGTACCCTGTACCTGTATCATTGGCGTTCTGAGAGGAACTGAAATGGAAATTGAAAATCAAATATGTACAAAAGGTCTAGACAAAGCATTTTAGTTTTAAAATGTTAAGCCTGTTTGTTATTTTCTTTATACTTGTAAATAAAAAAAATGAAACAACTATTCTAACAGACGATCACTATCAATAAAGGGATTATCTAGCATCTAACTGATCAGAAAGGGATTACTTTAAACGGCAATATAATAAGATAAACTGTCCCCTATTTTGCATACAGCAGTGACATCTAGCAATTTGCGTTTACAGGCTTGGCCGTATGTAACAATATGACATGTATTCGGTTACCGATATTAATATAAATTTCATGCATTCAGAGTTACATTGTAAAAGTTTAAGTATTAAAAAGTAAATAAATAAAAAGAAAGTAGACAGTTAAAATGACACTTATGGTACATGGCAAATGCTTTTGTAAGAAGTTAAAAAAGCTACATGTATTTTTTGTTAACATTATTATACATGTGTACATCTTTGATAAAGAGGAAGATAAGTAAAAACGTTTTGAAACATGACAATGACACTAGACATGACTTGCACAGAACTTGTTTGAAACAATAGGATCACAAAATTCAATATGAAAAAAAGGTTAAAGTAACGAAGTGACGGAGTGAGTTTTTGAGGAAAAAAACAACAACAACAGATTTTGAAAGTACTTGTATATCTAGAACCGTTTCTCACTGATACAATGAAAGTCGTGCCAGACTGCATCTTACTCAAATTTGTTTGATCAGATATAGATAGAAACATAAGTACTTTTTTCAAATCCTTTTGGAAAGTTTTGGAAAGATTTTGACCTTGCACTTTAGAGTAATGCAAATTTTAAATCAAGAATTTAAGCTTGATAGCACTTACCAGTAATCAAACAATTCTTATGAAACTAAACTATACAGATAAGTACATACTATTTAAAAATTATTTTAATTACGTAATAACTTTATTACGTCAAACATGACCAATATTTTGTACATGAGATCACAGATTAATATAATGTATATAATGATTTATACTATTTGTTTCAGGGAGAAAACGGGGTACTTTTACTTATTTCACAAAAAACAATTAATATTAAAATATAAAAGCATTATTAAAGTGATACATATGAAACGTTTCACAAAGGAATAAAATACGGGGAAATAAGTTAAAAGCACAAAGATATACCTTCCATTTGTTGTCGGCGGCCGGCCTTTCTTGTTATCTACATACATTATAATATAATGTTAATATGTTTGATCAAAATTGGTCATAAACATTTGTGCCAGAACACACATGTACATTTCTCTAATATATCAAATAATGATGGTAGTTTATGAAAGTTATGTCATGACTTTTTCAAATTAATGACAACAATTAATAAAATTTCTTAGTTAGAAATTCTTGGCCCCTGTTAATAAAGAAATGATCCTATGGCTTTATGAAACTAGCATAAAACAATATTTTATTTCAATCAAACATATATACGCAATATAATTATAATAAAAAGCAAAAAGGATTGAATAGAAAGCTAGAAGCTTTTTTCAGAAACGCTCTCCTTGGCTAACAACATGTAACATTGATCATTGATATAATGATAAAAATAAGTATGGAACATGAAGATGCTGATACGCAAAGAAACAACCATTTTGGGAGGGATAATATTTAGGATTATCATTACGAATAACATAATAACTGGATCAAAATAAGGATCAAATTTAGGATCTGGATCAATATCCAAATCAAATAATAAAAGCGCATATCTGTAATAAAAATCTAAAATAAATTGTATAACAAAATTTTTAATGAAGTTCATATTGAATTTTATTTTAAATCTAGAGGAATTAATCTTATGTAGATTTTTTAAAATAATTAATTTTGATCCTGATTCTACAATCTTAATGAATACATGGTCTGGTCTGAATAATTTGTATTAAAAGATGAAATGTTATTGAATGAAGATTTGATTTAAAAGATAAAGTTTAACTGAATGAACTCAGTCATAGCAATTTAATTGACAGTTTACTATTTCCGTGTTACACATGTATTTGTAGATCATATATATCTATTCAATGTATAAAGCATACTTTAGTTTAATAATTATTTTCACTTCATGTCTTAAGTGTTTTGAAACAAAGATCAAAGATCATTTAAAAGATCTTAACGAATCTGCTGGCCATTGTCAATGTTATTGTATCATTTCTCGGATCAGACTGGGAAAGGCTGAAACAATAATGTTGATATTCTAAAACCTAAATATAATTATATATTAACATCCAGCTGAACGCATGACAGAAAAGCAACCATATTACACGTACATACAACACTTCTAAAACATTGAATACAAAGGATTTAATATGGTTTATTTCGAACATATAATTATAAAAATATATTAAATAAAATAGGTCCGACTAGACAGTGAAACTTTAATTTTTCTTTTTCAATTTTGTTTGCCATTTCAAAGAATCTGGTTTACCGTTCAATACCTTCATGATACACAAGGTGATTCGTTTTTGTTTCGAGCATATTACATGTTCTACAATAAAAGGCCAATTGCATTAAAAGGTCAGAAATAGTTAGTATAGTTTAATGAGAATCATTTCTTAGTGAAACTTCTTTTTTATTAGCACTTTTTATGAATAACATATGAAATATTAAGGCGAAGATATAATCAACGGATCTGAAACTGAGGTTGAATGTGTAGATTACAATTCAGAAACAATTTTGCATTATTAAAAAACCAAAAAACATTCATGTATAATACAATCATATATAATACACAAATTTCACGTGAAAAATTATTAAAACAATTCATGTAACAAATTTGTAAAATCAGTTTATTATTATTCTTCTTATATACATGTATATATATTATAAAATAATTCCTATGTCAAAGGATGTCTAAAACAAACCTTGATGAATAAATTTCTATTTTGAAATAAATAAAAATATATATATATACGATACAGATTGAAAATAGTTTAGTTCAATGGAATTTGGCTTTATATACTATTTTTAAAACAAGATTGCATTTGAGAAAAATGATATGCCACCGCATTAATACAACACTAAATAGTAGTGTAGGAACATATTTTTTGTTTCTATACAATTGAAGATTGTCATAATGCATAGATCACCGACCTATCTAATTCTTATTATCAGATTAGTGGTTAAATCTATTGTTAATCGAATAAAAGATCAGAGTAGGAATATATCAATGCACTTGAGTCTAGTGAATTTGGTGGTGAAGGTCATATTTCACACAGCCTAAATTTCATGACTACATCAAAGGACAAAACAGTAAGACACTTAGTCAAAATCTAGGTCAGTTGATATCAAAGTTCACTTTACATCTTAATCTGTGCGCATGGTTCAAATTTCATAGCTGTAGATCAAAGCAAAAGAAAGTAGGTCACATGATCAAAATCTAGGTCACCTGATATCAAAGTTCAATTTTACAACTAAAACTGTGCACATGGTCAAAATTTCATTGCTGTACATCAAAGGACAAGAAAGAAGGTCACTGTCCCCTTGGGCAAGGCAAAATTTTGACCCAAGGTTTTAATTAACACAATCTTGAAACAGGTCCACCAAACAACATTTCAAGTCAAATATCTATGCTGAAGCTTTCTCCCATTCAGATAACATTTGTTTTATTTTCTGTTTTTACTATGTGTATATAATGAGAATCATGCCCCCGGGCAGGGCCAGTTTTGACACCAGGGGAAAAATTTGAATAGCTTTGGTAGAGGACCTATAGATGATATTATATAGCAAACATCAAAGCTCTATGCCTTGTACCTTTAGACAAAAATATTTTTTTATTTTTTTTACTAGATGTACATAATGAAAATCAATGACCCCGGGGCGGAACCAATTTTGACCCCAGGGCTATAATTTGAACAATCTTGGTAGAGGTTCACTTTGCAAAGTCTCATGCAATATATTTAAACTCTAGCCTTTGTGAGTTCAGAGAAGAAGATTTTTAAAGTTTTTACTTTATACATATAAGGAAAACTAGCACCTCTGTGGTAGGGCAATTTCAACACTAGGGGCATAATTAAAACAACTTTAGTAGAGGACCCATAGATGATATTATTTAACAACTATCAAAGCTCTAAGCCTTGTACCGTCAGACAAGAAGATTTTTTAATTTTTTACTATATGTTCATAGTGAAAATCAATGACACCTAGGGGTGGGGCCAATTTTGACCCCAGGGCTATAATTTGTACAATCTTGCTAGAGGTTCACTACACAATGTTTCATGCAAAATATCTTAACTCTAGCCTTTGTCAATTTAGAGTAGATGATTTTTTAAGTTTTTACTATAAACATATTAGGAAAACCTATGGCCCCCGGGGTGGGGCTAATTTTGACACTAGGGGCAAAATTTGAACAACTTTGGTAGAGTACCTATAGATGATATCATTTAACAAATATTAAAGCTCTAAGCCTTGTATCTTCAGACAAGAAGATTTTTTGATTTTTTACTATATGTAAATTTTGAAAATCAATGACGCACGGGACGGGGCAATATTGACCCCAGGGCTATAATTTGAACAATCTTGCTAGAGGTTCACTACACAATGTTTCATGCAAAATATCTTACCTCAAGCATTTGTCAATTACTAGAAGATGTTTTTTTAAGTTTTTACTGTAAGTTTTTGCTAGTATATACATATAAGGAAAACCAATGACCCCCGGGGCGGAGTCGATTTTGACCCCAGGGCTATAATTTGAATAATCTGGGTAGAGGTCTACCAGACAACGCCGCCTTATGCAAAATATCTAAGCTCTAGGCCTTTGGGGTTTTTACAAGAAGGTATTTTAAGTTTTTATTATATGTACATATAGTGAAAATCAATGACCCCCGGGCGGGGCTGATTTTGACCCCAGGGCTATAATTTAAACAATCTTGTAAGGGTCTACCAGACAATGCCTTGTGCAAAATATCTAAGCTCTAGGCCTTTTGGGGCTTTACAAGAAGGTATTTTTAGTTTTTTTTCAATATGTACATATAGTGAAAATCAATGACCCCCGGGCGGGCCGATTTTGACCCCAGGGCTATAATTTAAACAACATTGGTAGAGGTCTACCAGACAATGCCTTATGCAAAATATCTAAACTCTAGGCCTTTTGTGTCTTTACAAGAAGACTTTTAGAATTTAGTCTTATAATTCCTTTTGGTTGCCATGGCAACCAGATTTCTGCATGGATTGAAATTCTTTGAACAACTTTGGAAGCCCTTCACCTAAGGATCAATCCTGTCATGTTTGGTTGCAATTGGACTAGTAGTTTTTCACAAGAAGATTTTTTAAGTTCACTATATAATCTATATAGCACACACACACACACACACACACACATGCACACACGCACACACTCACACACAAACACACACAAAGGTGAATCGCTATATGCCACCGCATCGCAGATGCTGCGGTGGCATAAAAAGAAATCTTACCCATTGAGCAAATGTATCGTAACCGGGTACTGCAAGCCGTAATCTCATCAGAGAAGTAGATGTCTCCCTGCCTAGTTGCCCTGCACCACCTCGGCTCCAGATTTCTCCATAGGCTTTTATCTAATAATAAATGAGAGGATTTTTAAAACTAGATATAACTTTATGCTATTAAAGTAATATATATTATGTATACATAAAGTTTTTTTCATTTCCACAAAAAGTAAGTTGATATATTAAAGATATATTACATAGATACGCTGGTGTAAATTGAAAGCAAATAAGTTACATTTACAGGTTCACATTACATATATTATCGCATGGTTTGGAACTTTTCCTTTGTTCTTACTAACCCATTGATATTGGTATTGATATATAACAGTACAGTTTTTTCATTGATTCATATAGGGAAAAAAACTCGACTGTTATATATCTAGACTTCGTCTCGTGAGGTTAAGGGATAAGAAAGGTCACGTGATTATGGTATAATTTACGCAAACCCAGAAATCGTCAACGCAGTTCCGTGAGGTTAAGGCATAAGAAAGGTCACGTGATTATGGTATAATTTACGCAAACCCAGAAATCGTCAACGCAGCAATGGTATATCTATTACTAATATCAAACTTACCTCCAGTATTTATCGGGTTCCAATATATTGAGTAAGCATCTGCAAGAACTCTTGAAATATCAACCCATAAATTAACAAATGGCTGGGAGAATTTGACATCTTGTTTTAAAATATTTTCTCCGATTAGTCGCATCGTGCTATCATCGTTGGTACATTTCATTCTGGCTTCTTGCATATATACTTCATAAAATGGACTGTTTTGGAAGAACATGAGCTTTGGTAACGTCATATTTCCTGGGAAAACTGAAAAAAATAATGAAAATAATGATTTGTAGTAAAAACTCTTCGAATAATTTATAAGTTGTAGTAATAGTTTATAGTTTATCGCATGGTGCGATGATTTTTCTTTTGTACATTCAGTGACCCTTGTGTTTTTGTCTATGGTTACAGTTATACATGGACCAAGTGTATTTACATAACTGTGCATTATTTGAAATAGCGCACACCTTTTCTAAAGAAGTTTGCGTTATCCTAGATATCGCATTGTGCCTTATTGTCAGGGTACTGGCTGGTGTCTAAGTTAAACCCAATAAGCTAACCTTATAGATTCCTAACATATACAAATACATATTACACATAAAGGTAGGACGTATAAGCTGGCTCAGGTCTAATCTAGGCTCGGGCATTACGGCTTGTCAATTCTTGGGCAATTTAGCTAGTACGAGTACTGAACCATTCAAACTGGCGTCAGTCGTTATTTGGACATGTAAGCTAACTTGAGAAAATAGTTTGACATATAAGCTAGCATGGGTCAATGCTGGGACATGTAGGCTGGGCAAAGTCAATGCTGGGACATGTAGGCTGGGCAAAGTCAATGCTGGGACATGTAGGCTGGGCAAAGTCAATGCTGGGACATGTAGGCTGGGCAAAGTCAATGCTGTGACATGTAGACTGGGCAAAGTCAATGCTGGGGCATGTAGGCTGGGCAAAGTCAATGCTGGGACATGTAGGCTGGGCAAAGTCAATGCTGGGACATGTAGGCTGGGCAAAGTCAATGCTGGGACATGTAGGCTGGGCAAAGTCAATGCTGGGACATGTAGGCTGGGCAAAGTCAATGCTTGGACATGTAGGCTGGGCAAAGTCAATGCTGTGACATGTAGGCTGGGCAAAGTTAATGCTGGGACATAAAGGCGTGGCAAGGTTAATGCTGGGACATGTAGGCTGGGCAAAGTCAATGCTGGGGCATGTAGTCATGGCAAAGTCAATGCTGGGGCATGTAGGCATCTCAAAGTCAATGCTGGGGCATGTAGTCATGGCAAAGTCAATGCTGGGGCATGTAGGCATGGCAAAGTCAATGCTGGGATATGTAGGCGTGGCAAAGTCAATGCTGGACATGTAGGCAAAGCAAAGTCAATGCTGGGACATATAGGTAAGACAAAGTCAATGCTGGGATATATAGGCGTGGCAAAGTAAATGCTGGGGCATGGGGGCGTGTAGGCTTGGCAAAGTCAATGCTGGGACATGTAGGCTGGGCAAAGTCAATGCTGGGACATGTAGGCTGGGCAAAGTCAATGCTGGGACATGTAGGCTGGGCAAAGTTAATGCTGGGACATGTAGACTGGGCAAAGTCAATGCTGGGACATGTAGGCTGGGCGAAGTCAATGTCGGGAAATGTTGGCTGGGCGAAGTAAATGCTAGGACATGTTGGCCGGGTAAAGTCAATGCTGGTACATGTAGGCAGGACTCAGTCAATGCTGGGACATGTAGGCTGGGCAAAGTCAATGCTGGGACATGTAGGCTGGGCAAAGTCAATGCTGGGACATGTAGGCTGGGCAAAGTCAATGCTGGGACATGTAGGCTGGGCAAAGTCAATGCTGGGCATGTAGGCATGGCAAAGTCAATGCTGGGATATGTAGGCGTGGCAAAGTCAATGCTGGGGCATGTAGTCATGGCAAAGTCAATCCTGGGATATATAGGCGTGGCAAAGTCAATGCTGGGATATATATGCGTGGCAAAGTAAATGCTGGGGCATGGGGGCATGTAGGCTTGGCAAAGTCAATACTTAGAGTCAAAATTGGAAAAAGCTAGCTGGCAAAACTGGTTGAATAGCACTAAAATCGTCACCTCTAGTGTTATAGTGATTTCCGTACAGGGAAAGAAAGCGAACGAACACAATGTAAGAAAAGAAAACGAAAATGAAGCTTGTATATAGAGAATCATGACTGAACTGAATTAAAATCTAGCATTCCAAAATGCCGTTCAAATTATCATACATATTGACCGAAACAATTTTTTCAATTACTAGTATACTCCAATTATACTCATTCTTACTTTGTCCGCAAATGTATCCAACCCGTTTATAGCATTTCTCGGATGACAATTTTCTTGATGATTCTAAAATAGCGCATTGCTTAAGTTGATTGGTATGTGGATCGGATATCTTATAGAATGTATCTTCAGATGCTAAATAAAATAAAAAATAAAACACAATGTTAATTTTTGCGAATGGGTTGCATTGAAATATGTCTTAAGGTCTCTACAATAATTTGTGTTTGCAGAACCAAACATGTTTTAATATTTTATGTTAATACATGTACTGAGATAATCTATTGGACATTGCAGACATTGTATTAATGAAATATAAATGGTCCTAGCCTTTTCACTTAAAATTATGTCCTTTTCTCATCACATATTGTAAGAATGACCGGGTCAGAAGGTCAGTATATAAATTAATCTACTTATACTGAATGATTGTCAAACATACACAAGTGAAGCACTTTTATATGAAATGATCGGTATGCGCTTATCTTTAAGATTCTACAGTAATATGTTAATTAAACAGCTATTCATCAGTCATAAATAAAACAATAACCTATGATAAAACATTTATACAATATAAGCATGGCTTTTTCTATTCTTTTTTCTTTCTGTTAAAAGTTATAATGTTGCAATAATGAATTAAGAACATGTAAAATGCTTCTCATCTGAATAATTCCGCTCTAATTTTGAAATAATTTGTGAAAACGAAAGCAAAATGTAAACAAAGTGGTATTTTGGCTTCCATTTAAATACAAAATCATTATAAGTGTACTGATTACTGAAATTCAAAATAACAGAAGATGACGCAGCTTTATCTCTGTCTAAGAGTAACATTTTGTGATTTAAAACAGGACGCAAAAAAAAGATTTAACTTTTGAAAAATAAAGATATTCGCATTCTCAATGCTTATTGGGTCTTTATATTGTGGATGAAGCGTATAAACGACGTAAAGAAACATCCTTTGTTAACTAATTGAACTTTAACCTTATATATTAACGTTTTTGTGATAAATATCGTACTCGGAAATTGACGGAGTTAACCGAAATTATACGATGAACTATTGATAGATGTGTTGATAGGTATACTCTAAAAGTAGTTATAAAATTATTACCTATAGTATAAAGACTCCAGTACGAATCTGGGCCGGATAATCCAGATCCACAGAAAAATGAAGTGTCCCCAAAACATTTCCTATTGCACCATCCCGGTAATACCTCTTCTAAGTTGGATTTCAATGATTTTGTTGGCAAACAACGGCAAAATTGTCCCTGTAATATTAATGAAGCAAAAATAAAAATAATTAATTCGAAGTTAGCATATCGATGGGTTTTATGTACTTATTTCTCCACATAATTATGTAACAAAGCAGATCGTTCAAAAAAGGTCACGCCGCATTTAGTATTTGAACTTACGATTTGGGGAATCGTATGTAAAATATAACCCTATATATGTGTGTTTTGTTAAGCACGCCACCTGTGACGCTAACATCTGCATGCATATGACGACAATCTAGGCGAACGAATTACCTTCAAATTAAAGGTAAACATGTGATATTGACAAGGTAGTTTGTTTTTAAAAGTTGAGGATTAATGTTAAGATGGTTAAGAATGTGTTTGTTAGATAGATTTATAGGATATTTCTAGGATATTTGTACAAATTTCTTTGTTTAAAACTTTGCTGCACCATTACTCATGTTTTAATAAATATAAAGATATTGATGGTCAACTCACTGATAAAAGAAATGATGATGGTTCCGACTCGATACTACACATTTGAAGGCATGCTTGAGCGGTGTTATTATCTAAGTTAAATTCCTGATATTTAAATGTCTCTGTTGTAAACTTGAAGCAGCCTGAAAATATATACAGTACAAACTCTTCAGAGCACTGTTATTTGGAAGACAAAGATCTCTGGTTGTTGTTGCAATCATGAGGTGTTGCTACAGGGAGATAACATTTATTGTGAAGTCTTACTTTATGAAGAATTGATATTTTCGAAAAAAAATTATACGGTTTCCGTAAGGGCATATTGCTCTATAGATGGCCGTTCTACAGAGATTTTAATATATTGACTTCAATTTATAAACGACTATTATTCCCTTTCTTAGTCAATTTAGCAACGTGTTTCATAGTACAGTCAACACTTACTTTAAATTTCAGCTTTAGAATAGGAAAAAATGTACTTAGTATACCGATGATCTCTCAGTCTGACTTAAGATCAAATTGTGTTTACCTAAAGCGATAAAATTATTTAGGAACTGGTTGGTGGTCTCTAAACCAGGAATTATCTATCAATGTTCAAATAAGGATATTACATAAACGACTTCTTTCTTTACATGAACGACAGCTATAGTTTCACTTTTTTAAACACCGAAATTTAATATCCTACTTAAAGAGTTTTATGTATGAAAGTAGTACCGTTTGACCAAAGCCATGGAGTAAAAAAGCTCTTTGTCCAATAGACTTTCTTATCACTGTCGCCGTTAAACGCCGGTGTATGAATAGGCCCGATTATTTGTTTATATTCATTTAAACTGGCTATTGTCGCTTTCTTTTCTTCACAGTTTTCCTCGGCATCTATCCATGTATCAGCACAATGACTTATAAATATACCATCATGGGTCTCTGTATAATAAACAAATATTGTGTTATGTTATTACACTATAATTTCATACTGTATAAGATACATGAGATAAGCAAAGGTAAGCTGGTTAAATGATATTTTGTTGTATAGGGACATGACTGGATCTTTATTTCAGTTTTGCCATTTTTTTCAAAATGAAAAGATGCCTGACTGTAAAAAAGAAGTATCATGTAGGAGTGACGCATTTTAGAATATATAAAAGTATTATGTTGATATGATACAGTCATGAATACAACTTTACTTCTTGTGGTGAAAACAAAGACAGGAAAAGGAAGAGAAAAGGAGTACAACATGTATAATTGTATCTGTCATATGCAACTGAAAACAATTCATCAATGATAGAAAAATAAATGCATGATAACAAATCTTTAAAGCGACATGCCCGAAGAAATCTTGCGAAAGTCTGAATACAAAATCAAATCTTGAAATTGATATGAACCTTTTCTAGTTCTATGTGAATCGGTTACATGTATTAGTTCTCTCCATTTCTTATCTATGTTCAACTTTCGTTTCAGTACATAAAGCTCTTTTTCCAATATATTTTGTCATGAACTATTTGGTCTAAAATACTTTTCTAACATTAAAAGGAATGATATCAAATGTCCAAAATACCGTTCTAATAAATAAATGAATGTACTCAACAAAGAAGCTGTTTTTTTAATGTTTTAATTACGAGTCAAGCGATAAATTTTGTCTTTTAATTCTTTAAACAAATATAAGAAACCCAAATAAATACAACATAAATTTATTGCATAAATTTTCAAAGGTAACCTTTAAAATTTTTTATTTTTTACATTTACTAAGAATACTAATTTTTTGTGTTTTATCAATTCATTAAAAAAGGTCGAATCATGCCTGATCAATGGTTATTTATTTTAAGAAAAAACCCCATTAAAAAATTCCGAAAAAAAAGGAATTTTTTATACGTTAAAAACTGGCATATTTTAAACATTCTTTTTGAACTTTTTTTAATCACAGCTAGCACTTTTAAACATTTTTAAAAATGTTCAAATTTTTGATATTACGCATGAAGGGAAAAAAAAGAACACTGTAACAATGTTGGGTTTTCCAATTTTACCCCAAAACGTCGACAAATTCGAAAAACAACGCTGGCGGCTTTGTCCTTTGGGAAATTTAAAAAAAGTTTTCCATCTCACTAATACGCTGAAAAATTATTCCGTTTTCACACTTTTTTCTATTGATAGGGGTTCAGAAAAAAGATTTTGTATTTTTAAAATACTTAAAAGAAAATAGTTGAACCCATAAAGGTAATTTAAAACGGGGAGGAATCCCTCGGAAAAGTAAAAAGAGTAAAAGTAATGCCCCAATTTTTGTTTTAAACGTACAGGAATTTAAAATTATGATAAATGAAAAAGGGTATTATAAGAGGAAAATGAGTGTAAAAATAAAAAAAATTTAAAATTATAAAGCTTTGGTTTTTTTGATTTTAATTTGATAAAAAAAAAAAAAATTGGTTTTACCACCCCCTTTTAATAAACAGTGAAAAATGCCATCGTAAAAATTTGTGAGAAACTTCCGTTCCTGGTGTGGCCCCCTTTTTAAAAAGGTGAACGAAAAAAAGGGTGAGTTTTTCATAATTTTTGAAGATTACAGACATTTGTGTAAAAATATCGAAATGCAGTTAGCTAGCGATGTGTTTTCCGAGTATGCACATGTAAAGATATTGCCTGTTGGTGGACAATTTGATGGAAATACCGTGCGACGCAGTCACTCGGGGTAGCAGGAAAACTGGAGACAACTTCTCTTTGGACCTTATTTAACATTGAAAACGTCGATTCTGGTGACGTTTTGTGCATGCTAACCTAAAACAGATGCCCACAAGTCTTCAGCGTAAATTATTATCTGAAATTCTTCATAGAAACGAAGATATAACCTTTTTTGCTTTAATCCTCGTTGTGAGCACTATAACCTCGTTGTGAGCAAGACAAGCGCAGTGCGTGTATGGTTTTAATATGTAATTCAGATGGTGAAAATATAATTTTCAATCTACCAAAGCAATTAAAACGTTTTTGCACAGCAGCATTTCTTTGCAAAACGTTGTGCATACCCCAAAGGGAGGCATATTAGTTTTGAACTGTCCGTCTGTCAGTCCGTCAATCTGTCCGAAAACTAAACATTGGCCATAACTTCCTTAAATTATTAGTGAACGGATTTGATTCATATTTGAACACAACATCCCTTAGCACAAGACCTTCCTACGAACCTGTATTTTCTTTTACCTTGGCCCCTGAATGGCATTTAAGATTGGCCATTATGTCCTGGCATAATGTTAAGGCACAACACATCTTTGGACAAGGCCTTTCAGCTATCCTTTATTCTTTTGACCTTGACCCCTGAATGACCTTCACCTTGAAGGTCAAATTGTCCAAAAACTTAAAAATTGGTCATAACTTCCTTATAAGCATACGGATTCTACTCATATTTTAAAACAACACCCCTTTAGGAAAGACCTTCAAACTGATCTATATTTTTCTTACCTTGTACCCTGAATAACCTTCTAGAACATCCAAAAACTTTAACATTGGTCATAACTTCTAAGTAAGTGGAATTAATTCATATTTGGACACAATGCCCCTTTGGACAAGACCTTCCAACTGACCTATATTTATTTCACCTTGCCCTTGAATGATCTTCACATTGAAGATCTAATTGTCCAAAAACAAATAATCTATCTGGTCCATAAATCAAAGGACAAAGCACCACTTCAGGGGCATTGTCAACTTACCTTGGTTGACTTGGTCAGTCTGCAGTTCAGGATAAACACATGTATGTGTGTATCACACAGATTGTGAAATAGTTGAAATATTCATAAACTCCCCGTGATCTTCACTCGTGCCACACTTTTTTTTTGTTTTGGGTTTTACCTCACATCGACACAGTACATGTCATATCGCGACGTCCAGCTTTACTGGTGGAGGAAGACCTCAGGTGCCCTTCCGTGCATTATTTCAGGCACGAACGGGCACCTGAGTAGAACCACCGACGTTCCGTAAGCTAGCTGGATAGCTTCCTCACGTGATGGAATCCAAAGTCCCTGTCGGGATTCGAACCCACAGCGGTGAGGGGCAAGTGGTTTGAAGTCAACGACCTTAACCACTCGGCCACGGACGCCCCTACGTGCCACACTAGAGTATACGAAATAAAATAGCTGATTTACCTCCACTGATTAGTTCTTCTGTTAATCTGATGACTTGTGAATATGAAAGAATAATTTTCAAAAAAGAAAAAGAAGAACTATTGCAAAGAAAAATTATTGTACAAAAACGTTTTGACTGCTTTTGGTAGATGAAAAATTGAATTCTTGCAATTTGAATTACGATATTAAAACCAGACAGCACTGCGCTTTCTTCTCACAACGAGGTTATGGTGCTCACAACGAGGATTAAAGCAAAAAAGGGTATATCCACCACTTCGTTTCTATGAAGACTTTCAGATTATTAATTTACGCTGAAGACTTGTGGGCATCTGTTTTAGGTTAGCATGCACAAAAACGTCACCAGAATCGACGTTTTTCAATGTTAAATTAGGTCGTAAGAGAAGTTGTCACCAGTTTTCCTGCTACCCCGAGTGACTGCGTCGCACGGTATTTCCATCAAATTGTCCACCAACAGGCAATATCTTTACATGTGCATACTCAGAAAACACATCGCTAGCTAACTGCATTTCGATATTTTTACATAAATGTCTGTAATCTTCAAAAATTATGAAAAAACTCACCTTGTTTATCGTGTCACACGTCAAAGATGGGTGCTCACAACGAGGAACGGAAGTTGCTCACAACATTTTTACCGATGGACATTTTTCACTCGTTGTGAGTTAAACGGGCGTGTTTACTTTGATATACCAAAATTGTTATAGGGTTTCTAGAATGAAATATATAAATATATACGATGTGTGATACATTATATACCAAGTAACTTATAAGCCTGAAATGGGTTTAGGTATTGGGTGTATTTTGCCAATATCGTCTACTTTTCAATGCAATTACTATTACAACTCGCATACGTTGCTCTTCTAGATACAGTCTGTAGTCTGTTAGACAAGTATCTATATCTTTATTTGAGCCGCGTCACGACAAAACCAACATAGATAGTGCGTTTGCGACCAGCATAGGTCCAGACCAGCCTGCGCATCCGCGCAGTCTGATCAGGATCCATGCTGTTCGCTTACCAACCCTATTACAAGTAGAGAAACTGATAGCGAACAGCATGGATCCTGATCAGACTGCGCGGATGCGCAGGCTGGTCTGGACCTATGCTGGTCGCAAACGCACTATGTTGGTTTTGTCATGACGCGGCTAACTTCTATACCAGATTATATGTACAGAATATACAACAAAATGACATGAATAATGTTAAACGGGTTGATGCTAAATAGATAAAGAAAAAGCCGCTTTTGTACTTTACAGCAATTATATAACATCCAAATAATTATGACATATTTTCGGAATGGAAAAAGTGCTACCAAGAAAAAGTAGAGAAGAATAAGCAATATATAACATATTATTGTAACGATTATCATTTACCCGTTTTCAGAACGTCAATAAGTAATTGCATTTTTTTTTTTGCCTTTCTTTAACATACAATTTGCATGAACGTTTGAAAGTTTCATCATGGAATCGTTCTGGTCAACATGCGGTCTATAAATTTATATATTCACAAAAAAACATACTTATATTTCAGTTGCCTGCATACTACCGCCGCTTCATTTTCTCCAAAGTTCATATCACAAACTTTGCCCCATCTTTCATCAGCGTGTCTTCTAACTTCAACTCGGCCTTGATTTCCCGCTTGTCCATCTGTGAGTCTTACATCAACTGTAATGTTCAAAGCATAAAATAATATAATTGAGCCGTGTCATGACAAAACCAACATAGTGGGTTTGCGACCAGCATGGATCCAGACCAGCCTGCGCTTCCGCGCAGTCTGATCAGGATCCATGCTGTTCGCTTACCATTCCTATTACAAGAAGAGAAACTGATAGCGAACAGCATGGGTCCTGATCAGACTGCGCGGATGCGCAGGCTGGTCTGGATCCATACTGGTCGCAAACGCATTATGTTGGTTTTGTCATGACGCGGCTGAATGAATTTAAATGTTATTAGACACTTGTGTGATGAGAAGCAAGACTTAGTGTTAAGGTATATACATTGCATATTAATTATTGAAGGTGCACACATATAGATCGAGGTATACTATTTGGGGCCTAATTATTGGGTCTGATTTAAAGGAAATTATAAATGGACTTTGAGAAATGTCATGCCATTTCAGCTTTTCTATCCTATATATTTATTTTTCACAAGTGTTGATTAAATGAAAAGAATAGCTTCACAATCATTGAAACTTCCTACCATATATTGTCAGATACCCGTTATGTTTCCTGACTAATCCAATAATAGCAGCTTTTATTATTGATTTCTGTGTGTGTGAATGATTTAATAGCGATTATCGATTTAGATTTTCACTATTAACCATTATATAAATGTGAATTTCCTTAGATATAGTAGACAATAATAATACATCTCCTATATTGATTTGAAAACGACATGTTTAGATCTGGTATTGTAAAATTGTTTACATTTGTATGGCGATGTTTAATTGTACAAGTCAAAAATAAAGTATATGTTCTGTTCTGGAATACATGGTCTGGCAATTGATTCAATTAAATGGACATGGTTTGGTTTTTTTCTTCGGCAAATACCGTTCACCTTTTCACGCCACCGACACCCACACCACCACTTTGCCCCCACTTCGCTATAACTTAACTTTACATTGTGCTTAAGTAGTATATGTATATTTTCTATTTATACCTTCTTATTGATAAATAGCCTACTTATGAAGTGATGATCATTTCTGGTTGTCCTACTTAGATCTATTAAATACATGTAATTTGATAATAATGAAAATACGGCGGAAGTAAAAGGATCGTCGTGTCAAGTGTGAAGATGTAGGCCTCTTAATTTCTTTATTTTCTCCCTCACTTCGTTCGTCCGAAAATAAATTTTTCTTTCCAAACCATATAATACAAACCAAGAAAATAAGAAACTCAGAAATGTTTCAATAGAAAGTGGGTTTACTAAAGCTCATATGCATATTTTTACTATCAATACATAGCACAACATAATGCATATCAAAGGAAACGCCTTAATTAGTTTGAATACGTTCAAAAATAAATATAAATACTTCTGTAATAGCAACAACATGAACAATGATTGATATAATTAAAACTATAAACATATTCATCTGACGAATTTGAAATCAAGGATAAATACTATGAAATGGGACCTACAAAAAAAAAAAAAAAACCGTTCTAAAATAAATTTTCGGGAAAACAGGTTAATCATGATTGTGCGAGCCGGCTGCCCAACCCCCAACTCTTTAAATTATTATTATTCTTTTTTTAAATTTTTTTAGTTTAAGAGGGGGGGAGTAGGGAGAATCCAAAGCTCTGGCCAGCGAAAACAGGCTCTCTCCGCCCCCTGCTTTCCGAACATTCTTTTCCTGTATTAAGAATTACTTAACAAAAAGAAATAAAACTTTAAGCAAAAAATAAATTCAATTTGACAATTTCCTCTCGAAAAATTATTGATAAGCGCAATTGTAAAAATCCATCTTTGTCAACTAACTTGAAATATTCATTATAAAACATTCTATTAATGTATATAACAATATGCAACCCGTCTGCCTCACATGAATAAACAATTTTAAAAAAAATTTAAGAAGAATTTGGGGTGAACCTTGCGAAACTGTGTAGTAAACCTCGAATGATTTAAAACCGCGAAAATACTCATGAAAATCTCGTGCCCCGTGCATTATTCTACCCAATTATAAACCAAACACCAAGAAGATTAATAAGTACCAAAAAGAAAAGAGTATTCCAAACAACCTAAACCATAATCTTTCTGTACCGAAATCGATATAATTATGTAATTTTATTGGTTAAAAATATTTACCATGATTATTAAGAAATTAAAAAACGTCAGTGTTAAAGTAAGTTTTAATTAGAACATACCTGTATTTACAGTTGTAATAATTCCACCTAGGACGATAGCACCAAGAAAATATACATTTAAGTCATCCTTATTATGTGTATACATTGCTTAAAGAGAAATCTAAAATCATAATTTTCCCTTAACAATACCACCGACTACAAATCATATTCAAGTTTTCCATTACTTGTATTATTTACTTAACAGGTAACACATTTTAAAGGTTTATATTTAGAAGGTTATACCACTATATACACATATTCCGAAATCTAAAATGCATATAATCGTACGTATAACATTGTACACATTTAAACGCACGACTAGTTTACTTTAAGTCATCATAGGACTACGCGTCTCTTTTCGATTCTTCGATCCACTTATAAATGAACATTTTTTCTATTCTTCACTGTCGATGATTTTATCGGTAGTTTCAGTATAATAGTCATTGTCCTTATTCAGTTCACAATGTAAAACCAACATAGTGTATTAGTAATTGGACTAAAGCGTTATCTTCCTGAAGAAAACAAATACTTTATTTAAAGCGGCTCACTCGCATACTTTATATGCGAATATACATATGAATGTAATTAAGAGTTACCTGTTGCTGTAATATATCGACGCAAATCATTTATTTTACCCACGGCTTGATTACATGTTAATTAAAGCAGCACGCCTCCAGATTCAGGCTAATTTTCATAATTTAAAATGTATTTATAAGTAGAATATTCTGAAGTGAACAAGGAAAATAATATAAACATTGCAAACATCAATTGTAATCCACGTAAATTACCAAGAAGTAGCAAAGAAATATAGTGATTCATAATTACATACTGCAAAATCAGTCCTTAATAGCACGTGGCATGTAAATTATAATTTGAATCTTGCATCTTTTTTACTTTTTGTAAAATCTTAGTACATTTCTGTCAAGTTTAATTTTCTTAAAATATATTGGCTCACATGGAGGCATGCAACTTTAATCACTCGTGGGCATCCGTCGTGAACCGGTCAAAAATTATGCAACGGTCATGTCCTGCTTTTATCTAAAACTGTTTTTATTTAATTTGATCTATTAGTTTTATAGTACTGTTTTTATATTTGTTAGTTTTTGACTGATAAAAAATAATGCATGTTGTTTATGTAATGCACGTGGTTTTACTAATAATATCGAAATATTTATCAATTTTAGCATATAAATGATAATTATAACAACAACAATACAATACATTAAATTGATTTGACCAGTAACAGATCATCCTCATACATATTTCTATACGTGAAAGTAGAATTATGGACATATAAAAAGAAAATAAAGAAAAAATACAGAAATGCTGGTATAACTAATCGATCATAATTAACATATTAAGTTGTTCGTACATATGAAAAGTATTTAAACCGTTTTAAAGTTGGTACATTGATACCTAATATCTATAGAATAAAACAATACATATTTGTTAATGCTAGATTTCTCCTATTGTTTCACCTTTACTAACATGTCATGCATCGGCTATTCTGCATACCTCAAGTGACAATTTGCACGGTATTTAAAAGTTCTATACGGCAGTTTGCTCTCTCGTTCATTAGGGCATTAGAGTATTAAAATTTAAAATAAAACTTGAACAAAAGTTACATTCAGAGTGGTACACGATTGGTATTTAGATTACGACTGACTATGGCAGGACTTACTGGTGATGCAAGACGTGTTAAGAAAGATGTCCTAGCGGATCTAGTGTCACTTAAACACGATTGTCAAAACTGCATCATGGAAGCTTCAATGCGGAAGGCAGTTCTTGCAGAATCGGAAAAAGACATTAAGGAAGATATGAAAGTAATAATAAATAAACTGAACATGCTGCTGAAGGTGATTCATGACACCGCCAGATTTGTCGCCTCGCAAGAAGTTACAAAAGAAACAGAAAAAGTAAACGATGAAATAATATTCCTTGAGGAGCAGCACAAGAGGTTTGTTGTATCTTCATTGAACCCCTCTGCGAATGTTTTATCATTTTCATATCTAAATGATGAGCTGTAGCCGGTGCTAGAGGGGGTCGGGTTGTTGGTAGCTTGCATTTTATTAATGTTTTCTATGAACGGGCTCAATGAAACTGCACCTTCACTTTGAATTGTGCCGTGTTGGGAACTTCCAAATTTCCCATTTATACTATACTATTTAATATAAACATATTAGATTTTGTAAAAGTTATGTAGTATGGGATTTGTCATACTTATGTTTTTAAAGGTTGCAAAGAGCAAAATTATTCAGATATGGTTATTATGAGTGTAAACGTGCATATCTACTTAGTTGGTTGGTTGGTTGGTTGGTTGGTTGGTTGGTTCGTTTGTAAATTGGTTTATTCACTCGTTCGCTCGCTAGCTAGCTTTCGTTTGTTTCTTTGTGCTTTGTTTTGTTTGTTTGTTTGTTTGTTTGTTTGTTTGTTTGTTTGTAACATATGTCACATTATCATAAAAATATGAAGAATATTTTTCTTCGTCTGAAAAGTATATTAATATATTAAAAGCACGACCTAAAGTAAACTATTTGCAATAAATGATAAAATATTTGTATTTCAGCCTGGAAGAAATGGAAGAATATGTTAAAGACAAGACGTCAACTACAAATATGAAACCATTACAAATAGGCAAGGAAAAGTGCGAAGAAACACGAGAAAGAATTGATCAGTATAAACTAGGTATCATGAAAAGATCAGCGAAGTTCGTATTACATCCTTTGCTCGCACAAATTTTGGAGCAGATGGAAACTTTCTCTTTGGGAAGCACAATGATCCTACCAGTGGAAGATGAGTTTGATGAAGAAGCCGACGACTTGCAAGAATTTGATAAAACCCTGTCAGATTCACTGAAACGAGAACCATCATCTGACCCAATGAAGACGTCTTTTATGCGATCAAACTCATCAAAATTGATAAACCTTTCAAATAAGAAGCAGGGAACTGTTTCTTCTAGACCGGGCTCCAAATTAGATAATTCGTCTGTATCAAAAATATCGGTGTCAAGGCAAAGTTCAAAACTTGAATCAAATGCATCAACGCCAAGAAAAGAGGAAGTGCAGAAAAAATCTAAACTTATTACACGTTCAAAGACCAACGCTGCTGTCAAAGAAGAGGTTAATGAGGATGACGGAAAACATAGTTACAGGGCTATTGCCGGTCTCAAGGCGACACTGGCTGAACGTTCTGCGTCTGCTCCTTTATTCAAATTGCCGTCAAGACAGGAAAGTGTGTTCATAGCAAAAAAGACAGAAGAGGCTCCAACTTTACCAGTAAAATACAGAGATTGTTTCGAGACCAAGAAACACTCCAATGGATGTTACATCACAGGTGTAGCAGTGCTGGCAAACGGACATGTTGTCCTTTGCGATAGTGTACACGACTCACTGCAAGCATTCGACGCTGAATTTCAGCATGTATCAGAGATGATATGTCCGCATCCATGGGGAGTGGCCGCGGTTTCAGACACAGCAGTCGCTGTCACTTTACATTATGATCATAAAGTCATACTCGTACAAGCAGCAAACGAGTTGGAAAGAATAAACGAGAAGGACATCATATTGAAATGTAAAGCATCTTTATTGTATGACATTAAATACTATGCATACAGAATATACATCCTTTGCATCGAAGGGGACATTCATATTGTTGACCTAAAAGGGAGAGAGTATGGAGTTATCAGAACAAAAATGCCATCAAATACTTTAAAATACTTCGATATAGATGAAAAGAATGAAAATGTTATCATATCAGGGGAGAAGGGCATCGTTTGCTTGAATTTCCAAGGATTGCCTTTATGGAACTTCAAAACACAAAACAAGTCACGTTTAGTTTGCACGGGCGTTCTTTTTTACAAAGGGTATATTCTTATTTGTGACTGGGAGAATAATAGTTTGGTGGAGATATATGAGGACGGCGAGAGGATGAGGACTGTCTATAACGATAGAATTGAGAAACCGGTGGCAATTTGCAAGTCAGAAAATAGTGGTGATATATTTGTTACACAGGGAGATATGGAGCTATCTGAAGATAAGGCGAGAAGCGTGAAAGTGTTGCAAGTTGATATGGAAGAAAAATGAGATGTGAGGATATGTGTAGATGTTGCATCCTCTTAATTGAAAAAACATTCTATCTAAATAATTATCAAATTGCCATTGCTATTAAGAATGTATCTGTAATTAACTTCTATGTAAGAAATTCATCCCAAAATATGCTAAATTTTGTTTGATTTTAGCGACATTATTCAAAATTTGAAATACCATATGTTTATAATCATTTTTGAACTGATATTTTCATCTATTATATAAACAAATTATATACATGAACTTACATTTGCATTTTAAAATGTGCTAGTGTACTTTCATTCTAATATGTGGTTCGTTTGAAATTGACATTGTAATCTGCCATGCCAATAAAGCATTATGATGATCTGTATGTATTTTATATAACAATAGCATCTTATCTTAAATCTTATTTTCAACAACAATAGACATATTAAACGTAATGATAGAAATCATAACAGTAATTAAGTATATCTACATAAGACTTGTAGATTTTTTTATTTCTAGGGAGATCTCCATACTTGAGTAATAAAACATATATATTTCCAAAAAAAAATCGTTTTGGGTCGTTTATGCATGTTGTCTTTTTAACGTGTAGATCTAAGTATGTACAATGTATGTCTTTTTCTAAGATAACGGAATTAGATCAGAAACATATAAAGGTGATAATTTATGTATCGCTTTATACACCATAAATCCATAAATATGGAAAAGTTGACCATTTTATTATATACTTATAGATGAAATATTGGTGACAAAAATGCGTTTTTTCATGTTCCGTATTTTCACTCCAATGATATATATTTTCCCGTATTTTCACTGTTTTTTTTTTTTTTGCCGGACTACTTTTTGCTAAATTCAGCCAATATAAAATCTTTCGAACTGTACGTGATGTCTAATTTAAAAAGAGAAAGATGTTATATAATAAAAGAGAAAGATGTTATATAATAAAAGAGAAAGATGTTATATAATAAACAGTAAATTCAAGTTTTTTTTTCTATGAATACAGGATTCATTTTCACCTTGTGCTATGAACATTAACATATTTCCCTCAATGAAAATAAATCCTGTATTTGTAGAAAAAAAACTTGAATATTTCTATTTAGTTACACGTTTCAAGCGAATTAGTCTTGACGAATTTCCTTAAAAAATCCTGGTGCCAGAGGTTCTTTTTTAAAATTTCGTAACCCTATTAAAGTCTAGTTTGTTTCTTTTTGACCATGTAATACAACCATGGTAAAATGGGACTATGTTAACAATTATAACAAGGGCCCGGTTCCACCGAGGGGTTAAAAGGGCTGAAGCCCCTCCCCCCCCCCCCCACGCCCCAGCCCCCCCCCCCCCCCGACAACCTGTTCCTAAAAACTATTTCTATTAGAGATGGCATATTGAGGAAAACTGGCTTAACTCATCGTCGGATACCCACGGCCGAACCATTATCATTCATCAGCCGTGGGATTGATTGCATGTTATGTGACATGTTTATCAATCGTGGGTATCCGACGATGGGCTTACATAACTAAGATAAATGAAAGTCTCTATAAATCCTTGTATATTGGAGCCTGGACTCTTGCTGAGTTTCCTGTCGGTCAAAACATTATATATGCCTCTAGGCAATTTCTCAACATAATGTTTTCGACTCCAGGTCATGCAGACGCTTTTAATTGATTACTCTTGGTCAGTGAAGATGGACATTAAGCGTCTACATAATTCTGAGTAAATTAGCATAATAACTCTTAAATTAGCAGATCGAAATATATGGACTGGTAAATTTGAAATAGCCCCCTTGAATGTGATGATGATTCTTGTATATATTTTAACTCATACTGAAGTGTAAGTGATGTAAGATTTTAATTAAGCATCGCTATTTTAGTGTTTATGTTATAGGTTTTCCTTTCTATTAAGCAGGACCATTTAAAAGCATCCGACTGTCTGTAAAATTCTTTTAAAATCATAGTTTTACCCTAGAAATCAGTAAACATTAAGTTGATTTTCTTCGGCTTTTGCAAAATTAAAATGTAAGTTCAACACAAATTTAATAAAGTCTAAAACTTTGTGAAAAATATGAAGACATTTCCATTTCAATATGTGCACCTAAAATGCAACAGAAGCCACCATTTAACATGTTGATTTCATTTTTTTTTCATAGCGGAGAACCCCTAGATGCCCCTTAAAGGGGGGGGGGGGGTCCACTTTCAAACATTAGCCCTCCTCCCCACCGACAAATTTCTGGATCCGACCCTGTTATAAGATAATTATTTCATTTTGTTTGAGATAAATTTGAATTCTTCTCAACAAACTTAATTAGTATAAGTTTTCCATCAATCCCAGAATATTACTTTTTTAAGATTGTCTACTTAGTATAATACTTCAATCGCACTTGTTCATTTTCATAATGCTACATACATGCAGAAGTAAGTAATAAACTATCCAAAGGAAATAATTTACACTTTATATATCAACATTGGTGGCGACCTACAGGTCCTTTAATGCAAATTTGAAAAAATGACAGTATAAGGACGCATACTTAGGGGTGTAGAGCCTTTAACTATTTTTCACGTTTGTTCATTCTCACGGTTCTTCCTTTTTATCACCGGTAAATCCAGAAACACGTGTGGTTTCAAAACATTTAATTTACTAGAGAACTGTAGCCGTTTATTGACCAAAATAATATGGGAAGACCAGGTAACTATGAATATTTCAATTATGTTATTATAAATTAATATTTTTTCTAAGTTGCCAATGAAAAAATGCAGTAATCTAAATTCTAATCTCCAAACTAGAATAACATTCGGACGATTTACTGTTGGGCTAAGAACAAACTTACAATACCACGTGGTAAAATTATATTCATCATTTAATATCTGATTTTGCAAATATTTTTACGATATTTAATTTTTATACTGGTACATATTTCTTATTTTTTTTACATACTTCACGGTTTAGGACTGCACATCTATAGGATGGAAAAAAATATTCACTGATTTTAAATTGCATTTTGAAAATCCTTTTAACTCCCTAAAGCTCTTTTTTCAAAGCATTAGCGATAGAAAACACCAACAGAAAATATATAGATACAAATTGAAATTTGATGAAAACCCAGAATTTACGTTTAACTGTGTACAGATTTGCAATCGGGTTTATAATTAAGTCAGTGTTTGTAGATTGTATTTTTATAAAAAAGTAAATGAATGTCCGGGGTTTTCATTTTATATGAGGCAACAGATATGTGTCATTGAAAACAACCAATTTGGCCAATTTAATAACTTACAGACTGAAAGTACAACTGATTTTAATAGCATTTCAACGGATGATCAGGATCGCAAATCTATTAATAATGAAAACCGTAATTAAAAGTGCATGTGTCCTAAACAAGAAAACAATGAGCCAAACTAAACAAAATGGAATTTTGAGTTTAAAATGAAGCATATTTTAAACACCCCTCTTTGATGTATTTTTTCGACTCCTGCTAGTGCTTGAAACAGTAACTCTAAATAAAGTTTATTGTGAAATTTCAGGATTTTCACCACGTGGTGGAGACAGAGGTAGAGGAGGGGGCGGAGGGTTTAGAGGAGGACGTGGAGGTTCAGGTGACAGAGGTGGTTTCCGTGGCGGACGTGGTGGCTCAAGCGATAGGGGTGGATTCCGAGGTGGGCGTGGTGGTGGACGTGGAGGGTTTGGGGACAGAGGTGGTAGAGGAGGTGGACGTGGTTTTGGTGATAGAGGAGGCAGGGGACGTGGTTTTGGTGACCGTGGTAAGTAATTTTAATGAGAATGCTGTACTGTTGTATTTCATTTTGTTATTATATCTTTTTAAAATGTATTTGAAAATAAATCTTTTTGAGAACATTTTGTATTTGAAATTTTATCGAAGTTTTACTAAAGTACATGACTTATACTTCCAATTAATATGTGTAAATGATGAAAATGATATTTTCCCATAAATTTATTAGAAATATTGTATTACATCATTTATATATTGTATTTCTCAGGACGTGGAGGTCGTGGTGGCAGAGGTGGAAGGGGTAAGTTGTTCATCTTTTTGTGTGTGACAGTCAGAATTGCTGTTAAACCCTTTACCTCATGAGCATCTTGTGAAGAATGGCCATTTTCATTAAAAAGCCTCCTGTTACAAGTTCAAACTGCAATGAAAGTATGAAAAATGCTTCAATACTAATGAAACTTGGCACAAATGGGACTGGACCATACCCTCTGTAACAGCATGTTCAATCTTAAATTTCCTGTTACCATGGCAATGGGGGGACGTCTCAAAATAACCAAAAAATCACTATTTTGCATTGTTTTTTTCCCATCAAAACTAATTTCAAAGTGCTGCAACTTCTCAATGGATTGAGATGGAGTAAAAGGCTTTTCAGCATTGGTGACATGTTACCTTACGTTCGACCCAAGGCCATTTTTAGCCTGTCACATGTCCAAAATCTTCTTGGCGATGAGGAGGGCTGCTGCCCCTTTAAACCCCCCCCCCCCAAACAATGTGCCCCTTCTGGCAACCCCCTGATGTACCTTTTTGATAGGGGACAGTGCCGAAAAAGTGATCACTTTTTTTATCAACATTTCTCAAACAAAAAACTTTGAGGGTTCTTTTTCACTGTTTCACTGGTCGAAAAAGCCGACAAAACACATCTATATGAGGTAAAGGGTAAACCAATATTCTAAAGTTTTCCCTTGTTTGATAAGTGTAAGCTATTTGATAAATTTGTAGAATACTGTTTATGCATTAGGTCCTTTTAACACTTTTTTAAAGCTCAGAAAAGGTTATGAATTACAATGTAAATAATTGAGTGCAAGTTTCATGTTTTTGTTCGAACAAGTGAACTTTGTTTTTCATGCATTGCATTCATCTTGTTAATAATTGTTATTAAAAATCATATTTTTGTATCTTTATTTTGAAAATTAATCATTACTGGAGAGGAATTTAAGTATGGATTTACTTGTTTTCCGTTCCAGTTTGATTTTCCTTGTTGTTGCAAAATGTAAGTGTTATGTACATGTTATTGATAAATTAAAATAAAGTTTAAACTACTAACAATTGTGAACATTTTGATGGTTATGTTAAACTTAAGATTGTGATAGTAATTTTGGCTGCTGCAGGCATCACTAATGTTTGAACTATTTTGTTATAGGTGGTATGAGGGGAGGTAAACAGGTCTATGTTGAGCCACACAGACATCAAGGTAAGTGGAAGTTGGTCAGTTTCTATTATCCGTCTATTAAGGTTTACCTAGTAAAATAATAATATCATTTATCTTTTCATTGCTTTCTTGAGATTTTTGTTTGTTTTTGCATTATTTGTTTAACTTCAGTGCTTTATGTGGAACTTAATATATGAACATTGTATATCTTTTAGAAAAGATTTTAGTTTTCTGCTAATAAGATAATACTCGGACTGATTTGAATATGATACGGCCAAATAGCATAAAAACATAAAAATGTTACATTTATCAAATAGGATACATAAGCAGGAAAGAAAAAATTGGTATTTAAAGGATAATAAGGAAATGTACTTTGAATTGAATTGAAATCCATATAAGTTTGATTCTTCGCACAATTTGAGTAAAAAGCTTTAAAACACTTGTTAGTTTAGGCCCTTGTGCACAATGTAAATGAATATTTTGGAAAGTCCGAGTGAGAGAATGATCAGAAATTTTGCATATAAATATTGTCAAGACTTGCATCTAATTGTATAAAAAAGTATCAAAAAATATTTCCAGTCCTGACCGTTAATGTCAAAATATTGGAGTCTTTTTTAAATTGAAGAGAACATGCAATCTTCCTGCTCAAGTATATTTATAGATTTAGTAATAATGATGCAACATAAAACCTAATATTAGGAATTAACTGTTTTATTAAACCTGTGTATATTACAGGTGTATTTGTTGCAAGAGGTAAAGAAGATGCACTTGTCACATTAAACATGGTACCTGGTGATTCTGTGTATGGTGAAAAAAGAATTTCTGTTGAGGTGAGTTGATTGGAGCACATACCGTGATACGGTACTTTTATACAGTAGGAATTTTCTTTATGACTGCAGACTACCATTGGCCCTTACCCATTGGAAATCATCTAATGTAGTATTTTAGTTATATTGAATATTCTAAAGAAATCTCAATATTGTGATGGAATCTGTATATAACAGTTTTTATATTGGGTATGTTGATTCTGAATGTAACAAAATAAAATCTTTCATTCAGAGAGAACAGTTGTATTGCTTGGTCATTAAAATATAAAAAAAAGAAACAACAAAAGAACATGTCATATTTTTAATATAAACCCTTAACCTACTGAATTTGTTTGGCGGATCTGACAAAATGAAAATAATAAGCTACTAACAGGATAGAGCCTGATCAGATTTCATCTATGTTCAAGACTGGCCTTGTTATACTTGTGGCAAATGTTTAACACTTTCTGATCCAACAGTTTTTAGTGTTATGATGATTTATAAATTTAGTGTTCACTTATAGGGCAGATCATTCTTTAAATCTATGTTTTTTTTATCGGTGGTGAGACAAAAAACAGATACAAGGCCTGGAATCATTCAGATCCAAGTTAGCGCGTATTTAGGTGGTGTTGATCAGATACACATGGGACCTGGCAAGAAAGTTTTATTTACCTAGGGCAGCGTCAGGCACATGTCAGCCATGTGTCTGATATTGTTGGACCTGTAAGTAAACATTGGTATTATTTGTTATTAAAAAAGTTTAAATAATTACACACTTTGGGGTACATACTCGTCCTTGCAAGAAAAAATACTATTTTACATTTAAGAAATAATTGTTATTACTTGTAATGTTATAAGATGTTATTATTTTATGATTTGATTAATGAAAGTTCAACAACAAGATTAACATGTACTCTTGCAAAGCTTGCCCAGCTTTGAGTTTGGAACTGCTTAGTAGTAGCAATTCCAGGGCTTTTGTACTATAATGTATAAAAATTGAACAACTATGTCAACCTGCAAACATTTACTAGCTACAGTCCCTTCCCACTGATGGCATTTGCTTATTGTTTTAAATACTTTACTTAAGTTGTTTATTATAAATCAGTTCAGGGGTGTCAGTGGCCAAGTGGTTAAGGTCATTGACTTCAAAATACTTGCCTCTCATCGCTGTAGGTTTGAGCAGCAAAAATATGGTCCAATTCTACATGTGAGAAAGCTTTCCAGCTAGCTTATGAAAACGTCAGTGGTTCTACTCTATGTGCCCGTTTGTACCAGAAATAATGTACAGAGGACACCTAGTACAGCTGGAGTCGCCATTTGTATAATACTGTGTTGGTTTAAAATTAATGTAAAACCAAACCAAAAGGCAAAACTATCAGTTCACATGTCTTTAATAATCATTACAGGAGGGTTTAGTGTATGCAGTAGAGTTTTCACACAGAAGTGGTAGAGATCTGATTAATGTTGCCAAGAAAAGAACAAACATTATCCCCATCATTGAAGACGCTAGACATCCACATAAATACAGAATGCTTGTTGGTCAGTATATCCTGAATATTTTGACAAAAAGGATAATTGTTTGAAAATGTGTGAAATAAAAAAACAAATCTAGGCATTTTTACTTCTCCTAAAACTTGAAAACTTAAAATGCCCATACCTTGAAGAATTGCGGAGCTTCTAAATTGTTTTAAAACGGCCTTAAAAGTAAACATTGTTAATAAAAGGAGAATGAACTCTTAATGGAAATAAATAACCAGGCATATATATATATAATGATGATATGCATTTTTAGAGTTGAAAATAACCCTATTTTCTTTAAAAAATAAGTATATAATAAAATATAATATTTTCAGGTATTGTTGATTGATATTTTCTGGTGTTTTCCCCAAACCCGGGTTTAGGCCAAATTTTTAGCTATAATGCTAAACATTTTCCCGAAAAAAGGAGGCATTAGTCATTCAAAAAAGGGAAGTCATTTTTTAGATAAAAAATTTAGGGGGGCAAATATTTTCCCAATTCCCAGGTTTTCTTGCAGGGCCCTTTTGGCATGTTGGAAAATTTTTAAAAAAGAAATTTAAATAAATTGATTTTTATTAGGGGAAGTAGAAATATGATTCGGATAAAAACGGACAATTAAGTCAAAATTAGATTTTGCCGCCCCTGCTGTATGATTCTTGTACATAGATGACCCGTAATTTAGAAAATATTTATCATTTTAATTTCAGCTCTAGACTTAATATTTCTATTTGTTAGAAATATAATACAGAATTGAATATATTGTTTCTCTATCTCAACTATTTGAAGAATAGGGAGAGCTATTGTACTCACCCTGGTGTTGGGGTCACACTTTCGTTAAAGTTTTGTGTACAAGTTGGCTCATGTATCTCCAAAACTTCTAAAGGAAAAGGTTAAAATTACTTTTTGAAAGTGAACTAGAAGTCTATTCTAGAATAAATTTATGTTTCTTTCAAACATATTTAAAGGTAATATTTTTAGCAGCTTGTAAACATGCATTGTGATTGTTTTCAGGCAAACTGTGTAGACTCAACAGCAGCTCCTGAGGCTGTATTTGCCGGTGAAGTAAACAAATTGAAGGAAGAGAAAATAAAACCACAAGAACAGCTTACATTAGAACCATACGAGAGAGATCATGCCGTAGTTGTTGGACAATACAGGTACACAATTCATATTTCTACATTTATGTTTGAATATAATTGGGACTTCTATATTAGATTTACAAGCTCATGAATAGTTAAAATAAAATCGAGTTATCTATTACTTCAAATGAAATATTGTTGGCTTTACACAGATGCCCGAGTAGTTAAAACATTATTCACTTATATATATTATTCACTTCTATATTAAGCTTGTTTTGGGGATGAGTTTCGACAGAGACTTTTGATTCTTTCATGTAAGGAAGCTATGCAGTTGGCTTAAGGAATGTCAGTGGTTCTACTCAGATGACAGTTCATACCTGAAATAATGCACAGAAATGCACCTGAGGTCTTCCTCCACCAGTAAAGCTGGAAAGTCGCCATGGGACCAATACCGTGTCCGTGGGACGAAAAAACCCGATCAAACAAAGTTTGATTGTAAAGAATGTAGCTTATTTGAACATCTTTAATGTAAGCTTGCTGAAACTAACCAGTACTGGTGTTATATGATGAAACCCTGTACAATTGTGACCCAAGTAGGGCTTGAACACACGATCCCTGTATTAAGAGGCCAGTAGACTATTGCCTGATTAGATTAAACTAAACTTTGATTAGATAAGTGCTTAATCAGTCATGTACTCGATATATATTTTTTCAACAAGCATATTATGCTTTTGTCCTCGTTTTAGGGGGATGGGTGAGGTTTTTGTCCAACTTGTATCAATATTGTTTTTGCCCTGCTATAATAAGTATGGCACTTTCATAATTCGAACTCCAAGATAATTTTTCTTCAATCTTTCATGTTTTCTTTTATTTATTTACAGAGCACCACCAAAGAAATGATAGGGAACAGTGGAAAAGACATTATTATTGACAAATTAAATTTCACAAAAACTTTCAATTATATTAACATGTGTATTCTGTACACATGTGACCATGTGCTTAGAAGTCCAGCTGACCACTTTGTGTTGGGTGCAAGAAAAAGTGAGACCATTGACATTGATGGTAGATCTACTTTTTAAAACAAGAAAATGTATCTTTTATATCAAAAAAATTAAATGTCTATGCTGGGACGTAGATTATGAAACTCGACATAGATTATGGAATCTGAATTTTATGGAAATGAATAAGGTACTTGATGTAATTATTTTACACTCATGAATATGAATGTGTATCAAAGAGATAATTGTGTGTAAAATTGGGAACAAAGTCATATAATGTACACTTTCTTTTTAAGAGATAATAGATTTTATATCTGTAACCATTGAGTTTTGATGAATTGGCTTTATATAAATCTTTTTATGTTATTGTTAAGGATGATATTACAGGAGTGTACCAGTTCACAGTTAATGGTTTTTCAGATAAAGAAATCTTGGGGTAGATTTATATTAACCAGCTGTATTTTTGTAATGATACAAAATTATAAGTGTATAAAAACATAATGCTTTGATTGGTCCTGCAGTTTTAAAAGATGTATCAGTTTATTATAACAGTATCTTTATCTTTGATCTGTATTCAGTTATGTGAATTTTACTTGGCTAGGATATAACAAGATCCTACTATAATGAAATAAGACGTTGGGTCCCCAGTGAGAACAGCGCTAGCAAAATAGACAAGAGCCTTATAAAATATACGAGATGAATGCATACTTAGAAATTATCCTATTTACATGTATATACCTCCAAACATTTTTTTTTAAGTGTATTATTTTACTTGAGGTAAAAAAAAAATAGTACAAGCAAAGTCTCATCTGATGAACCTAAAATGTGAAAGGTGAAATGCTTCTGTCAAAATTAAAATAGCTGTATGTTCAAGTGTATATGGCAGAACATATAGTTTAGTGGATACTGGCATTGTATAACTGCTGGGAAATGAATTGTGTTCAACAAGATTTTTTTAATGCATATGGCAAGGTTTTAATGTACTGTTGGTTTTAACTTTCATCAATTTCATTGTATATAGTTTTTCTCATTGAATTCATGACTTTGTTAATGTCTTGCACAATAAACTAGAGAAATGATTTTGAATCAATGTTTTATACAAAAATGTACTTGATATTCCAGTTTGTTGTAAATTACAAACATGCTTTACACTTTGAAGAGAACCAGTTGTATTAAAGTTTTAGGATATTTTTTTCAAAATATAAATAAATATTGTTGTCTTAACAATATTTTAGTTTTGTGTTAACAAATTTTAAACAGTTTTTCAAAAATTAAGAAAATGCTGTTTTATGAATTGTACCACTCTTTTGATGAAATATATATTAAAGACATAATGACATATCTTATTGTTACTTATCTTTTTCAATCCCTACTCCCTCTGTTACAGGGGATGGGGAGAAACAAAACATTGGGATACTAAGAGATTATTGACTTGGAACCTTAACCCCTATAATGTATGTAATGGATTAATTCTCGGATTAGGATTCGGAACTGTCCATTTAAAAATAAAAAGATTTCAATGTAAAAATGCAAATCTGATTCACCAACAATATAAAGCCTGATAAGACTGTACAATACCAAAAGGTTTACCCACTTACCTTACTTATGTTTGTTCAGAATTGGATCTTTTCCAGCATGTTGGAGACTGGTGAGTTTACCAATGCTGAAGATGAATTTTGGGTCATATTTAGTTGACATAACAGTAAATGTAATTTTACAGGTTACAAAAATGACCAAAACAAATCCCCTTTCATTTGTCATCAAATGATTTATAAAAAAATCGGGCTATAATGGCGATACAGTAAGAGATCTCGTGTCTTGTGTTTTGTATTTATTTTCTAAATAATTTTTATATTAAGTAATTATAATTGTCGTGTCATCATTAAACAAGCGACAATATGCTTTAGTACCGCACCTGTATAAGGGGAAGTAAATTTAGGACATTTACTTTACAATTCTAAATCAAGATTTACTTCCCTTTATGTAAATGTTTATTTATAGCTTAGCAACATGTAACGGTCAAGGTTATTTACATAGTGTGATAATATTGATAACACCATTTTTGACATGGTATTGTTTGATAAATTGAAATCATTCGGTCCAAAGTTTTAATTGTATTTTTAAAGATGCGTTGATGACTTGTGCTTTAGCATCTTTCCATATGGATTACAAAATAAACGCAACGTGAGTTGTTAAAATCATACAATTAGCTAAGGTTTCCATATTATGAAAAAGAAAATATTTTGTACCGACCTGTTAGTCTACTTGATCATTTTGATTTTTTAACGTTGGATATTTAAACATAATACAATATAACCATGTTGAATTGTACAGTTAAGGTTATTAAAGCTGTCGTTAAACCAGTGATCAATTTATGTCATGTTGGCTTTGTATGAATAATTCCACAGGGAACTTGAAATTTAATCAATACATCACAAAATAATACGTATATTAGTGATATACATATGTAGCATTATATAAAATTTTTAGGAGGATTAAAAAAGAGCTAAAATCAAGGGCTATATCACTAAAATTAGCGTATATTTTTAATTTTGAAAATTGAATCAATACATCACAAAATATACGGTATTTAATTAGTGATATAACCCTTATCTCTAGATTCTATATATATAATTTTTATATAAAGATAAGGGCTACTGTATATCACTAATATACGTATATTTTGTGATGTATTGATTCAAGTTCCTGTGGCCAAATCAAGTAAATTATCAAAGGCCCATTAAGCAATAAAATGCTTATTAAAACATGCTTTTTGTTACAGCTTAATTGCCGCCATCTTTTGCATATTGACACTTGTAAAATACGTGTTTTGGCTTTTCTACAGAAAGAAAAAAAAAATCTGAACTTAATGTGCCTTGGAAGTATTCAACATAAACATGCGCATGTTATATAAAGTCTAATTAAAACCGGCTGTTCGTTATATAAATTAACAATGTGCACCGTGAATATCGAATGATCTAGCAGGGCTGTGTATTTCTAGTCACTAGTCAGGTAATTATCTAGCGATTCTTGAAATAAGAATACACATGTATGTACATAATTATTATAGAGTCTATAATGAATAAGTTCTATATAGTTTTCCTGTAAAACAAAATAAATAATTTGAGAACAGGGCCAGGTACATACAAGACAGCAAGACGATGAAATGATAGTTTTATCTGAAGGTTTTATGCGATAATAAATAAATTAAAGAGTTATTAAAACTGTTTTATATATAAAATAGGTGTAATTCACGATCCAGCGAGATTAGCCAAACCATATTGCGAATTTCCGAGTATTGTTTAAAAGATAGTCCGGTTAACATTCTTAAATGATTACATTAGAAGACACAAATTTTAATTTGCTGTTTACATTTTGTGGTTGTAAATGAACCTTAACTCGTCATTTTTGTGCCGTGTACCGTGTTTTTCAAAAATATTAATTTTAATTCAACCAGTGGAAATTTACAATTAGTTCAAAAGTTAGAAATCGCGCAAATGGCCAGATAGAATTCACCAATAAAGAATACGCAACGAGAGTTTTAATTTAAAGCGTTAGTGCAAGAAGGAGAAGGTAATTGCTTAGTAAATTTTAACTTCACATTCTGAATAGCACTAAAAAATAGCAGTCCAAAGTCTACCACAGGCATATAAAACGGCCAACAATTAAAAAGAAACCAGCAAGTAAATTCCACTTCAGTGGTGTTATATTTTTCTGGTCCTTCGGAGATCAATTGATGCCAGCACTAATTAATGTTGAGAATTGAGTACCGCCTCAAGCCGGGCTGCTAGCGGGGCGTGAGGGATGTTGCACTTATTCATTATCCCTCATGTACAGATTCAATCCAAAACCGAGTCCTGCATTCTTATGTAATTTTTGTTGTTGATTAATGCTTCCAGAGGGATCACTTTTGTTTCCCAAGATTTTTTATTCAGAAAGGGAATTTACGAGTAATAGGCCTACATGTCACATATCACCAAAGAGCATCATAATTATTGTAGTCATTGAAACACTAATAATAGTGAGATTTTCTTCTAATGCCCTTTGATAAAATTTTATCAAAAATAATATTTTGCCTATCAAAATGCACATTGCATTTTTTTCACAAATTCGTGTTTTCATTTTTTTAAAATTTTAAACGATCAATGGTCAATTCAATGTTCCAACTTCATGTTTTTCTGTTGCCCACACCCTTGATCCTATACTTAATGTTGCGGCTGCTTTCTGTTATTCAATAAATTGACATAATCATGTGGTCCATGACTTCGTGATTCTTGAAAAATAAAAAAAAAAATAAGCCGAAGTCATCGACAAAACCAACGTAATGGCGTTTGCGGACCTTAAGCTTGATGTCCCGACAGGCTTGCGCAATCGCGCCAGTCTTGATTAGGACCCCATGCGATTCGCCTTATAAACCCTAATTTACAATAAAAACTGTTTTAAAAACAAAATCCTTAAATTTTTATCGACTGGTCGGGATCCAGCGGGGCGAAAAACCCTTTAAATGTTGGTTTTGTCAGACACGGCTAAAAGAAATTGAAAATAATTTTTGAAAACTTTAAACAGTGGTTCTTTTGAAAAGTCTTTAACCACTGACACGGTTTTAAACACGCATGCTTTTATAACATATCAGATATTCCCTTAACAATGATGAACGTATTAAATTAAAGGTAAGTATTCTAATACATGCACGTTTTGTTGTCGGACAAAATAAATGAGCCGTGTCACGACAAAACCAACATAATTGGTTTGCGACCAGCATGGACCCAGACCAGCCTGCGCATCCGCGCAGTCTGATCAGGATCCATGTTGTTCGCTATGAGTATCTCTACTTGTTATAGGGTTTTTAAGCGAACATCATGGATCCTGATCAGACTGCGCGGATGCGAAGGCTGGTCTGGATCCATGCTTGTCGCAAACCCATTATGTTGGTTTTGTCGTGACACGGCTCAAATAGACTCATGTTTTATCATTATTAGGACATATTTTGATGATTTTTAAGTAAATGTAAACGGTTATTTATTTTAGGTAACACCTACGGACAAAAAAGATGGATTTAGTTCTTAACGCAGCAGACAACCACATCTTAACACCGTATGTGTATCCTGTATGGTGGAAAGAAGATGACGTCACACGTCAGCTTATTAGCCTTTTCGCCATTGTTGTCATCGGCGGTTATGTTATGTACCTATCATTGGCTACACTGAGTTATTACTTTATATTTGACCACAAATTGCTAAAACATCCTAAAATGTTAAAGGTAAGTACATTGTATTTATGATTTTACGATATTTAATTGGCAAAAACTAAATGAATCGTTTCCTGGTAATAAATTAAAAATACACTTTTTTCAGTATTGTTGAATGTCTTGAAAAAGAATGCATTTTTATATACTATATTATATACAATTTACCGGGTACACCATGCCGTTAAATTGACTGTTTGCAAGCATTTTGTCTTTGATTTATTTCGGTTGCCTATGTCTGCAACGTCCCACGAAAAGTTAAGTGAAAGTGTTAGTCGAACACCACGACGATTATTATTCATATTCAGTCCTTATTCGAAGACTTACGGAAATAAAGGACAAGGAAGTTGGATTGTTGTATAAAGCGCACGTTGTTGCGCCGCTCCAGAGGGAAACCTTGTTCGTTAAGTATTGTAAATGGCGGTGCAGGGGATCGAACCTGTCTTTCATGGATTTCTAGTCAGTGCGCTACTACTACGGATCCACTCCAAGTAGTGTTAGCAGGAGACCAGTCTTATGTATTTGGTTTTAAGAATAGCCAATCAGAATAGTGTATCGTAGATAATTAACCAACCAGATTAGATCCTTCTCTTTACTGGAATATCTTATACCAATTATACTTTGATAATGTTAATGTTTTTTTTCTTATTTTGATTGTTTAGGATCAAGTAAAGCTGGAAATTATTTACACGTGCAAATCTGTTCCATTGATGGCCATTCCAACGGTTGCTCTATTTCTGTTAGAAGTTCGGGGCTACAGTAAACTGTACGATGAAGTGGACGACAAGTTTGGTAATTGAACAGAATGTTTATATATGCATTTTAATCATACATGTACTAAAGAATTGGGACTTTAATGACTCTCACACAAACGGCCTTTATACCTAATGACAATTAGATATTGTTTTATTGTAGTATATGTACATATACAAGTTGGAAATTGATCTTGTAAATGAATATTAAAGTTAGCATATTCTTCCAAAAATCTACATGAAGTACACCAAAATGTGTATACACTTTAAGCTGTTTTTTATTTCGTTTTCCGAGTACTGTACTTATGTACCTTAGAGAATAAAAAGTATGTTCTGTTCTGTTCTGTTGGTTATAACAGGGTTGAGATAATTATATGGCTATAAAATGCGTAAAATCAATCATATATATTTTGCATATAGCAAAATACTTGTAAGATGGTCATACGTTTTTGAAAAGTCTTGATGTTTAGATCTAAGCTATTTTGTATTTACGTGCTCATCTTTTGGCATGATGCTAAAAATCAAGATTTTCTTGAATATTTGATAAATGCTTACACTTAAACAGGTTTTGAGAGATGAGACATGGGGGTTGAGGAAAAAATTAGGCGTCTATAACTGTTCACATTAATGGCTTATAATACAAACACATTCATTTTGATATTGGAATAAAAGAAAAAAAAACTATACAACTTGGCATGACTTAAATAACGGAATTTATGTATTCTTGCATATCAGACTGGCGTTTTTCCGTTAGTTTTACCCATGCCGGAAAAATTTCATCTGGCATGGGGGGTTCCAGATGAGTCGAAGTGCTGTACAATGGCACGAATAAAGATGACGTCATTTTTACCGTTATGAATGATTTTGTAATTCATACGCTGTTATATGAAAGTAAGTAACGGTTGTAATGATAATAAATTTTCATTGAAAATAAAGATAAAGAATTTAAAAATAATAATGTAATATGGTTAGAATATTGGCAAAAAAAAATATTTGGACATATGTTTTGCGGTTCGGATCGGAATATCCGTCCCTCGGTCACCCGCCCATGGGCGGTAACTCGGCAAGCCTCGTTACCGCCCAATGGGCGGGTCACCTCGGGACGGAATATTCCGAACCGCAAAAATATGACAGATATTATTAATATAAATCCGTGCTTTAATACAGTGATTACCATCCGATGTAACTAACAGTTTATTTATTTGTTAATTTTTCAGGTTATTTTGGTATTGTCTTTTTCGGCGTGTCACATTTTATTCTATTCACGGGCCCTTGCATCTACTGGAATCCAAACGGGGATTTTCACAAAAAAAAAACTTTGGGATAAAAAACCCTGCCCCCAAAACCCCATCAAAGTGGGTGGTTTTCCCCCAAACCTTTTTTAGCCAGCCTTTTTATCCCCTAGACGGGGGGCCTACAAATTTTCCCTAAACCCTTTTAAAAATCCTTTTTTTTGTTTCAAAAGGGTTTTAAAAATTTTTCTTTTTTTGTGTTTGTTAACATTTTTGGGCGTGTCTAAAACCACGAAAGCTGACTACCCCGGGCCAGAAACCGCTAAAACCTTTCATAAATTGGGTTTCCCCGCCCTCAAAAAGGATTTATTTATTTATTTTATTTAAATTTTAAAATTAAAAGGACAGTTCTTCACGCTGTGGGAAAAGGGGTTTGGGGCTCGTTCAGATGGCCCAAGTTCCTTCCTCGGAGAAGGGGGCCAAACCCAAAAATTTTTTTTGATGGAAAAAAACTCACAAAACAAAAAGGACATTAACCCTATTTAAAAATTTGGGAAAAAGTTTCCTTTGGGAAAAAAAAAACAATTAGTTTTAAAAGTTTTACATTCAAAGAAAAAATGGGGATTTTTTTAAAAAGTAGAGATACAGGACTGAAAGAGATCGAGATAAAACTTTGTTAATTTAATGTTTCCCTTTATTAAAAAAAGTGCCAAACTATTTTGCAACATTTAGTACATTTGAGTTAAATTAAAGAACTTTTTTATTATTATATTTTTATCATTAAAAAATCCATTTTGGAAAATTTTTATTATTTAAAAACAAAACTAAATAACAGATGTTTGTGTTTGTCTGATTGCAATATTTCAACTCTATTTTATGATATTTTTTTCTTTACTTACTTTTAATTATATTTTGTCTTTGCTCTTTATGATACATTTCCTATAGATGTCACTTGCAATATTTACAAGAATTTGCTAAATGGTTAATAAGTTGAAAACATTCCATATCTACATTTTTCTTAAGAAAATCTTATTTTCTATCTCTTTTGTAAAATGTCTGTTGAACTATCTCTTTTAAAATGTTATTAACTTTCTTTTTTTCGGAAATTGTTAATTTTTCTATTTGTTTTTAAAAGTACAGGAAGTTATTCTCTGTCTGAAACCAAACTCTTAATGGAATTCAACCCGTAAATTAAACCAGATAACGAAAGTCCCTTCCAGTTTGGTATAAAAAGGCGAGTTTTTAATGGGAACTTATTATTTATCTTCTTTAAAAAGTTTTTAAACACGGGTCTTTCGTTTTCTATTTTCTTTTCTTACGCATAATAATTAGGGAACATTGTAAGACTTATGTTGTTCTTGGATGTATTACCCGATTTGATACATGTAGTTGTAAAGTTGTAATTATGTCAAGTGGGTGTACAACTAAAGCGGTATCATCTATTACAACATGACAGTCATGTATTTTCCTTTCCATACGTTCTGTAAAAAAATTAATGAAAATCTTGACAAAATATATAACGATTTTTTTTATCAAACCAGTAGTTATAGGGTTATGTTGTTAGTCTTTAACAAACACGGGTGAAGGATTAATAAACTATCAAATGAGAAAAATTTTTAAAAATGGATCTGATATTATCCAAAAAAGAAACCACCCAAAAATTTTGGTAATAACATATATATTTCCGTGCAATCTATAATTAAAATTGATAAATATTACAATTGCAATACCATTTATGCTCAAACATTCGTGAATTTTGCTTTGTAATGTGTACTTTATGGCCGGCTTCATGAGACACACTATAGAAGATTCGAATTATTTGAGCCGCGTCACGACAAAACCAACATAGTGGGTTTGCGACCAGCATGGATCCAGACCAGCCTGCGCATCCGCGCAGTCTGATCAGGATCCATGCTGTTCGCTGTCAGTTTCTCTTAGCTTGTTATAGAGTTTGTAAGCGAAACAGCATGGATCCTGGATCAGACTTCGGCGGATGGCGCAGGCTGGTCGGGATCCATGCTTGGTTCGCAAAAACCATTTAAAATGTTGGTTTTTCCGGGGTGACGCGGCTCATTCATTTTTAAAACAAAAGCATCTAATAGTTTTTGTGGTGTTTGTTCAACTTTTGCTGACAAAAAATTGTCTTCATTTGTAAAACATTTTAATTGTATGACATTTACATAAATAGATATTTGCAAATGGTTGCATACCCTTACATGAATAATCATACTGTTGCTTTTTTTCCCAAATTGGCACATTGGCTTTTTGAAATTGATATATCAATGTTTTCTTTTTCCTTTTTTTGTGTGGGAATATTCATAAATATAAGGAGTGTTATAGCAATATCATGATTTTTTAAATCTATTATTAAGTACAGAGTATTAAACATTTTTTTGCTCGACTTTTTCTTGAAAAGGGGAGCTATCCTACTCGCCCCGGCGGTCGGGCGGTGCGGCGTCGGCGTCGGCGTTGGCGTCGGCGGTTTGGGGT